AACCATGTCGATAACTGGAGTAGTTAGTAGGTATAAAATAAACATTTTAATTTTTACAATACGTTTATACTTTACGCATTTAAAACAATTAAATGTTGTTTGTTAGTCTCGCTGAAACTCGAGAACAGCTGCACCGATTCGGCTAATTTTAGTCTTGAAATATGTATTTGTGGAAGTCCAGGGATGTTTTGACCTTTAAATAATTGCACTTGCATCACCTTAGTTAACAGGGTCATGCCAAGTTATCATTGTTCGTTTCAGTTATCGAGGCATAACTATCCAAAATATAAAATGTGACCCAAAAGATAATGATATCACTCTATCAAGTTTGTCGAGCAATTAAATACATCCATTACGGTTCCGCTTAAAAAAGTAGGTATAAATATGTATGAAGTTAATATATTATTATTCTGTCAATTTTGTTAAGTAACATATTACTTTGACTGCACGGTTGGTGCGGTAGCTGGGCAACTGGCTGCCTGAATCCCGCACGGAACAACATTTTTTGTCATCAACAAACTGTTGTTTCGGGTCTGGGTGTGATGTGTATGTGAAATTGAATGTTTGTAAACGCACCCACGACACAGGAGAAAATCCTAGTGTGGGGCAACGTTTATTTAAAAAAAAACTTCAATAAACCTAGTTACTAATATAATAACACTTCTTGCTTTGAAGCCACTGTACAATTTACAAGTGTGGGAAAGCCATGCTTCAGCACAAATGGGTCGGCTCGACCGGAGTGATACCCTGGTCTCACAAAAAACCAGCGTGAAACAACCACAGCGTTGTGTTTCGCGGTGTGAGTGAGGTTACCGGAGATCATATCCCTCCCCAATTCCAAAATCTTCAAAATGTCGGCAACGCACTCGTAACTCCTCCGTTGTCCATGGGCCGTTCTGATTGATTTCCATTAGGCAATCCGTAAGCTCGTTTGCCGAGCTATCACATAAAAAATACTGCTTCACTAGTGTAATCTAAGCAAAAAGAGCCCTATAAGCTAGACTCTAGAATCAAAGTCTTTCTTCCATAATAAACTAGCTAACAAGGCGCATTTTCGAATAACGAGTCCGTTTTCAATAAGGTCTCTTTAACGTTTAATAAGTATTCACTTCAGTATGTTTTAAATACTTATTTCCAGAAAGATTATGACATTTTAAGGACTCAAAACCGGCGTCATGCACGAATTAAAGTTATCTTAATAGCTTTGATAGTACAGGTGAGAAGTAGATAGCTGCATATTACGTAACAACATGATTTAATACAAATACATATACTCAATAATATTACAAATGTATACGTTCGAATGTATTTTTTCTCACAAGGACAAAATGACTAAACTGATTGTACCTATATGGCAGAGAAATCTGTTAAGTACAGATTTTTTACACAGACACTGTTTTAATCCTGTAAAAAATATATGATTCCGTCTGGTACCTAAAAGCAACTAAGCTGTGAACTCCTGAAAAATTATCAATGCGATAGCCAATTTGCTGTAATCTGTTCATACTATATGTACAGTCGACTAGCCCTAGATTCGCACGGTTGCAATGCTAATACTAAATTTCGTAACTATTTTATGAATTTTATTATACACTAGCTGCTCTCGCGCGGTTTCACTCGCTGCTCCATTTAATCGTAGCGTGATGTTTTATAGCCTATAGCACCCGGAACATTATAGCTATCTATCAGTGAAAGAATTTTGCTAATCCGACCAGCGGTTCCAAAGATTACCCCCTACATACAAACTTACAAATTTTACCTCTTTATAATATTAGTATAGATAATTAATAGATCTTCCTCTTCAATCACTTTATTTATTGAAAAAACTGAAACAAAATCCGTTGCGTAGATTTAAAAATTTGAGGACATAGGGACAAAGACAGCGGTTTTGTTTTATACTATATAGTGATGTTATAATCAAATATATATATATATATATATTGGCATATATGCCAAAATGATCCGGGAAATGTCGTAGGCTAAAGGTAGTATACTTTTATATCTTATTCGATATATCATCACATGATTCGATGTGTATAATCCGACAGGCGGCTACCGTATTTTATGACCACTTATCTGACATAATCCTACTGAAAGCCATGATAAGAAATTATATTTTATACAGCTAATCCAAGTATTGACAATACAAGTTATGAATTGTTTTATTCAAATTCAATTATATTACTGCCTCGTTGAGCGATTATGGAAAAGGGATTCAATTCACAGAAAGCGTAAGATGCATTTTTGGAAAATTGTGTAATTATGGTCGTCATCGTCAACCAGGTCGAGAGAGTCCAGTGCTGAAGAATGAAACAATGAATTTATTTTTGCAAATAGGCCATAAAACGGCACTTTTACACGTCAATTTATATGTGAAAAACTAGATGAAGCCGGCATTTCCTATCTGACTACTCTGAGAAGAAATGCCGAAACAAACTCAGAGGTCAGTCTCTTTTCAAGTCCAGACAATGTTAAAATAACATAATGTGAGAGAACCGTGCAAGTTCATTCTGTACCGGTCTTTTGATGAAAGAACCACACCAGTTTAAGTGGACCCGTTCTGAAGACAGGCAGGCAAGTGTCAGTTTGCAACCAGCATAGCAAGTGCTGCTGAGTTGTCCGACGAATGATAGAGTGGCGATTGACGAGAGAAATGACGACTGTAAGAGGATTCGCCATTATCTCCTAGCTTTAATGCAGATACTGGAAAGCACTGTTGCCATTTCTGTATCAAACGTCCCTTAGTCTGGTCTTACAGCACCCGCGGGAAAAGTAAAAGCTTTGTTATACTTAGGTCTTGTCACATTGACTAATCTAGTATTGATGTAACTTCAAGTGATTCTTCTACCATGGATGGAATCCAATGAGGCTGATGTTCAGCCGAAGTCGCGAGGAAAGTGTAATAAGGTACAATGTCCTCAGCCTAGAGCACGAGAAGGAACGGGTGGTTTTTAGTCAGTGTCTGACACTATGCGAAAAAGGTCAAGGTCAAAGTAATTTATTCCAACTAAACCATAAACAAGTACTTTTGGAACGTGATAATAGAATATTAGCTATCAGTCAGTTCATCAGTGAAGCTAGGTGCTCGTTCCAAAGTGTACATTCGGATGGACGAGAAGAAAAGCAATAGATGAATTTCCTCACTCAGTAAAAAAAATATGTTTCTTTTTTTGGTTGAGTTAATGCAAATATTGTCTACACAAATCTCTATTTGGGTTTAAAAGACATGACTTTTCATTTGTGTAAAAATACGAAAAATATAAATTAGTAGGAGTACCTAACAATGTTATAATAATAATACATTGCACTTTGAACGTGTGATAACGTAATGAACATGTTATCATATCACAGTTAAAACAACACTTTTGTCCGGTTTGTAGTTATGTGATCGTATACTATTATTTAAACAAAAAGCTCCTAATTTTCTAGTATTTATAGTTCACATCACGTTATTAGGTGCCTCATGTTTAGCCTTACATTGTTATTATAAGAAAAACAAGCATAAAAAGAAGATATATTTCATTTTCCATTTGTTTGCACCAGTTGCATCAATGTTCCTCATAATGACCAAAAAAACCACAGAAAAATTTGAAAAAAACTCCAACTATTTGGTAATTTACTTATTAAGAATACAAGTAGGTAGTATATTACTAGAATCTCCAATACTATAAGGTATCTACCCATTCCAAAGAAAGAAACCTTAACAATTCCAAGTTGCTGAATCCGATTTTTATTCATCATTTACGAATTGAAATAAAAACGATTATTTCCCGCAAATAAAGTGCAGTTATTGTTATTAATTCAATTCCTTGTTTAACGTGTACTATTCGCGAATCTAAGTTTAAAAGCTATATTATATGCTCCGACTCGACCGGAGTGATACCACGACCTCATAGAAAACCGGCGTAAAGCAACAGTTACGTTTTGTTTGGCCGTGTGAGTGAGGTTATCGGAGGTCCAATCCTCTCCCCTTCTCTATCCCCATCAATTCTCAAATCGAAGAGGCCGGCAACGTACTTGTAGTTACTCCTTTGGAATTTGGTCTAGTAAGCTAGCTATCAAGCCAGTTTTAAGTGTGAGAGAGCCATGCTTCGGCACGAATGGGTCGGCTCGACTGGAGTGCTACCAGAGGACCTCACAGAAAACCGGCGTGAGGCAAAGTGAGGTTACCGGAATCCCAATCTTTCATACCCTCAAATCAAAGAGACCGGCAACGCACTTGTATTCTCTCTCCTTTGGTTTCTCCTTCTTACTCCTTTGGTACCTATTAGGTCTAGTAACTGCTTGACTGACAACCGTAATTTTATTAAATCCTGCCCACATTCATTTAACTTTTTATTCGATAATCTAGTAAAGATTAGCTATTCATCATTCAGAACCAAATGAAAACAGAACTACATATGTATACAACTAAATTAGTGTGCTTCTTTAAGAATACGGGTATAATAATATAATCTACGTTATTATTGTATCATAGCAAAAATATCTTAATAAAACTTTTTGAGATCACGTGATGCTTACAATTATTATTTTTTTTGTCACCGCATTGCGACGATTTTATAGAGTACTTACCTACATAGAGAAATTAAGAATATATAATATTCTAATGATTTATTAAATTTGATATATCAATAAAAATGGTAAACGATTAACGACTGTTCACAGATTAAAAATTTTACTAGCACACAAAAACACTTATAAACAGTAAAATTTCAAATAATAAAAAAAATCCAATGACGGTATTTAAAAAAAAAAGAATTTTATAAATTAATATAAAAAGCACCTGGGCTCAACTTAGACACTAAAGGACGGTAACCGTATTTATTTTATCAATACAATTTATTAAAATGGTAAGTAAACATTTTAATAAATTGTATTTTGCATTAAAAACTCGAATTTTTTAATCAAAACTAAATTTTACGGTTAGTGTCCCATTAAAAAAAAAACTCAGTATATGGATAAGGCAAAGAGATATTTAATTGACAAATTAAAATACTCACCAAATTAAAACAATTCGTCAAATTAAAAGTCAACAACTCACAATATCACTGAACACTAAAAGCTAAATAAAAACCGTGCTTTTCTTTTTTGTTTATTATATAACGCGAGCTGGCGCGGGACACTATCGGACAGCCAGCGCGCGCAGCGTCCGCACGATTTTGGAGCACTGGCCGAATTAAAAAAACTCAACCGTTGTTTGTGCGTTACCACAGATTAATATTTAACGTATTGGAATTATGCAACCTTTTTTTAACAAACTTTATTTTATTAGTACCTTTAACACAAAAATCGAAATTGTAATAGCTCTGAATTCATTTCACTTCGGGATTTATAGGCTCCTTTGTTTTCCCGTTTTTAATGTGACGTAGGTGTGTCTTATGACGTAGGTTTTAGGGAGGCGTGTTGGCGGTCAGGCACACAGGAAACACGCGTTGCAGGAAAAGTCCAAAAGCAGATTCATGGTTGAGTTCTACTAATACCACAAATATTATGACGCATTCATTATACTATGTAGGTAGGTAATGAATAATTTTATTTGTTAAGTGTTGAGTGTGTAATTATTTAAATAGCCAATACATAAACATGGCATGACCTTGGTGATTGCGAATATAAATGGCATTTTTGTACAATAATAAATTTTAAAAATGTTCACCTAGGTTTCTATAATGTAAACAATCATTATTGTATCATTTTGGATTGTGATGTAGTGATGTACCCATCATACCTATCACCCGCTTTTGCTAGTTGCCTAGGTTTTGATTAAGTTCTAAAGTTTTACGCTAGATCTCATTTAAGAGTATGGAAAACAATATAATATGGAGCACTATTTTACAAAATTCTCAATTCTCAATCATGCGACTGATATACTTGCCTGTCAAGTGTGGTGATTATGGTGTCTTACTTGCTAATATTGCATTACAATGTCTAAGTATTCAGGGTTGCGGGTGCTACCCAAATAATGTACCGTTCCCCGGTGTGTAACCGGTTCCCGGGGAGGTTTTAAGTCAGTGAGCGTCTGACAATCGCCCAGGGCGAGAGAAGTTAAAGAACTTAATAATTTTCCCACTTAAAAAGAAAAAATAATGATTCGAATGTACCTAAGTGTAGGAGAGCCATGCTTCGGCACGAATAGGTCGGCTCGAGCGGAGTGAAAGGCTCACAGAAAACCGGCGTGAAACAACCACATCGTTGTGTTTCGCCGTGTGAGTGAGGTTACCGGAGGCCCAATCCTTCCCCTCCCCCGATCCCTCCCCAATCCCTTAATCTCCAAAACCCTAATCCCTAAGAGGTCGGCAACGCACTCGTAACTCCTCCGTTGCGGGTGTCCATGGGCGGCGCTGATTGCTTACCATCAGGTTATCCGTCTGTTCGTTTGCCGGTCTATTACATTAAAAAAAAGTTTCTGGCAGAGATCTGTGAAAATATTTTATGTTAGAAATGACATACTCACTGTAATTAGGTCAATCAAATAAATACTTACATTTATAAAAAGTAACCAACTAGTTAAGTTTAGGTATAGGTACTAACTTACAACGATTAACAAAATATCTCTCGGTCAAATCATGCGGGTACTGTACTAGATCTACTGGCGCGTCGAGTTCACCTTCCTTTTTTATGTCATAGCAGACGGAATCTTTACTAATATTATAAAGAGGTAAAATTTGTTTGCATGTAGGGGGTAATCTTTGGAACCGCTAGTCGGATTGTCAAAATTCTTTCACTGATAGATAGCTACAATGTTCCTGAGTGCTATAGGCTATAAAACATTATGCTACGATCAAATGGAGCTGAGCAGCGGATGAAACCGCGCGAGAGCAGCTAGTTACTTATAAAAAAGCAAGTATAATGCTCTACTTTAAACTTTCGCGTTGCATATTAATACTTTATTGTAATCGGGATTTAACTGCTGTCCAAAAAAAGGAGTGTTCTGTTTTTGGGGTTCATGTATGTAAGTGATTTTTCTTTATTCAGATAGCATATCAAGGTTTGAACCCGCACCCTCATGCGTGAAAACGGGTGCCTTAACTTCAGGGCCACTACGACTTATAGATACCTACCTACTATAAATATCGCCTTTTGTTTTTTTCAGAGCAATCAGTACTCTGCGTGTTTATTTGCTCTTAATGTTTTGAGTGGCAATGTCACATACAGGTACAGTGGTGACAAGTGAAAACTGTCCCCTGGACGCCAACGATACGAAGACGTGACAAAAAATTCACAAAATAAACAATTTGAACATTATTTTAACACAATCAGTGCCACTGACTCGCCCGGAGAGTCCACGTAAATATTCCAGTGCCGTGGACTCGCCCGGCGAGTTCAACGCAAGGCCGCTAACCCACTAGGCGTCACGGTTGTGTTCGCACAGCGTCGACGCCCGCGCTGACGCGACGTCAACGCCGCGTCGTCGCGTGGCAAACATTTTTTATGGAATAGGAATATTTAAACGATCAGACAGATCACCTTATGGTAGGTATGCGATCGGCGCCGCCCATGGACATCTGCAACACCAGAGGAGTTACAGGAGCGTTGCCGGCCCATTAAGAAGGAGTACGCTCGTTTCTTGAAGGCTTAGGTTTCGTCCGTGGTAAAGCTGCCTAAAATACGAGTAAACAGAGGAGTACAAGAAATGTAGGCGGCATCCGATATTATTGTGAAAATCGGAGTGGTAGGTAATGAGAGTGTTAATGTCTGCTTATTCGTATAACCTTAAAATAGAAACTTCTTTTCTTGTTCATTTAAATTAAATAGCATTAAATTTATTAAGAAATTTGGCATTAGTTTAACTTCTAACCTCGTATATCTAGCCTACATCCTACAATAAAAAGTGCTACTGCCGAGACAAAAAAGTCCGTGAAAAAGCAGGTCTCCGTAAGATGAGTAAAAATAATCTTTATTTTTATTAGAGTAAGGCTCATCAGTCGTAGATAAATTATCATCCCTTGAATTGACTTGTGTTGAAACTGACCCCTATTTTGTACCACCTAATGGTTGACGTTTGGAGAATGCCGTCCAATCACTATGTGTATTATGTAAAGAATTAATAAATAAAAGTTATAGTAGTAACAATAACGAAGTATCGTTAATTTATAAATGTAACACATAAACTTAGCATATTTATCAAATAGCAGAGGTGGAATGTATGGTTATACTTAGGTGCGTATTGCCTGAAGGCGTAAGCAGAACAGAATAAGGTCGAAATGCAAAAATCTCAATGAGGGTTGGCTGGCCATTTAGGACACTTATAATACTTAGTGGCGTGAGAGACATAAGAAGATTGATTTTTGTAAAGTGTAGAAGAGGCATGTTTCGGCACGAAGATAAACACGCCTAGGCTCGATGGAACTCTTATACAGAAAACCGGAGTGAAACCATCACAGCGTTGTGATTCGCCGTGGCGAGGGATGTTACCGGAGGCCAGATCCTTACCACACCTTATCCTTAAATCCCCAAAAGCACCATATTCAAAAAGAAACGCACTGTCATCTCCGTGTCCGTTACCCAGGCCAGATGTTGTCGACAATGGCCATTTGAATCTTATAGATAATTAGTTGTGCGGCTTCTGTAATTGTTGCGCACATTTTTAAATTTGTTGCGCTTATAGTTTTTTAATTATTTCACAAAAACATTTCCTGCTGGCGTAACGTTACCACAGCCAGACCTTTTTCTTTCTAATGGGAATATTTAAATAAATGTAAGCTATAAAATTAGTTGTCTAGATAAAGTAAATGTTGTGCCTTATTTTGTATTTGTTCTTTCTTCGGTTGCGAAGTTATTCGAGATTTTGCTGCGGTAACGTTTTTGGTTTTGCTAGATCTTTGAAATGGTTAAGCGGATTCTTATCATATTTTGTACACGACTTCCGAGGACTTAGTTTAAATTTGTTGTGCAATAACAAAACCAAAATAATGCATATTTTAAAGGTTTTTTCATTAAATAGAAAAACACTTCAATTGGCCCCAGCACTCCCAATAAGAAGTCGAAAGACTTACTTCAAACGTAATTTTAAAGCTTGTAACTGCCTTCAAATGTATGTGAAGTTTCATTAGTATCCCGTAAGTATTTAACAAGTTATGATGATATTCAGTTCTTCACGAGCACGGTCTTAATGCACGCGGTGTTATTTGGCCACTGGATTGGATATATGAACTGAATATTATGTCAATGATTAGTTGTTTAGATCAGTTGTATATCAGTAAAATTTCAGCTCAATACATTGGATAATTAATGAGATAATACTATTAAAGTCATTAGGAAGTGAATGACCGTGGTAAGCCGACCAAGTTTAGGCGGTTACGAAAAAGCGAAAACGCAGAACATTATGGTACCTTCTAAAATATGTAGTATAGTGTTATAAATTTAGTACAGTCATGTACAAAAGTTTAAAAAAAACTACATGATTATTCAACATTTTTTATTGAAAGGTAAAATAATCATTTCAATTGAACTTTTACTCCCTTACTTATAAAAACTTGTGTTGCTTAGCAACCGATTAAACATCACCCGTCCTTGTCATTTCTATTTCAAAATGCAGTTCAAAAATCATCTAAAAGGTTACAAAAGTAACCTTCTGGCAAGACTGAGTGCGTTATGCAAACAAACGTATTACCCCTTCACCCCACTCCTCCTGCGTCCTACGGAACGGCATGCTCTAGCGGTGATTTTTGATAATTTTGTGGAACTGGAAGATAATGTTTTCTTTTATATTATTATTATAAAGGTAATTACCAGTGTACGCGTCTGTACCAAAATTGTAAGGTGTATTATACTAAACATTTCAAAAGATAGTACAATGTTCTGCGTTTTCGCTTTTTCGTAACCACCTAAACTTGGTCGGCTTACCACGGTCATTCACTTCCTAATGACTTTAATAGTATTATCTCATTAATTATCCAATGTATTGAGCTGAAATTTTACTGATATACAACTGATCTAAACAACTAATCATTGACATAATATTCAGTTCATATATCCAATCCAGTGGCCAAATAACACCGCGTGCATTAAGACCGTGCTCGTGAAGAACTGAATATCATCATAACTTGTTAAATACTTACGGGATACTAATGAAACTTCACATACATTTGAAGGCAGTTACAAGCTTTAAAATTACGTTTGAAGTAAGTCTTTCGACTTCTTATTGGGAGTGCTGGGGCCAATTGAAGTGTTTTTCTATTTAATGAAAAAACCTTTAAAATATGCATTATGTTGATTTTGTTATTGCACAACAAATTTAAACTAAGTCCTCGGAAGTCGTGTACAAAATATGATAAGAATCCGCTTAACCATTTCAAAGATCTAGCAAAACCAAAAACGTTACCGCAGCAAAATCTCGAATAACTTCGCAACCGAAGAAAGAACAAATACAAAATAAGGCACAACATTTACTTTATCTAGACAACTAATTTTATAGCTTATATTCATTTAAATATTCCCATTAGAAAGAAAAAGGTCTGGCTGTGGTAACGTTACGCCAGCAGGAAATGTTTTTGTGAAATAATTAAAAAACTATAAGCGCAACAAATTTAAAAATGTGCGCAACAATTACAGAATCCGCACAACTAATTATCTATAAGATTCAAATGACCATTGTCGACAACATCTGGCCTGGATAACGGACACGTCATCTCCTCCGAGTTTCCTTAGACGGTGCAGTTTGCTTACCATCAGGTGTATCGGAAAAAAACATCTAAAATATCAATTTAATCTCACAAAATTCTTTTTTCTATTTATCATTTTCAAAATATAAAAGAAAGAAAACCACATGTTGATGTTTATATAGCTTTTTATTGGAATAATATGCATGCAATAAAACAAAACAACTTTACACTACGTATTTATGTAGGTAAGTATGTATTTATAATCAAAAAGTAATGATTTATCCCGTTGGGATCTACTCTAGCAGCTCAATTTAACACCAGAGAAATAACTGGGGTCCTGCCTCAAAGTTTCCGAACTATACAGAGCGACGCAAAAATCAATGTCAAACAGGAAAAAGGCAATAGAAAAATGTGAAAAAATATCCAAGTCTCGTACATACTTAGGTACTTTTAAAGTTTTTTAGAGTAGCGTAATTATATAGATACGGTTTTTTATTGTGAGGGGAAAATCATCAAATGGAATGAATGGAATTTATTATTTAATTTATTTAATTGTAACTTAGAATTTTTTTTTTTTTCATATTTTTCTTATAGCGGCCAGAACTCGCCCTATTGCCCGTTTCCAACTTGACGTTAATTTTTGTGTCACCCTATATTTCCCTTTTCCCTGGTAAGCAAATAAGCCTGTGGATATGTTAGCTATGTTTTAATTGCTTATTTAACACTTTCAATACCACTACGATTTTCACAATGATATCTCGGATGAAGCCTACATTTCTCGTACATTTTAGGCCGCCGTCCCACAGACGTTAAGCTTGCCACGCGACGACGCGGCGTTAAAGTCGCGTCAGCGCGGCGTCGACGCTCCGTAAACGCAACGTTGATGTCAACGCTAGTAAAACGCCTAGTGGGATAGCGGCCTTACGTTGAACTCGCCGAGCGAGTCCACGGCACTGGAATCAAATTTACGTGGACTCTCCGGGCGAGTCGGTGGCACTGAATGTGTTAATTACCTGGGGCTGACTTTATCACCAACAAAAGGCCATGCTAGTTATTGGGAATTTTATTCGAAGCCACACTGGTATTGGCTATGTGCGCGACGGTGGCGACGCGTAGCGTTTACAACATTTGCGGAAACTGTCAAATTATAATTTTCTTTGGAAATATATATATAACCAAAGATTAAAATAGTATTGTTGACGTTATTTAAGTGCAATTTATTCAATAGTTTTACTGTAAAATGAATATAACAATAAAACCGACAGCTGATCATCCGCATTTGTTTACAATTTCTGCCTGTCCGCCACTTTTCGCTTTGCACATGCCACTAAGTACTGGAGCAATGGACAAAAATATATTTCTAACGAAAATTTAGCTTCAAATATAATCTTTTCGAAACAACTTTATTATTAAATTGGCACAAAGACTGTCTCATTTGACTTGTGTTCTTTTTTGGAATAGGAGTCAAAGTAGCAGACTTCTGATATTGAGAGTCCGACCCGCTTTACCCTGGGCGAGAGAACTTTATAATTTACCCTCGGACATTTCAGATTAACATCGATTTAAACGTAGAGAGAGTATAGGTATACAGAAGGTAATAGCGTATACGACGTGAGATAAAAAATGTCTTATATGTAGGTACATTAAACGGCTCACTACGGCTTTTACAGCCAATTTCACTGCAATTTACCTTAATTGCAAACGTATTGGTTCGATTAAAATAAAATAAAGCATAACAAAACTATTTTGTCAATGTCTGCCACCAACGACACTGGTGGCAAAAAAATAAAGCGATACGCTAAAAAGGGACAAGAAACATATGTTTTGTCTTGCTCACACCTAAATATATTCCATTTGCACTTTCTCGCTCTAATCATTATTATTATTATTTTAATAGCTTGTCTATTCTATTCTTAATTTAAAAGTTTTGTTATTTTTGTATTATATGTATAAAAAAAGGAATTTAAGTGTACCTTAACTTAAATAGAACATCAGAAACGATACAGGTATACTGATAACGATCAAATTTTGATTATTTTTTTAAAATAAATCGATCTCGACCACGGTATTTATTATTTAAATCTTTTGTCGTTATTAATCTTCGATAGGAATGTTAACATTAGTCTGTTTCGGTCCTCCATCGTGAGTACTTCTCTGATTCGGGTCATTTTACCGTAATTTCTAAGTTTCTCTTCGGCTTTAAGCCTATTTGATTTATGTTCGGGTAAAGCAACGTGGTCTACTATGTCGTCCCAATCTTCTTCTACGATGTTGCAGTATCCACAATGATACTTATCCAGCTTTATCTGCAAAAGATTTTGTTACTTGAGTTTATAATAAGGTTTTAACAATCCTAAATCACTACTAGATTTAGGTATTCGATTTCGAATTTGCTCACTGTCTTATCACTACATACCTAGTATAAAACAAAGTCGCCTGATCTGTCCTTATATACCTACGTAGCAAGCTTAAATTTTTAAAACTACGCAACGGATTTGATGCGGTTTTTTTTTTAGATAGAGTGATTGAGGAAGAAGGTTTATATGTATAATAAAATCTATTAAATAGTGGAGACGTGGGGACTGTGAGGAATGGGTCGCCTCGACCAGAGTGATACCTCGGCCTGACAGAAAACCATTTGAGTGAGGTTACCGGAGGCCCAATCTTTCCCACCCCCAATTCCTCTCCAATCCTTAAATCTCCATATACCCTAATGCCCAAAAGATCGGCAACGCACTCGCAATTCCTCTGTTGCGAGTATCAATGAGCGGCGCTGATTGCTTACCATCAGGTAATCCGTTTGCTCGTTTTCCGACCTATTACATAAAAAACACTTAATAAAGAATCTAAAAGGTTAAAAAATAATCCGCCCCATCCCCTCTAACTTTTGACCGTATGCTTAGAAAATATTTATATTTTCTTATTTACATATAAAGGACTTTCTATGAAAATTATTGATAAATCGATGGGCTTTTGAAATATAAATACAAAAAAAAATCTGAACTAATTTTGTAATTTAACCGTATATGCAAAAATTTTTTATCTGTGTATATTTATTATAATGAATATATGTTCTTTCAAACAAAAAAAAAAGAATTATTAAAATCAGTTTACGCATTCCAAAATTACGATCAAAAACTTAAAAATAAATACATTCTCCATCTCTATAGTGTGTTTAAATTAGTAACCTAATTCCCTAAGAGATGGCGCTGTACCTACTTTTGCTAATAACGCTGAATTACGGTGTAAAGATTTACAATATCTTATGTGGGGATACTCATTGTGACAGACGGGAAACTACAGAACCCTACACTGAGCGTAGCCCAATACTCTTTTGGCCGGTTTTATAACAATGCCATTGATCTTGCACCCGCACTAAGTACCCTCTAAGCAGTAGAAAGAATAGCAACTGTAGAGAGCTAATAACAGTGTTTCCTTACCTCTCTTATAAATTCATCCTCCAGAGAAGTAATCAAGAGACATTTCTCCACGCTATCTCTGTGCTCATCTTGAATAAGATGATTCAAAACATTATCTGTTGTCAGATCTATATTGCAAGCATGGCAGAATATTTTAACACAAAACTTAGCAATCAGGAAGAAACCAAATGCGTTGAGCCAATATTTGTTGTTGACAATTAAAATGAGTTCTTCTTTATCTTGAACGAATTCGCTCACTTCTATGACATCAAGAAGTGGCTTTTTTGTAACTATTTTTTTATCAGTTTTAGATGTTTTGATTTTAATATTCTCGATATGAGTCTTATTTTCGATGTGTGCTTTTAATTCGCTGAGTTTGGTTGGGAGTCGACGATCGCAAGTGTGACAGTAATAGCTATTATCGGCTAAGTTGCGAGTGAAGCCGTGATTTTTTGCGAAGTCCTGTATCTTCATCCCTTTAGTCCGTGGCTTTTCGGTCTTAGCGTCAGAGGTAGTCATCTTGACTGGGTTAGTAAATAAGGTGGTCCGCTCAGAACCATTCGACTTCATTCCTGATAGAAACGGTACATTTTTTTTGTTGTTTTTCAGGTCAGTCTCATTAACCAAATCCATATGAATGTTGTTTTGAGTATTCATATTTGATTTTGGATTTTCGTTCGCCTTTTGTCCGTTTTCTTTTTTACCCTCGTTCAGTTTTATTAGGTTACGATGGTGTTCCGAACGCAGATGTTCATCGGGTTGGCAGTTTGTTATGAAACAATTACATAAGACACACCATTTTTTGCCTTTATAGTCAGTCACATAGTTTCTGGTCACTATGTTTTTCAAGTAGAAGTCATTTTCGTCAACAGCACTTGATGCCTTTAAATCATCTTTTACTCTTTCAACGTCCTTCTTGGAATCCCCGTTAACAGTGCCTCCAAAGAGAACTTTGTTGTGACCTTCATCTCCTCCTGAGTTATTTTTCTTGTGGGGTGATGGGATAGCATCACCATTGTTTGTTAAAGTGTCTGCTTTAAATCCGCCGTTGTTTTCATCGTTGTGTGTAACCGCATTTTTATGCTCATCGCCATCAAAATGATTACGTAAGTCTACTCCAATGATTTTGTTGCAAGTAAGACAATGATTCGTTTTAGCGTCAATCTGTAAAATAATATAATTATTATTGTAGTGTATGTTTGTACCTAAGTACTTGGAAAAAAGTTGGTATGTTCAAGTTAAAAGGAATTATAAAAAATAAGTTATCCTCATGTGGGAATATAAGATACTATATGTAAGCATTCGAGAAATAGTATGTATAATAATAATAAGTAAATGAAAAAACCACATTACCTTCCTGTAGATTGCAGTGTTGCCTAAGAATGTTATCACTTCACTTGTGAGTAAATTAAGGACGTGCTTGCGTAAACACTTATGAGCATGAAGGTCTGATTCTTCGAACTCAATGTTGCATAGAACACAGGTGTCTTTCAAACAACCATTCCAAGCATCATCTGTTATAATAAATTGATCATATGCCACTGTGTTGGCGTCTATGCGTCTTACGGTAGAAGTACTGCCAGCTTTCGCAATCTGATGAGACACTTCCTCTATATGCATTTCCACCTTCGTAGCAACAGCGAAGGTCAAACTACATGGCTCACAGAAGTAAAGACCATGTAACAGAAGGAAGTCGAGTTTTTTTATGCGATAAAAATGGCAAACGAGTAGGCTGATCACCCGATGTTAATCGATCAGAACCGCACGTTGACACCCGCTACATCAAAGGAATAGCTTTGCTATCCGTTCGGGGTGATAGGGATTTAAGTATTGAGGGATTGATGGCGGGTACACCTCCTTTAACATCCCTTACAACAAAAAGATTACCTTTCTTATGAAATGTCCTTTATATTTTTCCAAGTAGCCGCACTTGTCCAAGTTGGTCTTGTGGGACAGGCTGACGATATGCGCGAGAGTTTCCTCATCACTCTTTAACAAATCGTCGCAGACCAAACAGTAATGTTCCAGTTTGCCCAACAGGACGCCATTTTTAGCAAATATGGAGGTCACTGTAAACACAAACATGATACCTTTTATTTTATAATATGTATGATGCAGCGATTGAGTACTAACAGTATACTAGCAGACAAAAATGATGGCGTTAATTAGACACTGGGCAAGTACACATGTGGGTCCCGATGTCCATTTCAATCTATATTATATGATATATTATATATATATCTATATATATAAAAGAAAGTCGTGTTAGTTACACCACTTATAACTCAAGAACGGCTGAACCGATTTAGCTGAAAATTGGCAGGGAGGTAGTTTAGAGCCAGGAGAAGGACATAGGATAGGATAGAGCAGGGTAGGTAGAGTAGGGTAGGTAGGTAGAGTAGGGTAAGGTAGAGTAGGATAGGTAGAGTAGGGTAGGTAGAGTAGGGTAAGTAGGTAGAGTAGGGTAGGGTAGAGTAGGAAAGGTAGAGTAGGGTAGATAGAGTAGGGTAGATAGTCAAATGACGGGAGCGACGCCGCGGGTAAGAGCTAGTAATTGATAAATATTAAAATGTGAACTAACTAGCTTTTACCCGCGACTTCGTTCGCGTGTAACAGTGATTTCCTGCAGATTTTTGGTATAAAACTATCCTATTTCCTTTCTTTAGTTCCAAACTATGTCTGTACCTAATATCACAAATCGGTTTGTTTGTTGAGTTCTGGACGTATAGTATATTATTAAGAAAAAAAATCAGTGTTTTCCTACTAGTCAAATTCAATACTTTTATTGAAATGTCGAAAACGATAATTTTCTATGAAATTTGTTTTAGACCCCAACATAATAAATGTGACGTCATAATTATTTTACGTCAAACATCATACCTACTTATTTTTAAATCTATACTTATATATATTTTAATATATAAATATTATAAACCTGGAGAGTTTGATTGTTTGAACGCGCTAATCTCGGGAACTACTGATTCGATTTAAATGATTCTTTTTATGTTTGTTAGTCCATTTATCGGGGAAGGCTGTAGGCTATGAAACATCACGCTACGATCTGAAGTAGCAGAGCAGCGTGCGAAAGCGCTGGGAGCTAACTAGTATTTAATTAGAAAAATCTAGCATTAAGTATCTCGTCAAATCAATGAATAAAAGTATAAATAGAAAATAAATAATAATATTTATTTGTTGTAAAAAGGTAGATTACAAAAAATATATATTAAAATCCAGAACAAAGTACAGTGACATCAACCTGAACTAGAACTAGGTGCAACCTGAACATAGCTAAAGGTAGTTGTTTGATTACAATTTAAAAATTACTTACATAGTCTGGCCATAAATACTGTTACAATAAAAAATATACAAAATATTACATTTGAATTTGGAATCTGTCATTTTTATATAATTTTTCATTGTGTTTTCTTATTTTGGCGCCAATAAATTGTTCAATATTTTGCGATATTAAAATGGAGTGGGGTGATAAAGAGAACCTGTGATTGCATTACACAAAGTGGGTATGGAGCCAAATGCAATTTTAAAAAAAACTCCACACGCTTGGCATTAGTCTAATGTTTGTGTACCGGGCTATTAAGAGGTACAATGAGACCTCCTCTGTTTGTGACAGAAAAAAGATCTGGCCGTCCGTAGTGTTCGTACGAAAAAGGTGGTCAAAGCAGTAAGGGAAAGAATTCGTAGAAATCCTGTCCGAAAGCAAAAGATTTTATCTCGGGAGATGAAGATAGCACCTAGAACCATGTCGCGTATTTTAAAAGACGACTTAGGACTTGCAGCCTATAAGAGACGCACTGGACATTTTTTAAATGATAATTAAAAAAAGAATAGGGTTGTAAAATCTAAACAACTACTGAAGCGGTACGCAAAGGGAGGTCACAGAAAAATTTTGTTTACGGATGAGAATTTTTTAAATTTGAGCAACATTTTAACAAAGAAAATGACCGTATTTATGCTCAAAGCTCTAAAGAAGCTTCTCAATTAGTCGACAGAGTGCAACGTGGGCATTATCCGACTTCAGTGATGGTTTGGTGGGGTGTTAGCTATGAAGGAGTGACTGAGCCATACTTTTTCGAAAAAGGTATCAAAACATCGGCACAAGTGTATCAAAATACCATTCTTGAGAAGGTAGTTAAGCCCCTTAACAACACGATGTTCAATAACCAACAATGGTCCTTCCAGCAAGACTCGGCGCCGGGTCACAAAGCTCGGTCCACGCAATCTTGGTTGGAAACGAACGTTTCCGACTTCATCAGAGCTGAAGACTGGCCGTCTTCTAGTCCCGATCTTAATCCGCTGGATTATGATTTATGGTCAGTTTTAGAGTAGGGCTTGCTCTAAACGTCATGATAATTTGGACTCCCTAAAACAATCCATACGATTGGCAGTGAAGAATTTTCCCATGGAAAGAGTGCGTGCTTCTATTGATAACTGGCCTCGACGTTTAAAGGACTGTATTGCAGCCAATGGAGACCACTTCGAATAAGCTTTTTATGTTTTAAATTGTTTTTTATTTATGTATTAAACTTACATACTGTAAAAGTAATAAATGTTATTTGCAATAGAAAAAAAAATTTTTTTGTTACTGTATTTATGGCTAGACTAGGTAATATACCTAAAAGTCAAAATAATGAATGTTTGACCTAAAGAACTGACCAATTGGCGATATTTATACATTGTATAGTTTGGGGATATATAAAACTGCTAACATAATATTCGACATTGAGAACGATCACCGAACCATATGGGATGTGACGTCATTTCATCGATAACATTATTATTTATAATTCTCGTTTCAATGCAATGAGTTTAGTGAAAACAAAACCTGACCTTCACACATCATCATCAGCCTATAAGCGCTCACTGCTGAGCAAAGGCCTCTTCTCACACGGAGAAGGCTTAAGAATTGATCAACACGCTTGCTCAAGGAGAATTGGCGATTTCAAACTTATAATTAGAAATTATAAGTCCAGGGTTCCTCACGATGTTTACCTTCACCGTATGTCAGTGGTGCCTAAATAATCATAGAAAGTACATATAACTTGAAAAAAGTCACATTGGTACTTGCCAGGTTTCGAACACCCTTAACCTCCGGGCCACCACGACACATAGTTCCGGAGATTAGCACGTTGAAACAAACCAAACTCAACCCGCGTGGATGTCGATTTTACACTTTTCCAAGATTTTTTTTTAATTTTTCTCTTCGTACAAACCTTCTCTTGACTTCCACGAATAATTCAAGACCAAAATTAGCCAAGTCGGAAAGGCATTGTTGAGTTATAACATTACAACGAGAAGTGGCGTTGATTTTTGTACTTATGTATATAGATATAGTATATGTATAGATATACCTACCTAGTATAGGTTATTCCGAACTAAAGAATCCCATGACGAGAATTTATTGAGTACGGTGTGATAACAACACTCAATAGAGTTTCTGTTACGTTTCGAGAATGTGTTTATAGATAACAACAATCCTTAGAGTTGATGACTAAACATCCTTCTGGTATATTCATTAAAAACATTAGTCGCGTAGGTATAAATGTGGGAGAGCCGTGCTTTGGCACGAATGGGTCGGCTCGATGGGGATGATACCACGGCCTCACAGAAAACCAGCGTGTAACAACCACAGCGTTGTGTTTCGCCGTGTGAGTGAGGTCCAATCCGTCCCCTCCCCCAATCCCCCCTCAATCCCTAAATCTCCAAAGCCCTAATCCCTAAAAGGTCGGCAACACACTCGTAACTCCTCCGTTGCGCGTGTCCATGGGCGGCGCTGATTGCTTACCATCAGGTAATCCGTCTGCTCGTTTGCCGACCTATTACATAAAATAAAATAAAAATAGGTACTTATCTTATTTCTATCATTTTTATTTAAATTACTGATGTTACACGTTTTCAAGTTTTTTTTTTTTTTAAATTTTCTCTAGACTTCCACGAATAATTCAAGACCAAAATTAGTCAAATCGGTAAAAAGCATTGTTGAGTTATAGGTAATAACATGACAATGAACGAAGTGGCATTGATTTTTGTATTAGGTAGAAGATGTAGATAGACGTTTTTTGTCATCAAATGACTTCTCCCGCCCAGGGTTAGGCAAGAGAGAGTGTCAGACTCTTACTGACTAGACTAGAGCGAACTATCTCGACTTCGCACGGGCAACCAAACCAAGGTAATAATATCTACAAGTATTCCAACTTCATAGAAACGGCCGAAACGCGAACTATACCTACGCGCCCGATGTCGGGACGCGCTCGGGACGCAGACAGACGCGGCTGTACCGCAGTGACGAACGGATTTCTATGAAGTTGGAATACTTGTAGATATTATTACCTTGGCCGAGTTACAATACTGTATGATATTTTTACTGTGACCAAACCGTACCCCGTGCTACGTAGGGACCGTACCGTAGGGCCGATGTTCGGCCGGGGTTGCGGGGAGTAAGCGCGGCCTGAAATCAAATCAAATCAGATTCTTTATTTCAAGTAGACCACAACAGGCACTTTTGAACGTCAAGCAAAAAAGATATCATAAGGTTTAACTTTATATGTGTCAGTCTGTCCTCTAGTGAAGCTATTCGCTCGTTCAAAGTGTAGATTCCTATGGAGAAGAACGAGCAAGAAACTCCATGGTTTCTCATCTCCTCGACCCGGAGCAGGAGAATGAACGGGGCGGTTTTTATACAGCAAGAGTCTGGCACTCCCTCTCGCCCACTCTAGGCAAAACCGGTGTAATAAACTAGTACAGCGGTTCGTTTCGTGTATTTGAGGTAACCGGTGACCTTTACCTCGTTTCCCCTCCCTCAATCCCTAAATCTCTATAACCCTAATCACCAAAAGGCAACGCACTCGTAAGCCCTCTGGTGTAGCGAATGACCATGGGCGGTGTTGTTGTGCTTATTATTATCTAATACGTAAGTTCGTTTGCTGATGTTATCACACAAAAAATGGAAGAGGAACAAGCCGGTTCTCAGTTTGTAAGAATGAGAATTGTGGTGCTCTCTTTCGCCCCACTTAGGGTTTTTTTATGTCATAGGTCGGCAAACGAGCTGACGGTAAGCAACCAGCGCCGCCCATGGACATCCGCAGCAACAGAGAAGTTACGAGTGCGTTAACGACCTTTTGGGGCCTCCGGTAAAGTCACTCACAGGACGAAACACAACGCTTTGATTGTTTCACGCCTGTTTTCTGTGAGGCCGTGGTATCACTCCGGTCGAGCCGACCCATTCGTGCCGAAGTATGGCTCTCCCACATTTAGGGTAAGGAGAAAGAGGAGAGAAAAATCGCCAAATAATAATAATAATCGAACTCCTAAGGTCTAGTACAGCTGTCGCATTGGCTACTTATTTGCCGAAGCAGCCTGATGTAAGATCTGTTTGCAATTATATTAATAACAGGTATAAGGGATGTCTCCTGGGTTAAAACAACAAGAGATTCTAATTAGTCCGTCAGTAAGATTATAGAAAAATACTCGATACTTATTTTTTTATTTGTCCATACGAATAATATTGACAAAGATACAGCACATTCAAATTCAGGAGTAGGGGCTCGTCACTCTTTCGTAAAAATTTTACGAAATAATGACGTAACGCGAACTTTCGCCGCTCTGTTACTTTGTTATTTTAAGTTTTAGAAGCAAAAGAAAATTACATATCTACTATTTTCTGGCGTTCTAAAAGATGGACTAATTATTATTTTTTAGTCATCATCCCTATTATTGCATATCGCAAACAAGTGTCTAATAATATTTTTTTGATTAGAAGATAAAATGGTGAGGCAGATCCGCTCTCACTGTCTTATACAAACATTCTAACGCGACAGCATCATAATTACTCCCCAGCCAGATAACTTTTATCTAACCATTGAAAAATCAACCCTGAGGAATAGTTATTATGGTTTCTAGGTTTAGTTGGTTAAATAAAGTATAAAAAAAATTGTAAAGTCTTTTTATATTAAAGAGGTCGTATAAAATACATACCTACAAAGATTATTTAAATTGAGTTAACATCGATTTAGGTAAGTGCCTGACTGGAAATATTTTTACAATAAACTTTCAGACAAAAAGACATGCCAAGATTGTTTACAATTAGTTAATATAATATACAGTACGGCCGTCGTATCGTCGTAAGTTAGCCGTTTGTCTGCGCAATGGATCTTTTAGGAATAAAATTGTGTACTGCGCAGCTAATCGGCTAACTTCAGACTCGCCAAGATACGTCGTCGGCGGTATTGTACCTAAACTGATAGACCATAAAAGTATAAAGTCAAATCTAGAAATCGATTGAAGGCAAATCTTCCGTTAGGTACCGTTATGGTCACCGGTGCCCTACGTGGCGATTGACGTGTTAAAAACTAGATTTTATAAAGCTACATCTAAATAAATATTACCTACAATAGAAAATCTACGAAGATATGTAGACTAGATTTTATTAATCACCACCACTTCTATTGCTGTTTGTGCTTTCCAGAACTTTCTAATTGCTATTATCTATACCTAGGTCTAGGTACTTAGGTATCTGTATATCCTTATATTTATATAGAACAAAATAAATAATGTTCTAACATAACCCAACTTATTAAGGGCATATAAGATATTTGTGTGAAGTTTTTGCACAGCTACACCCTTAGGCGAAAGCTAGCAACCTACCTACCTATACGGATATAGCCTTAATATTTTCACAACAACAAATTACGAAAGTAAGTAATCATTGTTACATACAATGCACAAGAATTAACGTGTTTGCAAACTACAAAGTATATTATAGCTGAAGTACCTATTCACGCCACGGCGGCCCGGCGCCGATCACTGAATCACTGATAAATCTAAAAACAATTTTATTGTGGAACGGAAGCCTGCGTTTGCAGTAAAATACTAAAAAATCCGAAATAACACTCACTTTTTCCTCCGGAATGTGTAGATTGCTCTCACAACTGTAGTAGGAATGGAATGCCGACGAAATCAAGTTGAGTACTATGTCCTTCTCGGTAGCCCGTGCAGGAATGAAAGAGGCAGAGGCAGAAAACTTGCACTGATCGTGTATTATAAGCGGGAAACACCGAACCAAAGAGCCGAAGGATAATGTACCATAGACAAGGATTCAAGGTGGTGGTCATGATGTGTCGTGTCGGCGGTGTCGTGCCTATCCATTTCATACATTTACTATGGTTCTCTAACACTATAAAACTAGCGTATATTATTATAGGGTATGATTCGAGGCAATTCTGTGACAACACGAAATACTTTAATGGCAGATTATAGATTCATCCAACTTTAACTTTGTGGTAGTTAATGTATTAGCTCAAAAGAAAAAACATGTGGTTTGGTAAAATTATAGTATAAAAGTATACTTATTATCCTAAACTATGAATTTTGCGGTATATGTATATAAAATACAAAATTAATGTTATAGGTATAGACATAACTAAGTACACAACCGACAGATACCTAAGTATATCATACAATATCACACACCGTCATAATAAAGTGTCGTTAATTTTGGTAAAAAGTTATAATAAATTGTAAATAAACCAGTTTTGTATATTGGGGAGCTTAGAGGTCAAAGGATTGGGGATATAATTAATGGGCAAGAGAAGAATATATGGTCTAAAATACGGTGGCATTCACACAGCGGGTTGTCGCGAAAACCAGATTGCGTCAATAGCAAAACGCCTGAATATCGGTATTAATCTAAGATTACAAAAAAAAACTTCCATCGTTCCATAGCAAGAATATTATATAGAACACTTTATAATATTCTTGTTCCATAGTCATAAAAAACATGATAAGTGTCAAAAGTAAGTCATTGTCAAACGTTCTTGACACTTTGACAGCTAAATTTGACAGTTCAAAACACGTGTGGTGTGGAACTTGCGCTGCGTCGCAGTGTGAATATAAATAACACCGTTTTAAAATTGGTGTTTTATAATTTTTAAGCATAAATGTGAATTACAAAAGTAACATGAATCCAAAGAAGATCGCAAAGAACCCATCTTTGGCTTACACAAGCAACCCAGACTATCGGAAACCGCCGAAAATCGCAAATCCTGTACGTAACCTCTTGCAATATTTATTTCACCCTTTTCATTACAAAACCATTAAAAGTAAGCTATGATAACAATTGTTTTGTATGTTTTAGTATCTGCAATGTCTTGGGGCGCCTCATATTGACTCTTTCAACTATATGTTGCAAGATGGTTTGCAAGCGGCGATTGCGGATTTATTGCCTTCTGAATTTGAGCTCCCTGGCGGAGAAAGGGTGAAAATAACGATTGATGAAGCTGGATTCGCTAAACCTAGCGTTCCGATGGAGGCAGTGGGTGTTAAAAACCAGATAGTACTGCCGACAGAGTGCAGGCAGCGTGCTGCGACTTACAAAGGAGATTTCAAAATCAGATTGACAATTAAAATTGATGAGAAGTCCATTACAGTTGACAGATCTCTGGGATCTTTGCCTATTATGGTGAAGGTGAGTTGACTTTTAAAGTGATTAAAAAATATACTACATATTTTTATTTGGTGGTAAAAAATCAAGCAATGACTTCTCCCGATCTGGGTGAGAATGTTTACAGTGTTTTGCAAACACTTATTTCCCTATATTCATGTGGTATACAAATTGTTTAGACAAAAATCAGTGTAAAAGTTCAAAAATGCTATTGAATTATGTTGACAACTACCACAGGATTTTTTCTTAATATTAATGTTTACACTTGTTTTTTATTCTCCATGGTATACCTATAGTATCAGTATACAGACAATAAGAAAAAAGTTTAATAGATTGATTTTACTTAGTTTTTTTTTTTCCTTTCTATAAACTAGTGCTTGACTGCGATCCCACCTGATGGTAGGCAGTGATGCAATCATTGATGGTAAGGCGCACTAGTTTATTAAGAGCCTATTCACTCTAGCCTTGAAGACAAGTTAATCAATATTTTAATAAAGCTAAAACTATTTTTTGTGATGTAGAACTACTTTACTATTCTATTCATTTCATTCATAAAATAAAGTTGCTTTCTCTGACCCAATATTATAATTAAATCTTTAAAACTGTGCAATGGTTATTGATGCGGTTTTTTTAATAGATAGTATGATAAAATAGGAAGGTTTTTTGTATTATAACATCCGTTCAATAATACATAGTACACCCATCATCATTGCACCCATTCAAAGCTGGTGCAGGTTGCTAGCATAGAATATAGTTCACTAATCTATATACTAAAGTAACCCGAATACTTAATCCTTTACACTCATAAAAATACTAATATTTGCAGTCTAAAATGTGTCACTTGGCGGATTTGTCTCCGGAAGAGCTTGTGCAACACAATGAGCATGCAGATGAATGGGGTGGATACTTTATTGTCAAGGTATGTCTGTCTTAATTACATTACTACATAGTAACAACGGCACCACACGTTGGCGCCAATGTCGGCTCCAACATTGGAAAGAATGTTGGTAGTTAACCGGCTAGTGTCGGTCTTATTCATGGAATACGTGCCAACATTTGTATCATATTGGCGAGATGCCGTCGGCAACAAATTCGCCACCCATTTGGATAAATAAAAAAGTTCTAAAATTTATCGAACTATACCAGGAATTACTATTACCAATAATAGGAAACCCATCTCGAAAGGATCATCAAAATTAATAAATCAATTTCGATTTCAGTATCGGACATTTTCACATTGGCACTGACTGAAATGAACTAATAAAAGTTTACAAATATTGTTAATTTTATATTAGTTTCGATTATTAGCATAGTTATTTTCTTTTTTATATATTTCTGTTTTCTATGTGTGTCCGCTTGCGCAGATATAAATGTTTTTCTTTCTTTTTTTCTTCTTTTTTAGTGTAATAGCCAATGTGTGTGTACACTTCACCAAATGTTTATACAAGCATAAGGGCCCACATGTAAAGCCAAGTTACTTCCCAATGAGAAAACTCACAACTCCTATGTTACTCGATTCATCATCCTCATCATCATCAGCCTGTTGTCGTCCACTGCTGGATATATTGGCTGCTGGGCATATTGGCTGGACATAGGCCTCCCCAATTGCACGCCACTGAGCTTGATGCTCGTCGGATGTCGTCAGTCCACCCAGCTGAAGGGCGCCCTACACTACGTTTGCCTAGACGCGGTCTTCTAGAACACTCGATTATCAATTGTGAAATGTTGTTTTCAGGGACATGAACGTCTAGCCCGTATGCTGTTGGTAACCAGACGGAACTACCCCGTTGCTATCAAGCGTTCCGGGTGGAGAATGAGAGGAAATCTGTTTTCAGATTACGGTGTCATGGTCCGCTGTGTCACTTCAGATCAAACTAGCACGGTGTGTATTTTTCATTGATGTTTTATAATAATTTCTGTTACTGGCCAGACCACTACATATGCCATGAAATAATTTCAGATTATCCGTTAATTTTTGACTGCACGGTTGGCACAGTGGCTGAGAAACTGGCTGCTGTACAAAGTGTCGCGGGTTCGATTTCCGCACGGAACAATACTTTATGTGATCCACAAATTGTTGTTTCTGATCTGGGTCGTTTGTTTATGGTATTTAAGTGTAAGTTTGTGAACGCAATCACGACCAGAGGTCACCAGAGGCCCAAGGAGCAGGGGAGGGCCCTGCTATTTATATGTCATTTCCGAAACCCTTATCCCCAAAAGGCCGGCAACGCACTCGTAACTCCTTTGGTGTTGCGGGTGTCCATGGGCGGAGCTGACTGCTTACCATCAGGTATTCTATAAAAAGATGTTAATATGTAAATTAATACTGTTTTCAGAACAACGTACTCCACTTTCTGAACAATGGCACATGTAAGCTGATGTTCTCGTACCGTAAAATGATGTACTACGCCCCCCTACTGCTCATTATGAAGTGTCTGGTCGACTGGCCCGACCACTACATATACAGGCTGTTGCTACACGGAAAGAAGAACGACCTGTATTACGTTAAGTAAGTCATATAGGTATTTTTATATCTTACTTTTTACTAATATTATAAATTCAAAATTTACGATGATTGGATTTTGGATGTTTGTTACTCAACAACGCCAAAATGGCTGGACGGATTTGTATGAAACTTGGCACAGGCATAGGATACACTCCGGAATAGGACATAGGCTACTTTACATAGCACGCGGGCGGAAGCTAGTTCAAACATAAAACATTGTATTTTTTTATGTAACAGGTCGGCAAACGGGCTGACGGATTACCTGATGGTAAGCAATCAGCGCCGCCCATGGACACTCGCAACGGAGGAGTTACGATGCGTTGCCGACCTTTTAGGGATTTGGAGATTGAGGGATTGCGGGAGGGGGAGGGGAAGGATTGGGCCTCAGGTAACCTCACTCACACGGCGAAACACAACGCTGTTGATGTTTCACGCCAGTTTTCTGTGAGGCCGTGGTATCACTACGGTCGAGCCACCCATTCGTGCCGAATCATGGCTCTCCCACACTTAAACTTTGTTTTGTCAAACTGTCTTCATAGTTTGGTATGTTTACATAATAAATAAAAGATTTAATTATTAAATCTTATTCAACAGCTGCATACAAAACATGCTGAGGGAACTTCACGAGGAGGGCCTACATTCCTCCCACGAGTGCCGTTCGTACTTGGGAAGGATGTTCCGGCCCAAACTGTATGAGCTACCTCCCTGGTCAACCGACTTGGATGCAGCGGATTTCCTCATCGATCGATGTGTGATGATCCATTTGAAAGATCACAAGGACAAGTTCAATGCACTCGTGTTTATGGCACAGAAATTGTATGATTTGGTTCAGAATAAATGTAAGGTAAGCAATTTGTTTAATTTTGTAAAATATCTATAGTAATATTCTAAAGAGGTAACATTTGTAAGTTTGTGCGTAGGGGGTCATAGATAGGTACGTTTTTCCTGAGTGCTATACGCTATGAAACATCACCCTACGATCAAATGGAGCCGAGGAGCGGGTGAAACCGCGCGAGGGTAGCTAGTGTTTCGATAATAAGGTTCAATTTTGGGCCGGCAACGCACTCGTTTGAAAGAGGACGTGCTGGCCCGGAGGTTAAGGAGACCGCTTCTCATGCATGAGGATGTGGATTCGAAAAAACACGTACTTTCTAAGATTATTTAGACACCACTGACATATGGTGAAGGTAAACATCGAGAGGAAACTTGGACTTATAATTTCTAATTATAAGTTTGAAGTCGCCAACCCTCATTGAGCAAGCGTGGTTATGCTCTAACCTTCTCCTTATAAGAAGAGGCCTTTGCTCAGCATTGGGCACTTATAGGCTGATGACAATGAATGAACGCACTCATAAATCCTTTGCTGCTGCGGGTGTCCATGGGCGGCGCCGATTGCTTACCATCAGGTAACCCGTCTTCTCGTTTTCCGACTTATAAAAAAAGAAATACCCTCTTTCATGTGTTAGTTCCGTTTTCTTTTAAATATGTGATTATTGTTGGTCACTGGCCGAAATCTACAGTAAGGCAATTAATATTATGATTATGATAATTTACAGGTGGAAGGTGCTGATGCTGTAATGGTCCAGGAGTTGTTGGTGGGAGGTCACCTCTACCTACAGATCCTGAAGGAGAGGCTGCAGCAGATTATGACCAATTTAAGGATCCAAGTGCAAAAGAAGGCGAAGACCTCCAAGAAACTCGATATCGGAGTGGTAAGTTAGTTATTGGCACAACAATCATAGTTCGACTGTATGGTTGGATCTCCGGCCACCGTAAGTACGGGCCTGCGGTCGGCGAGTAAGGGCAGCTCGCCGTCCGACCAGAACCAGGCCCGAGCGTACAGCGCGTAGCGTTCCGCGCGCGCCACAAAAAGCCAATAGACCACCACGGACAGGGCCCTATAGGGCTGATGTTCAGCCGGGGTTGCGGGGTAAGCACAATGGCACCGCATTATCTCTTGAAAAAAAAACAACGCTGTTCAGATTCTAGCACGGAACAAATCTTTGTGTGATCCCCAAATTGTTTTTCGGGGTTAGCGCAATAAGGCACCGCGGCCTCGGCCTATATCAGGAAAAGGGTTTTTTTAGCCAGTAACGGAGTCTGACCACGGATTTAAGACTCACTCCGTGGTCAGACTCTTGGCCCGGAGTAACCGCCGGGCCACCAAACGTCAGCTTCTCATGCTTGAGGGTGCGGGTTCAAAACCTGGCACCAACATGACTTTTTCCAAGTTATATGTACTTTCCAAGATAATTTAGACACCTCTGACAAATGGTGAAGGAAAACGTCGTGAGGAAACCTGGACTTATAATTTCTAATTATTGTAAGTTTGAAATCGCTAATCCGCCTTGAGCAAGCGTTGTGATTAATGCTCAAACCTTCTGCGTGTGAGAAGTGGCTTTGGCTCAGCAGTGGGCACTTATAGGCTGAATGATGATGATGATGATGGTGGTGGAATAAATAGTGATTTTTATTTATTTTGTCTTCCCAGCATGAAGTTCGGCAAATGCTCCGTAGCTGCGGTAACTTAGAGCAGAAGTTCGAGACGTTCCTCGCGACTGGGAACGCGCCCTCCAACAACGTGACCCTCGCACAGTACAAGGGACTCACCATCGTCGCTGAGAATATCAACAGAATGCGATACATGTCGCATTTCAAGTTAGTACATCCTGTATATATTCACTAGCTACTCTCGCGCGGCTTCACCCGCTGCTCGGCTCCATTTGATCGTAGCGTGATGTGTTATAACCTACTAGCTTTTGCCCGCGACTCTGTTAGCGTGGAATAGTGACTTCCTGGAGATTTTAGGTATACATATAAACTATCCCATGTCCTTTCTCGAGTTCCAAACTATGTCAGTGCCAAATGTCATAGAAATCGGTTCACTAGTTTAGACGCGAAGAAAGGACAGACAAATAGATTTACTTTCGCATTTTTAATATTAGTTTGGATAGCCTTCCTCGATAAATGGACTAACAAACACAAAAAGAATAACTTATTCAATTCAGCAGCGGGTGAAACCGCACGAGTATACCTAATTTTCTTCTTTATATATAAAAATGGATCGCAAAATGTGTTGGTAAGCGCATAACAAAGCCTGGACCAATTATGCTAATTCTTTTTTTGTTATGTTTTTTATTGTCAGGAGAAAATATTAGAAAAGTAGAGGAGAAGATTAAATAAAGTGACCTTTTGATAGCGAGATAGTTGGGCTATTTGTTGCTGATATAATATTGTAGATTGTGTTAATTGTATGTGGTAGATCGATCCACCGCGGTTCGTTCTTCATGGAGATGCGTACGACGGAGGCGCGGCAGTTGCTGCCGGACGCGTGGGGCTTCGTCTGCCCCGTGCACACGCCCGACGGCGCGCCCTGCGGACTACTCAACCATCTCACCATGACCGCGCAGGTACTATACCGCCGACATATCTTGCCGAGTCTGAACTTAGCCGATTAGCTGCGCAGTACACAATTTTGTTCCTAAAAGATCCATTGCGCAGACAAACGGCTAACTTCAGACTCGCCAAGATACGGCGGCCGTACTGTAGGTACTTACTTTTTTATAGGATTAGTCGGCAAACGAGCAGACGGATTACCTGATGGTAAGCAATCGGCGCCGCCTATGCACACCCGCAACACCAAAGGAAATACGAGTGCGTTGCCGGTCTTTTTGGGTTTGCAGATATTTAAGGATTGGGAAGGGATAGGAAAGGGGGAGTGATTCGGCCTCCGGTAACCTCACGAAACATATGTTGTATACATTACATTTTTCATATGGAAACAAGTGTTTTATGTGATTTTTCGGTAAACACTCTATGGTCAACTATTTGAGACAATAAAGAGTTGTTTCGTGTGATAATCGAACCCGTGACACGATGCTTTGGCAGCCAGTCCCGTCACAGCTTCAAATGAGAAATCAATTTTATAAAATATTCTTTATCCTGTTTCCTAGGTAACACAACACCCGGATCCGAAGCAAGTGGCGGGACTACCACAAGTGTTAGAACGATGCGGTGAGTTACTCTATCTGTTACGCATTTACACCTAAACTACTGAACCGGTTTTGATGAGGTAGAATAGAATGGTAACTTGCAAAAGCGATGGAACAATAATATTTAACGTTCTACCCAAGAATCATAACTTAAATCATTTATTTAAAATTGGCACTTTTGAACGTCAAATTAAAATAAATAAAAAGTTTAACTTTGCGTGTATAACTCTATTATAAATATTATAATATTCCTATGGAGAAGAACAAGCAAATAACTCAAATTATTTTTGTTTTTTTTTTATGTTATTTTTTCTGATGGGTAAGAAGTACCTGATGGTATGTAATTAGCGCCGCCTATGGACATTCGCAACTACAGATGAGTTACGAGTGCGTTGCCGACCTATTGGGGATGAGTGATTTGGAGATTTAGGGATTGATGAGGGGACTGACACTTTGGAACGAACAAATAGCTTCACTAAGAGGACAGACCGACAGACTGACTCTATATCTTCAAAATTTTGTTTGACGTTCAAAAATGCCTGTAAGGGTCTAATTGGAATAAATGATTTTTGACTTTTTTTAAAAAAGTATTGGAGCTCCGGTAGCCTCACCCACACGGCGAAACACAACGCCGGTTTTCTGTGAGGACGTAGTATCACTCCCGTCGAGCCGATAGTTACTCTTTGCCAATCAGTTTCACAATTAATTTCTTTGTCACATTACTTTTGAACTTCTACATTAATTGGACAGAACGACGTTTTGTTATCTAGTGAAGTAAAAAGCAGTTATCACATGAACTATGGCCTCTATAAACAGGTATGGAGCCCATAAGCTCAGTGGCGCAAATGCCTCTATCCCGGGACACGTACAAATACCCCGTGTTCGTGGACGGCCGTCTCGTCGGGTACTTCGCAGAAGACACGGTGGACAAGTCAGCTGCCTACCTCCGAACGCTCAAAATCAAGGGCGAAGAAGTTCCAATATCTATGGAAATTGTAGTCGTACCCAAGAAACAGGTTTGTTGACCTTCTGTCTAAACTTATTTTGTAAGGCCCTACAGGGCTGATGTTCAGCCGGAGTTGCGGGGTAAGCGCAATAAGGCACCGCGGCCTCGACCTAAAACAGGAGAAGGAACGGGGGGTTTTTAGTCAGTTAGAGTCTGACACTCTCTCTCGTCTTACCCTGGGCGGGAGAAGTCATTTGGCGATTTTCCCCTGAAAAAGGGAGCTCCGTAACCTTTACCGAATCGGAAATAAATGTTTCGGATAGTATCGGATAGGGGCGGAGCAATGACGTATTATATATAGACACGTCATGAACCAACATCGCGGCGCTTAAAAACGGCGAAAATACTAGATAACTACTTCTACGAGTAAAGAAAGGGAAAGAAAATATGACATCGTATAGTGGAATGCCTTTGCTAGAGGGAGATAAATATACATCTTCAGTTATGCCGACGGCACGTGACTATACCTTCATGCGCCGGCCGCCATAAGACGGCGGGCGCCGGCGTCGAAAAAAATAAAATAAAAATAGGTTGTTTGGTGAACTTACGCATGAAATGACACATTTTTGTCTTTAACTTTTGGAGTATAATTTGTACATCGTCTGAACACACACGACGACATGCTTTCTTTATGTTTCGCACAGGTTTACACACGATATAAATTAAAAACAAACGTAGCGTCGCGCGGCAGGTTGGTGCGTAACTAAGCGCGATGTTGTCAATTGCCTTCATTTCATGTTGTCATTTTAGAGCGCGGACAACGTATCTATAGTTTTATACATCATTGGGGCGGAGCCTAATTAAGACACGTTCCCCCTTATTACAAAACAAGATTTATCTTTAGTCCAGGTTTAAACCATTGAGTCGGGTTTTGAATGTTCAATCTTATTGTCATCTACCTTCAATTCGAAATACAAAAACTGACTCAATGGTTTAGTCCTAGATTAAAGTAAAACCGGTTGTAATAAGGCCGGAGCCGACAACTAGTCATTAGTTGTTATTGTTGGCCGGGCGCAGCGAACACAAGCCGCGCGCTGGTGACATATAAATGAAAATATTATATTTTTTTATTAGCTATATGTATTTTACTTCATCCATAACCGAAACTAACGGATAATCCGAAATAATTTCATAACCGTATCCAGTATAATTATCAATCCTATATCCGTATCCACAACTTCATATCCCCGGCTTCACATCAGCAGTGTTCATGAAAAATATATCTGCAAATAAGTTTTTTTTTTTAATATGTTGGCAAAGTCGGATTACCTGATGGTAAGCAATCCGCGCCGCCCATGAAAACTCGCGACACCAAAAGAGTTACGAGTGCGTTGCCGATGTTCTAGGGATAAGAATTTTGGATCTTTGTGTGAAGGGTTGGGGAAGGGGAAGAGATTGGGCCTCCGGTAACCTCACTCACACGGCAAAACACAACGCTGTGGTTGTTTCACGCCGTGGTATCACGGTCAGTCAAGCCTTGCGGAAACATGTTCCAAATTGTAGATTCGAAAAGAACGAGCAAAAATCTCCATCATATTATTATTATTTATTTTTATTGAAATATATGTTTTACTAGCTCACCAATACATTATTGTATTCAAAATAATATGTGAGAACAATGCAAATTCATTTTTAAGCTGTAAGACAGGAATTTGCTGTCTGACTCAAAACCAACTCCACTAACGCTCGAAACTGTTCGGACTAGCCTGTAATTGTTCGTGTTTGAATCAGATCTGCTCTCAATACGCGGGGGTGTTCCTGTTCACGAGCGAGGCCCGCATGATGAGGCCTGTCATCAATCTGTCCACTGGGCAACTGGAGCTCATCGGCACCATGGAACAACTCTATCTAGACATTGCAGTCACACACAATGAGATCCTCAAAGGTACGTCTTTTTTTAGGAGGATTACCTGATGGTAAGCAGTTGGCCTCGCCCATGGACCCAACACCAAAGGAGTTACGAGTGCGTTGCCGGCCCTTTAGGGTATTTAAGATTTGAAAATGGATGGGGGGGGGGGGGGCAGGTATTGGGCCTCCGGTAACTTTCGCTCACACAGCTAAACACAACGTTCGTCTAAAAAAGTTTTCCTTGTAGGTTCCGGAATCCGGTAAAATTTTCAGATTGATTTAAGTATTTTTGGGATTTTCGTACGTCTGCCCTCGTGGTGTAGGGATATAACTGGATATACCAGTGCTGTGCATAAGCACAGCATATACAAAGATGGACCCCTGGCTACACTATATATTTTTATTTTTTGTGCAATGTTCATTTCTGTATGTTTTCGACTTATGTGTGTGTAGCTAAATAAATGGTTTAAATATAGGGACATTACATAGGTATTTGTTGTAATCATTACTTTTCTGACTTATTTATGTTATTTATTTACTTTTCTTACTTTTTTTTATTACTTTTCTAACCGAAATATCTGATTCCAGGTAAAACGACGCACGTGGAACTATCACAGACAGCGTTCCTCAGCAACCTGGCGCAGCTGGTGCCTATGCCCGACTGCAATCAGTCGCCACGGTTAGTTCATAAATATTATTCTGTTTGTTCTTTCCTTTCACGGGATCACAGGATCCCGGACCTTTGGAAGGTGTACGAGGGGCCGAAGCCAACTCGCAGAGGCCCTTTTGAACAACTTTAATATAAGTGAAATGGGACATCAGCCGGCAATTATCCCTGTATGCACTATGAAAGAGCACCCAAGGACAATCCCCGGTTGATGGACGACTATTGCGAAATGTGGTAAAAATTTATAGGGTTATGGGTATGGATTGCTATGGACTGGTGGATATGATAACTATGGAAATACTATGGCCCCTGCCCCTGAACAATATTGATACATACGGATAGACAGGCAGGGGGTGTCTGGCAAACTCAATTAATGGGCCCCCGGAAACGGCCGCTAGCATGTAGCGACAAGGGGGCAACATACGTTGAGCTGCTTGGGGAAGGAGAGGCATCCCACGGCTATCAGAGCAATCCCGGAAGTACGGTCAAGACCCCTACCAGCACCTTACTGGGATACATCCTTTCCCCGAGTCTCCTTCAACTCCTAATTATTATTATTCTGTTTGTTCTTTCCTTTCACGGGATCACAGGATCCCGGACCTTTGAAGGCGTACGGAGGGTCGATTCCCGTTCGCTCGTTTTCTCAGACCTTTTATGCGATGCCTTTAAGCGCTTATAAACTGTTTTTTTTTTAATAAAACTTTATGTATATACACAAATTCGTATACGAAAACCACCCGACATAACAATTTGTGGATCACAAAAAGTGTTGTTCCGTGCGAGAATCGATCCCGTGACACGATGTACAACAGCCAGTTGCGCAGCTATTACGCCAATATCATCATCAGCCTATATTAAGTGCCCACTGCTGAACTGGCAAAGGCATCTAGTCACATGGAGGTTTGAGCATTGATCACCAAGCTTGCTCAAGGCGTATTGGAGATTTCTAACTTAAAATTAGAAATTATAAGTCCACGTTTCCTCACGATGTTTTCCTTTACCGTATATCAGTGGTGTCTAAATAATCATAGAAAGTACATATAACTCGGAAAAAATCCCATTGGTACTTGCCAGGTTTCGAACCCTAATGAGCATGAGAAGCGGGCCTCTTAACCAACGGGCCACCACGACACTTTATATGATGATGTGTGATGTGATGTGATTATATTGTTACAGTAATATGTACCAATGTCAGATGGGCAAGCAAACGATGGGTACGCCGATCCATACATGGCAGACGAACGCAGAGACCAAGTTATACCGGTTGCAGAGTCCGGCCACCCCACTGTTTCGCTCCACGCATTATGATAACATAGGTTTGGACGACTACCCCTGCGGGACCAACGCCATTGTTGCTGTTATCTCTTACACGGTCGGTATTTTTCTTATAATGTTTGTTTTTTCGTCTATTTTCGTAAATTCCGCGGTTGGCTAATGTGCAAAGTGTCTTAACAAAATAACCTCAGTCAAAATCATTTTTTTGTGGACATAAATATACAGGAAGGTCTTGAAACTAAATTTGCAGGAGCTCTGTCTTCTACCAATGGACTTGGTGTACAAATATTTTAAACAGTGTATGGAATATATTTTGCAATCAATTAATTTATCAATAACCCTTCAACTGAGTAATATATCGATCGCCCCACAATGAGAGAAGTAATTGGATTATTTACCGCCTTAAAAACTATAACATAGATAGAATTATCATTCTCAATAATGGGGATGATGACTAAAAAATAATAATTAGTCCATCATTTAGAACGCCAGAAAATAGTAGGTACGTATTTTTTCTTTTGCGGCAAAAGTTCGCGCTATGTCATTATTGCGTAAAATTTTTACGAAAGAGTGACGAGCCCCTACTCCTGAATTTGAAAGTGCTGTATGTATGTCAATATTATTCGTATGGACAAATAAAAAAATACGTATGGAGTATTTTTCTATAATCTTACTGACGGACTAATTAGAATCTCTTGTTGTTTTAACCCAGGAGACATTCCTATTGCTTATTTCATCCACAGGGCTACGATATGGAAGATGCGATGATAATCAACAAATCATCATACGAGCGGGGGTTTGCAGCCGGATCAGTGTACAAGGCTGACTTTATAGAGCTGGCACATCCTGCTTCTTACTTCTACAGGGACCCCAGCAAGCCGGACCTTGCCCAGCATATTGACGAGGATGGCTTGCCGGCCGTAGGGGCTCGGGTTAAGCCCGATGACCCGTTTTACAGGTGAGGATATTATACATATATTTTACACACACACACACACAGACACTGAGAGACACATAAAAAGTCTTTCACATGTTGACAATTGATATAATGTTATTAAATGGTGGGCCTGGAGATCTATAGTACAGGCTTCGGCTTAGTTTAGACTCCAGATCTCCCACAAATTACTAATTTTTCGACAATTTGTCTTGTCAACACTATAACTTGTTGTAATTTGTGGACACGAAATAAACTGATTTATTATTTTATACCTAACTAGTAGAGCCCCACATATCAAAAAGCGAAATCGTTAGGGCCGTTTCCGACATGACATGCTTTTTCAACCTATCAGCGCCATCTACCGGGCAGATTTGTGGATCTAATCTATTGGGTGCCACTCAAGCGCATATAGAAAAAAAACATCGAAATATGTCAAGCTGTTTATGACGAATTCAGTGATATACAGATGTACAGCAGAATTATGTATATAAAGAAGATAAAAATTGCTGTACTATGTATTGGCTATGTGCGCGACGGTGGCGACGCGTAGCGTTTACAACATTTGCGGAAGCTGTCAAATTATAACAATGTACACATCATATATTTTTTTGCAAATATAAATAAAACCAAAGATTAAAATAATATTGTTAACATTATTTAAGTGCAATTTATTCAATAGTTTTACTGTAAAATGAATATACCTAATAATAATAACCGACAGCTGATCATCCGCATTTGTTTCCAATTTCTGCCGTGTTGTGCGCTGCGGTCGTTATCTGTCCGCCACTACTCGCTTTGTACATAGCCAATAAACGGAATAAACAGTTTCGATACTTGTTTTTTTTTATTACGTTAATGTTTCATTAATGAGATGCGGGGGAGGGGGCCAGGATTGAGCCGGTAACCTCACTCACACGGCGAAACACAATATAAGGGTTGCTCACCAAATGTTGTCACGTCAAAATTCTTTTCCCTCAGTTACTATGATGGTGAGAAGAGTATTTTCATAGTGAGTCGCTACCACGGCAAGGAGGAGGTGTTCGTGGACTCCGTCAGGCTCTGCGGGGACTTCAGCTCCCGGCCACTGAAGAAGGCCTGCGTCATGCTGCGCTTACAGGTATGTCTTGTTTGGTGGGATACTGCCCGACGGTTGTTGTCGGGATTTTGTATCGGATCCACATATCGTAGCGCGATGTTTTGTAGCCTAAAGCCTTCCTCAATAAATAGTCTATTAAACACATTAAGATTTTTTTGATTTCAACCAGTAATTCCTGAGATTAGCGCGTTCAAACAAACATACTCTTCAGCTTTATAATATTACTAGCTATTCTCGCGCGGTTTCACCCGCTGCTCAGCTCCTACAGATCGTAGCGTGATGTTTAATAGCCTATGACACTCAGGAATATTGTAGCTATCTATCAGTGAAAGAATTTTGGAAATCCGACCAGTGGTTCCAAAGGTTACGCCCTACATACAAACTTACAAACATACAAATTTTACCTCTTTATAATATTAGTATAGATTAGTATAGATATTTTATCAGTATACAATATCCCGATTTTGTTTGCTTCTTTATAAACTCCTACATAACCCAAAGGTTCGACTGACAAAGAATGCCTTTGGTATTAAGTCCACCTGTCTCGCCCGCTCACCTTGGCTCCTGCTTTTCGGGATGTATCCCTGGAGTGCACCGACCGCCTTCAGCTCTTGGGAATGAACATTGCTTCAGACCTTAACTTTGGGCGGTTCATTGAGTCCAGAGCCAAGGTAGCTGCTAGAAAACTCGGCGTTCTTGCAAAAGTCCGACGGTACTTCACACCGAGCCAGCTTCTAATGTTGTATAAAGCTCAGGTCCGATCGTGTGTGGAGTACTGCAGCCACATATGGGCTGGTGCTGCGAAATGCCACCTAGCGGCTTTGGATTCGGTGGAAAGGCGTGCAAAGAGGCTGATTGGAGATCCAGATTTGGTTGGGTCCAATATTCAAAGTCTCGAGCACAGGCGCAGAGTAGCCAGCCTTGCGGTTTTCTACAGGATGCATTTTGGAGAGTGTGCCCAGGACGATTTGATTCCGCCATCCCAATTTCACCTTCGGACATCCCGGCGTACGGCGAATATCCACCCTTACGTTGTTGAGACACCTGCGGCCCGGACTAAGCGTTTTGCCTCGTCATTTATACCGCGTACATCGAGGGATTGGAACAGTTTGCCGGCTGCAGTCTTTCCGTCCGAATACAATTTAGGTGTCTTCAAGACTAGAGTGAATAGGCTCTTAATAAACTAGTGCGCCTTACCATCAACGATTGCATCACTGCTTAACATCAGGTGGGATGGCAGTCAAGCACTGGTTTATTGCAAGTAAAAAAAAAAACCTTCTAAACAGATGATTGTGCAAAAGCTTAAATAAAAAAAAAAACACACACACACAAACTTAATTCTCAAAATTCTCTCACAGCGTAACCCGACTGTGGGTGACAAATTCGCTTCCCGAGCCGGTCAGAAAGGTATTTGCTCGCAGAAGTGGGCAGCTGAGGACCTGCCATTCACGGAGTCAGGGTTGGTGCCCGACATCCTCTTCAACCCTCACGGCTTCCCCTCTCGGATGACCATCGCTATGATGATAGAATGCATGGCTGGAAAAGCCGCTAGCATACATGGTCACGTAAGTATACTTGATTTCATATACCGAGCAGATTAATTACCTGATGGTAAGCAATCGACGCCGCCCTTGTGAGGTCTTCGCCGACCGGTCGAGCCGACCCATTCCTTGTTTCACATGTGTCTAGCTTTAGCCAGCGGCTTCGCCCGCGTGATTGTGATCCAGGGTATCACCTTTCTGCTTCAGAATTTCAGTCAAATAGATCCGTCAGTTTTTACGCAAAGCTATTACAAACATACATTCTCACAAACTATCTATCAACAGAAGATTTGAGTTAATGCTCAAATCTTCTCAGTGTGAGAAGAGGTCTTTGCTTAGTAGTGGGCACTTATAGGATGATGATGATGTTATGTATGTTTAATAAAGTTTAAATTTAATTAACAAATATGTACAATATTTTTTCCAAAGGTCCACGATGCGACGCCATTCCGTTTTAATGAAAAAGACACAGCCATAAACTACTTTGGCCGGTTATTGGAAGCGTCCGGGTATAATTACTATGGCACGGAGAGAATGTACAGTGGAGTCGACGGCAGGGAAATGGATGCTGACATATTCTTTGGCGTTATTCACTATCAGAGGCTCAGGCATATGGTGTCTGATAAGTGGCAGGTTAGTAAAATAATATATCCAAAAATTTTTATTTTTTATATGTCGGCAATGAGCATTCATCGCAGCATATGCTGCGATAGTAGCCTTTTTGACCTCGCACAGGTCTTTTATTTGTTGTTGTTGTTGTTGTTTTTTTTATTTTTTTTTTCTTATTGTATATTTAATAAGTACAATACTTGAATATTTTGTGTTCTGTGCGAGTTTCAAATAAATGTTTTTCCTTTCTTTCTTTTATACGGGTTACCTGATGGTAAACAATTAGCACCACCCATGGATACTCGTAATGTCAAAAAACTTGTCGAGTTGTACTTATTATAGGTCGGCAAACGAGCATGCGAATTACCTAATGGTAAGCAATCAGCGCCGCCCATGGACGCTCGCAATACCAAAGGAGTTACTACGTTGTTACGGATTTACGGATAGGTGATTTGAGGATTATAATGGAGGGGGGGGGGGGATTGTGCCTCCGGTAACTTCACTTACACGACCGAACACAACGTCAGTATTGCTTCACGCCGGTTTGCTGTGGTATGTAACTGAGGTGGTGTCTGTATGTTGTAAAATAAATCTCAAGTAAACTCACTGCACGATTGGCGCGGTAGCTGGCTGCCGCGCAACGTGTCGCGTCGATTCCCGCACGGAACAACGCTTTGCCCGAAACACCAATTTGTGGATCATCCACAAATTGTTGTTTCGGGTCTATGCAGTGTGAAATTGTATGTTTTTAAACGCACCCGGGTGGAAATCCTAAAGTAGGGCAATGTTTTTTTTAAATTATGTATAATTACGCTTTTTTTTTATAAAACGTAGGTCCGTACGACGGGTGCAGTAGATGCATTGACCCGGCAGCCGGTGAAGGGACGGCGCCGCGGAGGTGGAGTCAGGCTTGGAGAGATGGAACGCGACGCCCTCGCCTCCCACGGCGCCTCCTTCCTCCTCCACGATCGACTCTTCCATTGCTCCGATAAGACTGAGGTAAATCTATACTAATAATAGCGGACCCCCCCAAAAACCCCACATATCAAATTTATATAGATACTTTTTTATAGAAACTTTCTCTTCGTTTCGTTCGTTTTTTCTTCTCCTTAAATAATCTTCTGATTTATTTCGTTGCGGGATCGAAGAGAGTCATTCATGTCCCTGGGACGCGCCGGACTTCAGTGTTCCGTGTTTTCATGGTTCTATCTACTGGAGATCCTGGCTTACAAGAGTTGCAGCGGTTTGGGAGGTTGGGTGGGCTTGTCCCAAATAAAAACAGAACCTTCTCCTGACAAAAACAACCAGAAAGAAAAAAGAATTTCCAAAATAGGTCTAGGCGTTAGTGAGTTATACCCTTACTTAAAAATAAAAACTAGTGAAAAGAAGAACTTCCATCTTTTTTTGCCATTCAATCAAATAGTAACTACATTATATGGCACTGCTTATAATTATTTTGAGGGTAGAATTACACTTGTCTGCTTACCTTTTTTGTTTTCTCCAAGAGTACTTACTGCATAATCTTGTTCACGTGATGTTCGGTATATTTGTTTTCACTTTGTGTAATATAATGCAATCTTATATTTGTTATTATTTTAATACTTTTTTTTACTTTTTATGGCACTTACCGTTTCTATTGATTTTATTTTCATTTTTATATTAATTTTATTATTTATATAATTTTGTACTCCGAACAGCGTTACCGTATTATATAATTAGTACGCACTACTACTGGCTGGGGCTGAAAATCAGCGCCGTGGACTCGTGCCTGTGTGCTCGGGCATTAAGCTGAGCTCCAGCCTTTGGTGTGTACCTACAGGTACACACACACCAAAAGCTTCTTGTTATATGTCGTGGCGTAATAAATGGTTTTTCTTTCTTTCATATTTATTTTATTCTTTTCCAGGCGGTGCTATGCTCAAAATGTGGCACTCTACTTGGTCCTATAGTCGGCAAGAGCGAAACGAATAAAGAAACATGTAGATTGTGTGGTGAAGGCAATCTAGTCTCTATTGCAATACCATACATCTTCAAATTCTTTGTAACACAACTAGCTTGTGTTAACATCAATGTCAAAATTAATTGTGGGCAACAATTAGCCATTACTGGCTAGTTTGGGTTACAAATTGTTCTTTATGTATAAGGAAAAGTGCTAATAAAAATAATCATATATTGTTTATTTCGTGTTTTTATTTTTCATAAATTGTTTGCTCAGCAGTGGACACCTATAGGCTAGTGATGATGATGATGATCTTATTCTTAGTTACTATTCTTTCTTCTACTGCTGGTGCATATATTTTTTACATACTAAGTCACAACGTTCGATCTTGCTTTTTGATGGAAACGATGGTGGTATCCAAACTAATTTATTTATTTATTTAATAATTTTTGTACACACAGTAAGTTGGACAAGAAAAATAATACAACAATTAGGTACAAAGGCACAGCTAATATTATAAATGTGAAAGTAAATCTGTCTGTCTTTTTTTCACGCCTAAACTACTGAACGTATTTGTGTGAAATTTAGTACAGACATATTTTGGAACTCAAGGACATAGGATAGCTTTTAAACAAAAGATCTGCAGGAAGTCACTATTACACGCGAACATGTCGCGAGCAAAAGCTAGTACTTCATACCTATATGATGTGAATACAAAAATAAAACAAGTAATACATTCGAGTATTTAGTTATTTTATTAGTAAAACTAGTTACATAGACAACAGTTAACAGCTAAACAACTATTTTCATACTTCATTAAAACTAACTATCAAAGAGTTTTACGTTTGGCAAAACTATATCGTTTTGTTTGAGACGCAATTAAAACATATTAAAGCTGAGAGATTTTAACCTTTGACTACAACGTGAACACAAATCGAATTCATGATAAATTACTTAATTTTTGCCAATTTCTTAGGCATACAAACATCATTATCTTATGTGGTTAATTAATTCACGATAATAAAACTGATATGTTTCATACTGTCTAAAAATCATACCAGTCTTTTAGGCAGAGTATATAATGATATTATATAGGGCTTTTAGGCCTGTCTTAGGTATATAATAATAATAACAAAATGCAAGACAATGTTCGTTTCTTCTATCAAAAACTTGCGTGCGTTCGCGCAGCGGAATGTTGTTGAATTTAAAGATTTTAATTATGCAGATATTTAGTGTATGACGTCGTATAATTGTGTATGGTAAAAAAAAATTTGTGCACGCAACCATTGTGGAGAAATTCACCAAAAACTGATTCCGCTGGGCGAACGTTGTCCTGGCGGAACTTTTTTTAATCCATAGACTTTAGAAGAAAAGAGATGTATCCAAAAATTAGTGTGTATTTGTGTGTAATTGTGTATGTATGAATAAAACTAGTGCATGCATAAACTTCGGAGAAATTCAAGTTTCCGCTACGCGAACGTTTGGCCATTAGCTAGTTTTCATATAAAGCGCTTACATAGAGAGCTGTAGATTTTTACATACGTTGTTTTGAATTTGTGTATATTTGTTTAAAAAACAGATTTAGAAAAAATCGTAGGGTTTACAAGATAAAAATATAAACGTAAAATACGCTTATCAGGTCTTAGTTCTTAAAGTATGCACTTTGGGGTCTAGATTTTCACGTTTATACAAACCTTGTAAGTGTCTGCAACATGTTGCCAAGTATCAATGATGTTCCGTAAGTAATTAAATAGTTATAGGACAATTACGACAAATTTACCATGAATAGATCACTGTTTACAAAGCAGTCAAATATCACGACTTTCTAAATGAATTGCATGGTAAAATGTATGCCAGTAATTAGTGTATTCATTCAACTATTCACATGCAAAATTTCATGTCATTAAATTCAGTAATTAAAGAAAAACAATTATAATACTGACGAAGCATCGAAAACCTACATAACCCGACCAAATTCGGATGGCTACAAAAAAGCGGCCGTGCCATATATCTAAGACACGTTCTTAACTTTTCAATATAGCATTTATTAATATGGTACAGTATCGTACACAAGCGTTAGGAAAAAATAAAACAATTTTATTTCTTGAATGAAAAATATTTTTTTAATAATAACGCTACTATCTACGATAAAAACAAATCTTCAATTAACAAGTAGGTACTTCTCTATTTAAATCCGCGTACAAAAATATTTTTAATTACATATAATACTTAATTATTTAATAATAATAACGTTAACAAACGCTTGCAATGACAGCAATAGACTTAAATGTGTTTTTACTAAAATAGATTATGAACTAGCTTTTTGAAACTTAGGGTAAGTATAATACTTCGAGCTTCAAAAAAAAAAGTCACATCACATAACTAACCTATTCAGTTGTTTAGATCTGATCAACATTAAATAAGTGCTTAAAAACTAAAACATTGGTATAAAAAAGGTAATTTCAAGAAAATATTCTTAAATGAGTAGCAAATACTGTAAACAACCTTAATATTTCTAAATAGGTATACCTAATGTTTTCTAGTTTCAATAATAAAATTACAGATTAACAATCACAGATCACATAATTAGACAATTTAGTTGTTTAGGTTTGAGAGTCTGCCTAATATAAAAATAAATCAACATTTAAAAAGTACTTATAAAATAAAACATTGGTATAAAAAAGGTTTTTTCAATTCAATACCAATTATTAAATTAGTAGCAAATACTAAAAATAACCTTAACATTTTTAAGTACAATGTACCTACTCTAGCTTAATTTAAAAAAATCACAGATCACATAACTAGACTATTCAGTTGTATAAATTATTGCATGAGGCATCATATTTTTGGAACTATTTTGAATTTTGCTACATAAATCATCGTAACACTGAAATGATTTATTAGTGTACGGGGGTCTCAAACAATGCGCCTTGTAATGACCAATACCTGGCATTTGTAAAGGTGGAACATATTCAATAATAGCCAATATTAAAAATAGCTTATTATTTATTTCAATATTACGAGGTATGTCCTCTAGATTTATGTAGAAATTATGTAGTTCAAAGATAATCAAATCATTTAAATCATATTTAAAATCGACAGTGCCTATTCCACAAAAATTACAAACAGGAGGATTGTCACTCCTCATACCAGATTCTACAGACTCTTGCAATTTGGCAATGCCTTTACACTTGATGATATCAAAGTTTAAATGTAGGTATTTACATTTAAAATTGCTGTTATTTACGGAAACAAGGCATTCTATATTTGAACAACATTTTTTTCTGTTTCCAGAAAAGTATGGCAAACAGATGTCTTCAATAATTTTTGTGACATTGCACGCACAATCTATAATTTGGCACTGTGTTGCATCGAGTGTATTGTTATTAACAAACAATGGATTTAGTAAAATGTCTCGTTTTGCGTACAACGTTTTGCAATTCCTTTTCGTATTAGATAATTGGATAAAAAAACGAGTGAATGAATCTTTGCTAATCAAGGGATCTATATCTATAAAATGATGGAAAGAGATACGGTCAGTATATGCGACTGCGAAAGCTTGAGCCACTGCGTCAAATGCACAGGTATTAGTCACTACATTTTTGATGTCTTTCGATATTGATACGTTACCATTTTGTAAGATGTATAGAGGCTTCGACGAGATAGTTTTTTTGTTGGGAATAACTAGACCTCTCCAGTTTTCTATTTCAACAGGATAGTCTTGAAAAATGGATTGCTCCTCGAAATCACCTATAATTTTTGTCTGTTTAACTTGATTAAAATTCATATGTTCATTCTTATTCTTAATTACGTTAGTAGCAGTTTCAGAATATTTAGCTTTATTTAATTTGATCATCCCATTAAGGTAAGTGTTCATCAGTGTAAGTGTGTATCAGCTTCGCACTATCATTCACTCAATATTCCTACTACATAATTATGTTATGCTTTACTGTTACACTATAACATTAATAATAACACACTTTCTCAATATTATTATTACAGAGAATTGGCGATGCATAGCAAAACAACAACACATTGTCCTTGACTGCACATTTATTTGTTTGTGACTGGGGATGAAACAAAATCAGGTTCAAGTTCAACAGCAAACGAATACGTCAACTTCAAGGATGACAGCTTATCGCTCGTTGCGCGCAGCGCGTTGTCTATTTTTTCACACAAGAATATTTTTGATCAATTCATAACTACAATACTTAGACTATTTAACTAAAGGATTAAGCGTATCGAACTTCGAACAATATAATTCTGCATATTTTGGTGGGGTGCGGGGGAACACGCTCGCATACATAAGAAAAAAAATCGATTCAAGAAGTAGTTTTTTTTAAGTTATTTGATTGTTTGATCCACTAAAGTTGCAAAGGGGAACGCTCGTGCATGCCTAGTCTATTGGTTAAATAGTGTAATAAGCTACAATATGATAAATATTTACCTAAACAGTAGTACATACTTACATGTGGTAAATATTTAATTTCCCTAAGGGGTCTATAGTTAGAATCCTGATCCTTGAAATCTTCAATAGAAACAAGCTGTATGAATTTTATTTGTCTTAAATATAATTAGATTATATCTCAAGTCTCAAGCGCATACTTAAATAAAGTACCTACGTAAATAGTACCTACTTTCTGTCATAGTCAAATACATTTAAAAAAGTAGGTGTCCAAAAATAAATGACATAAAAATTATTTCGAAACAACAAATGTGTTATCACCTGTACCAATTCAATACCGGTATTATACTGTAAATTTTGGGATGTTACCTAAATATATTGCACAGCCGCTTTTTTGTAGCCATCCGAACTTGGTCGGGTTATGTAGGTTTTCGATGCTTCGTCAGTATTATAATTGTTTTTCTTTAATTACTGAATTTAATGACATGAAATTTTGCATGTGAATAGTTGAATGAATACACTAATTACTGGCATACATTTTACCATGCAATTCATTTAGAAAGTCGTGATATTTGACTGCTTTGTAAACAGTGATCTATTCATGGTAAATTTGTCGTAATTGTCCTATAACTATTTAATTACTTACGGAACATCATTGATACTTGGCAACATGTTGCAGACACTTACAAGGTTTGTATAAACGTGAAAATCTAGACCCCAAAGTGCATACTTTAAGAACTAAGACCTGATAAGCGTATTTTACGTTTATATTTTTATCTTGTAAACCCTACGATTTTTTCTAAATCTGTTTTTTAAACAAATATACACAAATTCAAAACAACGTATGTAAAAATCTACAGCTCTCTATGTAAGCGCTTTATATGAAAACTAGCTAATGGCCAAACGTTCGCGTAGCGGAAACTTGAATTTCTCCGAAGTTTATGCATGCACTAGTTTTATTCATACATACACAATTACACACAAATACACACTAATTTTTGGATACATCTCTTTTCTTCTAAAGTCTATGGATTAAAAAAAGTTCCGCCAGGACAACGTTCGCCCAGCGGAATCAGTTTTTGGTGAATTTCTCCACAATGGTTGCGTGCACAAATTTTTTTTTACCATACACAATTATACGACGTCATACACTAAATATCTGCATAATTAAAATCTTTAAATTCAACAACATTCCGCTGCGCGAACGCACGCCAAAAACTTTACTGCTAACGTCAGAAGTAACCTACTTCGTTTTCTTTAGAGAAGTTCCTTGATTGCTAGAATTAGATTTTGACTATAATTTAATAATAAATTGTAAAGACACATTTGTGCAGCAACATAATCAGGCAGGTTAGGCTAGTTAGGAGGTTAACTATATTTAATAGTTATAATATATTTGCAGTATAGATTGTATAATTAACTTTATTGTTATTACATTGAAAATACTGGACTTTTCATTACAACTAATAACTCATTAGTCTATCAAATCAAACTGATCTAAAAATGTATTGTCAACTCCTAGGGCCGTGCCTAGACTTTCCCGCGGTTTTCTGCAAGGAGTTTCATCATCTAAGCAGAACTCTTCTAAATAATCTTCAGTTAACTTCTGTGGTATAACACTACAACTTGGACCTAATAAATCAGGTAATAAGACCCTATTTGCTGTGAATACATCTACATTGACTGTATTTAAGTTTTCTTTTTCTTCCGCAATAGTCTTGAATTCATTCACTTCTTCATTACTTTTGTCCATGGGCAACACACTGGCCCTTACTTTCTTAAACCTATTTATAATCTTCTCTAAAGAACTAGTTTTCCTAATCAATTGTGCATTAGTTTTTGGAGTTTCAGTCTTACATTCTTCCAGAATATTCTCCTGCAATTTTGGTACATTTAACTCAGCAAAATGAACCTTATTTGAGTCTTCTTTCTCAGAGATTACCTTTTCTGGTTCAGGAGTAACAGTAATTGCCGGCAAGCTTGTTGCGTCGAATATTTTCCGCGTACTTTCTAACCGAGGCACACCTTCTGGAGTGCCAAAACTATTATCTTTCTCCAACACTGAGATTCCAGAAACTTCTAAAAGTGGGCAATCCTCTTGCATAATAGAGAGCTTCCTAGGGATAGGAATCTTTGAGCGCTTTTCTCTATTTTCAAAAAGATTTGGTGAAGAATGACTTCTGAACAAAACATTGTCATTAGACACTACTGACTCATTGAATAAACCTCCTTTCTTTACTTGAATGTCTGGTCTTTCAGTCTTGTATTTAAACTTTTTGGAGCTACTGGACTTTTTCGTTGATAGCAATCTCATTATTTGTTGTTTAGTGAAACCAGAGGAACATTCTGCTATGGTTTCATTATTTCTGTAATTGACTTGAGATATAATAGACATATTCAAGTTTTGTGTCGTGTTTTGGCGATCATAGGAACTAAATCGGCATGATATTAGGCTTTTTAGGAAATCGTCTTTCGGTCCTTGGTAGAATGGGGCAATGAGCATTGAACGAGACGGTGGTTTGACAAAAGACTGCACTCTTCTGCGCAAATTAAACTGATGTTTAGATATGTTGAGAGGAGTGAAGTTGTCAAATATAACTTGAGACTGCAGGTCTTTCCCCATCTTCAAATCTGAGAGATCAGGTAATGGTGGTATTTCTGAAAATTCCTTCAGAGATATTGACTGATCATAAGATGTTTCTGATGGCTGTAACAAAAGAAAAAAGAAATGGTTTAGCAAATATGAAAAGAAATAACATAGTTTTGACTCCAGTATTAAGGAGACATACTTATAATAAGACATGTAGTTACCAATTATTGTTACTTGAATCTCTTGTTTGAGCTTAGTAGTTTAACTTGCAATATAAATTGAAGAAGATTTTACATCAAACTATTTGGTATTTCTGATGGCAATACCGAAATATCTTGAGCTCAAAATAAAAAAATAATAGACACAAGGACTTTTACTACTATTTATTAAATATTACCTGAAGTCTAGCTTCTGCAGTCATCACCCTTTCCACAAGCACTCGCATTGCGGATACTATCTCCGCTAAGTTCTTTTTCCCGCCGTCTAAGTATTGATTGAATTTGTATATCTCATCACCAATCTCCGCATTCTTCAATATAAAACATATTGAAATAAGGAAAGCGCGGATTAGGTTGGGAAAACTTAATTTGTCATCTTTTGTGATGTTTTTGAGAATATACCTTTGTTCACTGTTCACTTGATTTTGTAGTTCTTTTGTACATATATCATCAGTTTTCGGATTATATTCTAGAGTATAAGAACTTTTTTCTGCTTCACCTGTTTGCCTCGCTATTAACATTTCACTACTGTTTCTGGTGTCTATACATTTTTGAAGAAACGGTTTCATTTTCATATCCCATTCGTCTTCTAAATGCATAATTGCCTTGTCTGTCTCCAGCAACCAATCGTCAAAGAACTTTGCTGGCTTGTGAACATCCTTTATTTTCAATATTTCTCTTTTTGTTTCATCATCAACATTGTGCGTTTTCAAATATCCATCAACAATATCATCTAAATATTTCTGTGCATTTAACTCTGCCATTTTATCCTCCATATCGACAATTTTCTTGCGGAACATTTCAGCAATCTTTTCCATTGCAGATCTTTTACATAAATAATTAGAGAACTTGTTGGACATAGACATTGTTTCTTTATCAATATTCTCAATAAAACCTTCTTTCTGTGATTTGTAGTCGTCAGTCATGCTATCATAGAGTTTTCGTTGTGAATCATTGATCATTTTCGTTTGTACGACTTTTTGGACAGCTAGTTGAGACATTTGGAATATTAGCATGGTCACTTTATAGCATCCAGGGTTCACTAAGTAGGAAGACATGACTGGAGACAGTAAACCTTTGTTGCTGTAGTCAGTGATGAAGTTAGAGAGCTCATTCCTGTACGCTCTCTCAGTCTTCGTGTCGTACAGCGGCCACGGCAATGTACTGCAGACCTGATTATCGATTATTGACACTAGGTAATATGATAGGTGATTAAACAAACTCTGAGTCGGTTTCTCCAAAGCATTCTCCTTGAATATCAATCTGCTAAGATCTGAAGGCATTTGCTGCAGCTTACTGAGTATGCCCACGTTCAAAATAGTCTCTTTCTTGAACGAAACAACAAGGTCTCTTTGCATCGTAATAGAAGCCATTTTGCACCGACTTTTCACATAGGTGCACTTATAAACTTGATATCTAGAGTGTTCACATCACTTTACACATTATGTTCAGTTTTAGTCCACATTTAAAAAGATTATTCAAGATCACCACGAATAACAACAAACCCGTACGCAATTTCCTCTGGGAGAAATTCAAATTGAAATGTCAAATTTTTCCGTTGACGCCAAGTAGTGTTGGGTAAAAATTGTCTATAAAAATTACGAGAAATCGTAATTTATAATAGCAATAACAGAGTTGGTGATAACGACTAATTCCTTTAAAATCAATGATATTCATTTTACATGTAAAATAGTTAACAGAAGTTAATTATTAATTACTATACTTTATTTAAAAAAAAAAAACAATTTTGAAACTACCACATATGCTACTACTCTAATACAAGAAAAATCTTTGATATCAATTGGTTTTACGCACTTTAGAATAAATAAATCCTATTTTTGAATTAAATAGCTTAGACACGGAGTTGTTATCAAAGTTTGTTACTAATAAAAGTTTAGTAAGTTATTAGTAAGTTTAATATTAATGGTAAGTCCATCACTATGAGACGTTTCGTTCTACGTGGTTTAAAATCTACATCGAAAAGGTTTGCGATAACTATTTTTTTTGTAATATTTAAAAATGAGAATTAGAACTAAATGTATTTATTAGTAACAAATAAATAAACATTAGGAATAAAACACTATTACAATTTTCAAAACCGTTAATAAAACCGTTTATAATCTGCTAATATTAGATACATTTTTTTCTGGTCGCGTGAACTGTCTTGTTCTTCTAAAGTGACACGAAACACATAACCTTAAAAACATTTCGTGTGCGGGGTAGCAAACAAAACTCACGTGTTTGTTTCTCCCCGAAAAATGAAAATAAATTGAAGTGAAATAATCAAAAATGGTGCGTAATATTTTTATTTGGTTTGATTTAAACCCGTGGAAGGCATGTGTGATAAAGTTTTGTGTTATTTCAGAGTAAATTGTATGTGTTGTACGAACACAGTGCGGGGTTCGCCCTGTTCAAAGTTGCCGAATTTGAGGAACTTGCTGCATTTTTGCCTCAAGTTGAAGAGTCTGTGACTGACTTGCAGCGATTCAACTCTGTTGTGACGCTGAGCGCATTCCAGCCATTTAAATCTGCTGTGGTAGCGTTGGAAAATATCAACGCTATCTCCGAAGGTTAGTATCCCGCGTGTTCATTGATAAAGCCTATACGACGTGCCTTTTTGGAATAAAATATTAGAACGTTTACTTGTTTGTACTAATATTCAAAAATGATACTCAAATTACTTACAATTTATCAAAAGTTATTGAGGTACTTGGTTAAGAATTTTATGGTAAAAATATGTGCAATAATTAAAATGTTGTGTTGCAACCATCAAAGTAATTTCTAAACTACTTTTAACTCATAATGATAATTTTATAATTCCCCTGTTATATGTTGGTATAATTATAAACAACATACCTACTTATAAACAATTTATTTTAAAGTAAGTACTAACATATTTTTTTTTATTAAGCATTTATTTCAGACCAAAAGCCCATAACATGTTAGTAAATGGTCTTAACCTGTTGTTAGTAATTTAATATAATATAAATAACTAAAACTAATACTACATTACAGTCTACATGTGCAGTCTAATCCAATGATCACATCCCATTTATCACACAACACAATTTATCATACAATTATGTTGTTCTTAATCTCAATAAAACAAAAAAGTACCTATATCATGTAGCAAGAAAACACCACAGGATTTTAACATAATAATTTCTGTTGAACAGGTATTGTACCTGAAGACTTGAACCTGTTCTTGGAGGGAGCACTTCCAAAGCGTAAGAAGCGCAGCAAATGTACCCTAGGCGTGTTGGACCCCAAATTGGGGGCTGCCATCAGCGAGGCTTTGGAGATCCCATGCTCTCACACTGGTGCTGTTCCGGAGATACTGAGAGGTTTGTACATCTAATATTACTCACTTTAATTTATTAACATGTTATGGCCCCACACATACTTCCGTAATGCTACTACTTAATATTATAAATGTGAATGTGTATGACAAAATGGATGACTGTTTGTAAGTCTTTCACACAAAACAGATGGATTTGGTTGAAGTTTGGTATGTAGATTAGTGATTATCAGCATACCATGACGTAATGCACTCTTTGATCTATTGCAAGTGTCTCCTGCACTTGTGGTAATAACAGCAGTGCTATAGTAAATGCAGTAGTATCCACACATGTACCTCAATCATAAGTGTAATGTGTATGAAATTATCTGCTACATTTTTACGCAAAGGAAAATTACATTTTGAAGTCCCGAGATAAATAAAATGTGCTAATTTTAACAGCTAGCTAACTTTCTTGCTGTTCCCTCTTGTCTCACACGTCATTTTTTTTTTTTTTAATATTAAATGTGTTTAAATAAACATTAATAGAAATCTATCTGCAATCGACCAACCAGACTTGCTCACTTTAAAACTCTTTAGTTATCAACTTTTCATTCAAAATAATCACGTTCTCATCGTCCACAGGTATCCGTCACCACTTCCATGCCCTCATCAAAGGGTTAACACTGAAGGCATGCAGTGTAGCGCAGCTCGGTTTAGGCCACTCATACTCCCGTGCCCGAGTCAAGTTCAACGTGCACCGAGTAGACAACATGATCATCCAATCTATAGCATTACTTGATCAACTTGATAAGGATATCAACACGTTTTCTATGAGGATCAGGTAAGAAAATACAAAATATGTAGAGGCTACCAAAATGACTGGTGAATGAATTTCTGCTGAAGATTTGATGGATTGGGCCTACAGTTATAATCTCTTTAATAAGTATCCTGGTCTAGTATTTATTGAACAACCGAGGTTGGGGACCCAAGGTCAAAAATTTACCGGGTCCGGTCTAGGGAAAGGTCCTTAAAATGATTTCTCTCACCCTTGGTATGGAAGAAATAATTTGAAAGGAGGAATGTATTGAAAGTTTAAGCTTTATAATAAAATTCGTCATCCCTTATTGTTTATTAAGATAAAATATTTACCTTTTTTTTTCTACAGAGAATGGTACTCCTACCATTTCCCGGAGCTGATCAACATTGTTCCAGAGAACCAGTTGTACACCAAGTGCGCAGAATTCATCAAGGACAGGAAATCATTGAGTGATGAGTCTGTGGAACCTTTGACTGAGATCCTCGGTGACTCGGAGAAGGCCCAGGCTATTATTGATGCATCCAAAATGTCCATGGGTATGGACATCTCTCCTGTAGACCTGATTAATATTCAGATGTTCGCTGGCAGAGTGGTGGGACTTAGCAATTACAGGTAAGTTTACTTTGTATTTAGCTATTATTCAAATTGTATGTTGTTCTATGGAGAGCCTGTGGCAAAACTCTTATAAAATTAGGTAGATTCCTCTGTCATAACAATAAAATTACTTATAAAACCCTAAAAATAAGTGTGCTAATTGACTGTAAACTGTCGAAAATTAAACCCAACAGTAACTTCGATTCAAACACGAAACAACCCATGTGATTAAAGTCGTTGTATATTTGTAAACAATTACATAAGAAATTGTATATTTGTAAACGCACCCACGACCCAGGAGAAAATTAAAATGTGGCGCAATATTTATAAAAAAAACATATTCTAGAAATCTGTAATCAGTAGGCCAGCTGTGTTAACAATAAATATTCAACTTTTACTTAAAGCTACATTTTGATTACAGAAAGCAAATAGCGGAGTACCTGCACACTAAGATGGAGTCAGTGGCTCCGAATCTGACGACGCTGGTCGGAGACCAGGTAGGCGCGCGCCTCATTTCCAAGGCCGGTTCCCTGACCAGCCTCGCCAAGTATCCAGCCTCCACACTGCAGATATTGGGTATGTTGTACACTACTCACACTTATTATCTAACTAGCTTCCGCCCGCGGCATCGCCCGCGTAGTATGTTGATAAAAAGTAGCCTATGTCCTATTCCGGAGTGTATCCTATGCCTGTGCCAAATTTCATCCAGGTCCGTAAAGCCGTTTTGGCGTCATTGAGTAACAAACCTCCAAACATCGTAACTTTCGCATTTTCAATATTAGTAAGATGGCAGTCTGTCAATCTTTCATTAGATTTTCTAGTTTAAATTTTCGTTGGTGCGCTGGATGGGCAACTGGTTGCCGCTCAACGTGTCGCGGTTTCGATTCGTGCACGGAACAACTCTTTGTGTGATCCACAAACTGTTGTTCCAAGTGTGTGTGAAATTGTATGTTTGTTAACGCATCCACGACACAGGAGAAAAATCCAACGTTTTTTTTAAAGTAATAAAATGAAGGACTAACAGACGGGTTTAGTCTGACTTTCTAGTGTCTGTACTTAATAATGTCCTCGCTTTATACTTGTGTATTCTTATTAAATTAATAAGATTTACTTAGTAGTGGGTAGTTCAGTTTTCAAATAATGTATTTACGTAAATACTGTGATTTTAATGGACGTAACATACCTAATAAACATTTTTTATCATATCAGGTGCTGAGAAAGCTCTGTTCCGTGCTCTGAAGACTCGCTCGAACACTCCTAAGTATGGTCTGCTGTACCACTCGACGTTCATCGGTCGCGCAGGCCTAAAGAACAAGGGTCGTATCAGTCGATACCTCGCCAACAAGTGCTCCATCGCATCCAGGATCGACTGCTTCTCTGGTAAGAAGATGCCATTATTTATTTGTGTTTCTCTTTTTTTATGGTAAAGGTCGGCAAACGAGTCTTGTCTTACCTGATGTTAAGCAAGCAACGCTGCCCATGGACACACGTAACGACAGAGGAGTTACGATTGCTGATGTTTTGCGGATTAGAGATTTGGAGATTTTGGGGTTGGGGAGGCTTTGGGGGAGGGGAAGGATTGGGCTTTCCGGTAACCTCACGCACACGGCGAAACACAACGTTATGGATGTTTCACGTTTTCTGTGAGACCGTCGTATCACTCCAGGCGAGCCATCCGTGCCGAAGCTTGGCTCTCCCACGCTTAGTCTCAGTTTATTAACAAAGAAAAAGAAGAAGTCGTTCATATCAATAAACCTTTAGTCAAATACATTTTTATTCCTTTTTCAGAAATCCAATCGTCTGTATTTGGTGAGAAACTCCGTCAGCAAGTTGAAGATCGACTAAAGTTCTATGAGACGGGCGACATTCCTAAGAAGAACATTGAAGTAATGAAGGAAGCGCTAGATGAACTGCAACAAGCTGTTGACGCTGAGGCCAGTGCTAAGAAGAAAAAGAAGAAGAAGAAGAAGAAAGAGAAAGATGAAGAACAACCAATGGATGAGGATTAATTAAGTAATAGAGTTTTTATTAAGGAATGTTGACAATCGTTCAGGGTACAGTAGTTTCTCTATATTTTAAGAACAGCCGTTTTATTATTTTTTTAAAAATGTTGCCCTACACTTTGATTTTCTCCTGTGTCGTGGAACGTGTTACAAACAGAACAAATTTTTTCACTTATCTGACGAAAGCACCCCATAATAAATAACCGAATCAATATTTAGTTTGCTAACCAGTTTTTCTGTAATATGATACTTGGTATCCTCATGAACGATCGTGAACGATATTGTTCTAGTGTAAGTCATAGTGATAGTTATATCTTACAATTTTGTATCGATGTAACAGACACATCAATATTTTTTCAAATATTAAATTACTTTTAAGTTGAAAGATGTTTAATTGCTAACCGAACCGATATGACCTTCAAACCTTCAAGAAACGAGCGTACTCCTTAGAGGGCCGGCAACGCATCTGTGACTCCTCTGGTGTTGCGGGTGTCCTAGGGCGGCGCCGATCACTTACCATTAGGTGATCCGTCTGCTCGTTTGCCTCCTATTCCATAAAAAAAACCTCGGTTTCGTAGGCATGCGACCTCATTTCCCGCTATAATGATTAAATAAATAATGTTATTATCCATAAAAACCTTTCTATTCAATTACTCTTATCTATTTTAAAAAACGCATCAATATCCTTTGCGTAGTTTTAAAGATTAAAGCATGCATAGGGAAATAGGGACAGAGAAAGCGACTTTGTTTTATACTATTGTAGTGATAAGGATATTTTATTACAAATTTTGGTATAAGCTTGTTATAGACTCAAGTGATATTTACTGTGTTGCTATAGGCCGTTACTATTAGCGTGATGTTTTAAATTTTCACAAAGAGAAGAATATTAAAAAATTAATTTATTGCTCGCTGAAGGTCAAATTCTAATCATTCATTTCAATTAAACTTTATAGGCACTTTTGAACATTAAATAATATCAAAAGTTAGTGTTAATCTTTCGTTCAGTCTTCTAGTGGAGCTATTTGCGCGTTCCAGAGTTTAGCTTCTATGGAGAGGAACGAGCAAGAAACTCCTTGGTTAACTCCATTGATATTATAAGTAAAAAGGTGTTGATAGGTTTCAAGGGCTCAGCAAGTGATACATTAAAATGTAGCTAAAAAGCCACACTTTCATATTTGTCTCTTTTTCATTCGCGATTATTGAATCATGCCATCCCACTTTAACGCGCTTTATTCATGTGTGCATAAGTGTTTTTTTTTTGTAAGGGGAAATCATCAAATGACTTCTCCCGCCCAGGGTCGGACGGGAGGGAGTGTCAGACTCTTACTGACTAAAAACCCCCTGTTCCTTCTCCTGCTCCGTGCCGAGGTCGCGGTACCTCATTGCGCTTACCCCGCAACCCCGGCTGAAGTGTGCATAAGTGTGTCGTTTTGAAAATCGAATGTTGTTTATGTCATGTAGCTTGTAACCTATCTAGACCATTTTACTTATAATATCATTGGTTAACTCTCATGTAAGGGACGGCTCGACTAAATAGGCTCAAGTGAATAGGCTGCTTATGCGGTCAGGTAGGCGTGCTATATCGTAGGTTGCATCATGGCTTACCATCAGGCAAGGTCAACAACAAACGCACACATCGCAATTGAAAACAAAAAAAGGTTTTTTTTTTTCAGTTTGAACGAGAACGTTCAAAAAACTAAACCAGTGTAGATTGAAAAAAACAACATTAATTAGTTAGGTTTAGGCGCTACATAAAATGATTTCAAAATTATTTAATTACTGACCTAAAAGTAGGTATGTTATTTATTAAAAATCATTAAAACTGTATTGCTATGCATTTTGCACAAGACTTCCTTTATTTCTGATCTAACAAATAAAAAAACAAAGTATTAATAAAAAACATTCTTTAACATATCTAAAACACATAAAAATAAACCACGTACTCTATACATTAAAGTACATTTTACAGTAAGCAACTAACATTTTATAATGTGACTATCAAAAGCTAAGCTTAGCTGCTAAAATAATAATAGGCAGTTCACAAGACTGATATGTTTATTCAACAGAGACTCCATAGTAATGATGTCTCATTTTTCTGCAAGATAGTAGCTATCTAATATCCTAGCCGGCCGTGAGTAATTTGAGCTTCACTTTGTAACAAGCTTTGTTCAGAAGTGGATATTTTTATAATCTGAATATATCGTACTTACTTGTTTTTTACAAACAGTTTACAATGAAATATGAATTTAATAAATAGTGTAAAACATAGTGAATAGAAACATAAGGAGTGAGCATAAAAAACATATTTTAAAATTCAATTTAACAAGCTATTTGGACATATCAAACAACAACAAACTTTGCCAAAATAAAAGGCAATTCAGTGTTCAAATCTTTCCAGCATCCTTATGTTACTTTCCACCAAGTTCCACGACAAACTAGCTGGTATAATTCTCACTAAATCCTTGGATCAGTATCACCCAATTTGACCATTCTTTCAGACACCTCCCAAACCTTCTTAGCCCTACTCATATTACTTACTGAACTCGATAAGGAACTTTCTTTACAATCAGAAAAATATTTCCCAGAAACCTTTTCCAACTCCTCATCAACCGCTAGCATCACAGTAGTCTGGCATCCTTGCTTCGGCGTCTTAAAGAAGAACTTAATGATAGGGAACAGCATCCAGTTCAATGGAGGTGGAACTGAGCTCCAAATACCAGTTTCTATTAATCCTGGATGAAGACAGTTCACAGTCACTCCAGTACCTTCTAATCTTCGCGCTAATTCTCTTGTGAAAAGTATGTTAGCTTCCTTAGAAGCGTAGTAAAGGTATCCTGGTATGGTGTCAACGGGGTTTGGGTTGTCAATGTTAAATGATGCGAGACGGTACAGCGATGAAGCAACCACAACTATTCTGGACGGAGCGCTTTTCTTTAGTAGGTCTATCAGAAGATGGGTGAGAAGAAAAGGTCCATAATGGTTGGTTTCCATGGTCATCTCAATGTCGTCTACTGTTTTTCTCTTCTTGAATGTGTCTGCGTACCCTGCGTTGTGGACTAGGACGTCTAGTTTTGGTTCGGTCTTGTTGATGTCTGCTGCAAATTCGCGAATGGAGGCGAAGGAGCTGAGGTCCAGTTTTTTGACCACAACTTGCGTGTTCTTCGTCGAGTCGATGATTTCGGCTGAAAGATGAGAATGTTGATATTAGTAGGTATCTACTTATCCATTGTTCGCAATGGTTTGTTGGTTTTTATTCATTTCTTTATTATAAGTATAGGAGAGCCGTTAAAAATAACGCAATACCTGAGTATTCTTATATCTGTGACTCGACTTAACATTGAAAAGCAAATGCAAAGAAACAAATCAAAATTACCTTTGACTTTCTCAGCAGCCTCCATATTCCTGCACGCCATGATAACCCTGGCTCCTCTCTTGGCCAGATCTCTTGCAGTCTCCTTCCCAATGCCACCAGTACATCCAGTAACAATCACGGTCTTTCCGTCCATTCTAGTGGTCTTTCGGAATCTTCCACAGGTATATTTGGCGAACAGTCTGATCGCGAATATGACTCCGAAAAGACCAAGGATCGCAAATACTGTAGCGACGATCAGAACGGGAAAGACCCAGTAGAGGTAGCTTGCTTTCCAAGCTTCTGCTACAATCATCTGGAAGAAAATGGCAAATTAAGCAGGCATTAGGATGAATAGAATAATCTGTTGGTGGATGCTAGGAGATTTACGAAGAAGGTTTATTATTGAGCACGCTTGTCAATCATGGTACCCTGTAAATCATTTGCAATTTCGAAATCTGGCAAGACTCTACCAATGTATCATTCTGACTTATTTAAAAAGACTTTGGTCAGCGAGGTCACTTAGGCATACGCTGATAATGAATGCTTGGGGAAGTTATAAGAGGGCGCTCTAGACGGACGCCGGATGTACAGATAGAGGATTACCTCTATCGTCGCTAAAATAAGGGTCAAATTAAAGGCAACTTCAAAGATTGACAAGCGTTTACGAGGAAGGAAGCGTCAGACCGCCGTATGCTAGAATCGTGACGTCTGGCCTTCACATGTGCCTGTCTACCCCAATATGATACAGATATGGCGTCAGCACTAGCACTACCTAGGTATAAAATATTTTCACTGAATTCAAACTACATAGTTTGTTTATGGGAACAAGAACATATCTGTTACTTAGGTTTTTGAAGGTCATAACGAATAACTGACAGTATCAATTTGTATTTAGAACATGTACATTCGGCCATCAGATACCGCGTAAGACTTCGTGCAGTGACTTTAAATTATATTATGCATATCTATTTATTTATGTGTAAAGAATCGTGTTTGTTTCTTCCTTTTTCTTTCCCCTTTCATCCTGTTCTAGGACTCTGTGTCCTTGCTTCGCACCAACCGCTAGAATTCTCTGCACTGCCCTATGGTTGACTGTTAGAGAATGCCTTAAGGCATTAAGTCCGCCATTCACACTGTTTTGTATGAAGAAGAAATAAATAAATAAATATATCATATGTCCTGGTTGTTATTTTACCAACACATTGTAGAACAACATCAAGAAACAAATGACAACAATATAATTCAAAGGTACGGTTTGTGTCCCTTTTCATTTAGATTAAAGTTAACTACTTATTCATTTTCATCACCTGAGACGAATTCGTTAAAATTTTCCTTAATTCTTTTAAGCTTCGGCTCCTCTTACGCCTCCCAAATGACACTGGGACCCTGTTATCACGTGATTGGTAACGAAATTTAATACAAATGTACGGTTGGTGCAGTGACTGAACTTTCGCGGTTTCGATTTACCAAAAAATTACCATGTGCGATCCAAAAAAGTTATTTAGAATCTGGATACCTACAGCAAAACACAAGACAAAATCATAGGAAGGGAATTCATGATTCAATGTTGAAAAAATCTTTGTTTTATTGGGACAAGCCCGCCGCAACCATCCAAAACCGCTGCAACTCCTGTTAGCCAGGATCTACTTACAGTAAATACAACCATGAAAGCACCGGAACATTGAAGTCCGGCGCGTGCCAGAAACATGAATAACTGACTTGGATCCCGCAACGAAATAAATCAGAAGATATTATTTGAGGAGAAGAAAAAACGAAATATGTAGTTTCCACTTCCCTCGGTAAATTTAATGCAGGAGACAAAATGAGTTAGGCCTTAAAGCCACAGAAGGTACTGTATAACTCGGAGAAGCCCAGTCACTAAGTACCATGGAAAATTTTGTACAGTTATTGTAATTGGACCTATGTGTGAGCTGCTATAGTTGTTTCCAATAAAGGTATGACAAAAACGCCTAAACGCACGAAAATTTGTTCTACATTCCACAAGGTCCGTAAAATACCTTTTTTTATTTTTTTTATTTTTTATATGTAATAGGTCGGCATACGAGCAGACGGATTACCTGATGGTAAGCAATCAGCGCCGCCCATGGACACTCGCAACGGAGGAGTTACGAGTGCGTTGCCGACCTTTAAGAGATTAGGGATTTGGAGATTTAGGGATTGAGGAGGGATTGGGGAAGGGGAAGGATTGGGCCTCCGGTAACCTCACTCACACGGCGAAAAACAACGCAGTGGTTATTTCACGCCGGTTTTCTGTGAGGCCGTGGTATCACTCCGGTCGAGCCGACCCATTCGTGCCGAAGCATGGCTCTCCCACACTTGCTCTCACACACTACACTATACCTGATGATTTCCGCTGTCGAACATACACCATGGGGAGTCAACAAGTTTAAATGAAAACAATTTGCTTTTAAAGTTGCCATGACAAAGGACAAAATCCAAAAAAATGCAACCTAACACTAATACTTGTAAACGAATAATGTTAACCCGAATTCAATTCACGTAGGTAGGTATTTATAAGTAGTAGATACCACTGATTGAATTTCGTAATTAATTCATTGCAAATCGCATTGTTTTAAATAGCTCTAGGTTCCAGTGTCAGTAGAGTGAAGGACGAGGCATATATATATTTGATGTCACGGCTTATTTGTTGGTCCAGGTTACACAACATGCTTGTTACGGAGGGCCAAGCCGTGTGTATAATAAGCAAGTATTTTTGTCGCCAAGCCAGGTAAGAAGAAACTTGGCAAGTACTAATGTGACTTTTTCCAAGTTAAGTAGATGTACTTTCCATGATTATTTAGACACCACTGACAAACGGTGAAGGAAAACATCGTGAGGAAACCTGGATTTATAATTTCTAATTATACGTATGAAATCGACAATTCGCCTTGAGCAAGCGTGATGATTAATGCTCAAAACCTTCTCCCTGTGAGAAGAGGCCTTTGCTTAAATATGGGCCCTTATAGGCTGATAATATGATGGCTTACTCTTTACAGGGTATGAAAAGCATGATGGGAATAAAGTTACATTCTGAGAGAGTCAAATTCAATACTTTTATTGACATGTCAAAAATGAAACTGTTCTATGAATTTTGTATGAAAAAACATAAATGACGTTATATTTTTGGGTCAAACAGCATACTTTTTTCTTAAAATAATGTAGTTATCAAATAAAAATCTACACATCCACACTAGACACGTTATGACGTTACTACATCCATATATGAATATATGTATAAGTACGGTACATACATATACAAACAAAAACAGTACGATTTTCAATTTTTGACTGTGTATGTGTTTGTTCCGGTTAATCTTTGAAATAGCTGGACCGAATTTGAATAGACTTTTATAGATAAAAAGCTGATGTAACTTAGACTCCTTTCAATATTATTTAATAGTGTTAATTAAAAACCGATCTCCTAATAGTTTTAAATCGTTTATTAATATCCATTGGCCATTAGATTATGATTATTTTTAACATCGGCCATTACAATAAAATTTGATTGTATTTTTAACAACGTTAAGTAAGACTCCGATAGCCACCATTATAGATTTCTATGACATTTGGTGTCTATGAGAGGTTACGACTTACATAATAATATATGAGTATGCGTGTAGGTTTGTCTTCAACATATTTCTAAAACCGGTTGACAAAAGGAGGTTTGATACACGTAATCTTAGCTGTGGGCATTTCCGAATTAACCAACCAGATTAACTTCATTCATTAATTTCTCTAAATAAGCGGTTTTTGGTAGGTTTGTTTATTAACTTGGCTTTACCCGCATGGGCGGTAGAAAATTTCTCTCGATGCAATCCCAATTGGCCAGGATTACACCTCCGGTAATCTGACTCGCACGGCGAAACTCAACGCTGTGGTTGTTTCACGCCGGTTTTCTATGAGGTCGTGGTATCACTCCGGTCGAGCCGACCCATCCGTGCCGAAGCATGGCTCTCACACACTTGAATATTGTGTTTCTTTTTATGATATTGATGGTTAACGACGCACCTGTACTCTAGTGTCAATGACCTTTCAACAAAAACTACGTGCGTACATTGAGTTGAGACACGCTGTATTTTTGCCATAGCTACGCAAGCATCATTTGGTACCTACATATAAAAATATACTTTACTACTAACGTTGCTATGTCTATTTTTGATTGCATGTTGTTCTTTTATATTATAGAAGGTGTTTTATTTAATTGTTTTTCTCTACAAGTTTATAAATGAAACTACACACGCGAAATGTTTTCAATTACTTAGATGAACCTTTAGAATCAGCCGTGTGATGATTGTGGATGCAATGTCAATAATGTGCCTATGATCTCCGGCCACCGTAACCTCAGGTCTAAGGACGGCGAGTAAGGGTAACTCGTCGACCGACCAGAACCAGACCCGAGCGTACGGCGCGTATTGTTCCTCGCGCGCCTCAAAGAGCCAATAGACCACTACAGACGGGGCCCTGTAGGTCTGATGTTCAGCCGGGGTTGCGGGGCAAGTGCAATAAGGCACCGTGTTCTCGGTATAAAGCAGGAGCAGGAACAGATTGGTTTATTGGACTGTAAGAGTCTGACACTCTGTCTCGCCCACCCAGGGTGCAGAAAAGACATTGCATGATTTGCCCCTTTGTTCTTACTCCGTGATTTCTACTTTCTAAAAGAAACCGTTTTAGATAATTTCACTGTTAATATTGCTGAGATTCTTTATGTTAAATTGATCACAAATTGGATTACCGAGCATGGGACGCAGCGTTCAATTCCTAGCGGCCATTTTCCATTGGAATTTAAATTTATTCGTTTTTCTATTTGATGAAAAAAAAAATAAAAAAAAATATCTTTCAACTGGCAACTGGCAACAATTACCAGCCCTGTGATAATTTCTTGTGCTAACATTTGAATAGAAAGAGAAAGTAATTTGAAAGACATTCGTTGGTCACTTTTGCTTGCGTACGCGCACAGATACGTGCTAAGGAAAAAAAGGAGAACCATGCTACGGTACGAACTACGAATGTGCCGACTCGACCGTATTGATACAACGGCCTTTTTAGCCTTCCCAAAACCTCTATAACTCCTGTAAGCCAGAATCTACAGTAGATAGAACCATGAAAACACCGAAACACTCAAGTCCGTTGCGTTCCAGTTAGATGAATACTGTCTTGGATTTCACAACGAAATAAATAAGAAAACATTATTTGAGAAGCAATATTTTTTCTTCTACAAAAATAGCTACCACGGCCGTGTGAGTGAGGTTATACCGGAGGCCCAATATTTTCCCTCCCGCAATCCTTAATGGTCGGCAACGCACTCGTAACTCCTCTGTTGTTGCGGCTGTCCATGGGAGGCGCTGATTGCTTACCATCAGATCCTGCTAGTTTGCCGTTCTATTACATAAAAAATGTACCTATTCTAGTCTTAAAGTGATGATATTCACAACTATAAGACTTTTATTGAGAAGGGAAAGTAGCAAATGACTGTCCTCGTCCTAAGTGGCATGGTGAAGAGTCAGGCTCTTACTACTTGACTAAAAACCATCGTTCCTTTTTTTTTGTTATAGATCGTCAAACAAGCAAACGGATTACCTGATGACACCCACAACGGAGGAGTTACGAGTCCGTTGCCGACCTTTTAGGGATTAGGGTTTTGGAGATTTAGGGATTGAGGAGCGATCGGGGGAGATGAAGCATTGGGCCTCCGGTAACCTCATGCACACGGCGAAACACAACGCTGTGGTTGTTTCACGCCCGTTTTCTGTGAGGCCGTGGTATCACTCCGGTCGAACCGATCCATTCGTGCCAAAGTTTGGCTCTCCCACACTTAAACTCCTTCTCCTTCTCCTGGCCAAGGTCGTGGTACATTATTACGCTTGCTTCCGAAACTGGCTGAACCACTATCTAACTCCACTAGAGTGTAAACAGAGTAATTTGAATTTTTTTAAACTACTCTTTTATTAATGATCATTATAACATTGAGTTAATAATAATTAACAACTAATTACAAGTTGTACTTAAGTAATTACTGTCTAGGGAAAGCGTAGTTTGATCTCTAAAGTCATCAGTGCAAAGAATAATTTACATTCATTTTATTTTTGAGATTTATAATTATGAAATCGTTGTAAGTGGCACTGACTAGTGATAAGTTTTTTTTTCATAGATGCAACTAAATAGTTTTTTTTATGTAATAGCTCGGCAAACGGGCAGACGGATTACCTGATGGTAAGCAATCAGCGCCGCCCATGGGGACTCGCAACGGAGGAGTTACGAGTGCGTTGCCGACCTTTTAGGGATTAGGGATTTGGAGATTTAGGGATTGAGGAGGGATTGGGGAAGGGGAAGGATTGGGCCTCCGGTAACCTCATTCACACGGCGAAACACAACGCAGTGGTTATTTCATGCCGGTTTTCTGTGAGGCCGTGGTATCACTCCGGTCGAGCCGACCCATTCGTGCCGAAGCATGGCTCTCCCACACTTAAATTTAGAATAACGTAATGGTCACATGGTTAAAGAAAAAAGTAGTGCGAGTTGCCTGTCGACCGAAAAAAAATAAAGTTTTCTGTAAAACGAAATGCTATCGTGTTATTTTTTGTAATTAGGCCAAAAAAACAGTTTTTTACATGTCAATATTATTTAAAATAGAATCTAGATGAAGCCAATCATTGCCACCTGACTCCGAAAACAAATACTGAAACAAACTATAAAAATGTAAGTATTTCATATGATAATTATAAGGTCTATACCTATCAGATTTTTAAGTAACTTTGTCAAAATTTTCGCGGATTTTTTAAAATAACAAAATTGCCATGGTTGGTTGCCCATTATTTTCTCTTCCCCAATACCTCCGTCACTCCATCACTTTATTCCCAAAACCCCTTATTGCCAAATACGGCAATGGACTTGCAACTTCTTGATGGGCAGCGCCGATTGCTTACCATCAGGTAATCCGTCTGTTCGTTTGCCGACCTATCCTATAAAAACAAGCATTGAATGACTCAGAATACGGCGCTCTATTACTTATTACTTTCTTCGAAATGATGCGATTTCTTTTTATAGTAAGTATAAGGTTAGCAAGCGACCAGACGGATTCCCTGATGGTAAGCAATCAGCGCCGCCCATGGACACCCGCAGCACCAAAAGGAGTTACGAGTGCGTTGCCGGTATTTTAGGGATAAGGGATTCGGATGTTTAAGAATTGGAAAGGGTGAACCTGAAGGGTAAGCTCCAACTGGTTCATTTGATATATGTAATAATAAGCATATCTATGCCGTTATTCAGAAAAAAAAACAACTAAATGACCTCTTTTAAGATAGTGTTTAACATTTTTTTAAGCATTATCAATGAAATTAAAAACAACAAACCTTATTATTTTTTTCACTATATTTAATTTAATTAAGTACATGATTATAGGTAAGTTGTAGAATTGGAAAGAAAGCGGTACCAAGCGCGGCTCTACTAGCTTAGAAACTCCATAATCAGTGGGTCATTGGATTACTTACATAAAGAATGATTGGATTACCTAACCATAAGATATTACCATAACGAAAACGGTAAAACATTAAAATAACGGGTCATAAGAAACGTCTAGTACATGCTAAAACCAGGGTTACATGCTGTTGCAAGTGCAATAATACTTAGTATACCACGCCCTGGACCTGGAGCAGATGAAGGAAAGGGGTGGTTTTTAGTCAGCAAGAATCTGACACTAACTCACGCCTTACGCAGGGCGAGAGAGAGAGAGAGACATTATTTAAAGATTTACCCCCGCAAAAAAATCTACTAACGAAAATGATGTTTTTGCACCCTCGAGGATAGAACCCAGCTTTGAAGCATGAACGGAAATGAACAGGTTGACATACATTTTTATAACGAAGTCGTATTAAGTAACAAAATCAATTAATACAACTGAAATATCAATCTCTCAGTTTATATACAAAAAAAAAACATTTACTAAAATCGAAATATTTAAATAAAATACACCAAAATCACTTGGTGACCTAGTTGTAACCATTCGTAAACTATAGTAAAAGCTAAAAAAATATATAGGTAACTACATAAATAAATAAATAAAGTTTTACTAACCTTTTATCTTAAATGTAACGTCTCTGCCTACACGTAAACACTGAACAAGCGTGCGTATTGACCTGATGTTGAACTACTACTGACAAACTGCCTTTCGAAATTTGTTAGAGAATGCTTAATGGTTGTAAAGCCCGCGACACAGCGCTTGCTATTTATCGCATAGCTATACATAAATGTTAGCTGGCGACACTAATACATCTATACATATATAATATTTTTTTTTTATGTTTTAGGTCGGCATACGAGGCCGGGGTTGCGGGTTAAGCGCAATGAGTCACCGCGGCCTCGGCCCAGAGCAGGAGAAGGAACGAGGGGTTTAGGAGGGAGGCAACGCAACTGCAATTCCTCTGTATTGCGGGTGCCCATGGGCAGCGTTGAATGCACCATAAGAAGATCCGTATGCCCATTTGTTAGCGTATAACAAAAAAATAACGCTAGCTATAAAACCGCTTTAAGTGTATTCATTCCTTAGACAACAGATTAAGAAAACCAAAACGTTACATTTAATTTTGTGATCATCAAATACACATCACGCCATAAACTTGAGGGGGAATGACAGAAACTATTGATGCCTACTTCAAGTGACATTACCTACCTTCGTTATCTTGATTATCAGCCCGTTTCCACGTACTGCTGGACACAGACAGGTCCCTTTAACAGCACGCCCATAGCTATGTTCTCAGCTGCAAACATCATTTATTGACATCCCTAGGCTAGCTTGTTTTTGTGAAGGGAAAATCATCGAATTGCCTCTCTCGCCTACGGCGGGGTAAGATGGATTGTCAAAGTCTTACTGACTGAAGACGGCCCCGTTCCTTCTCCTGCTCTAGGCCGAGGCCGCGGTAACTGAGGGCGCCCTATATAAAACCTCCTAAAACGTGGTCTCCACTCGAGAACACGTCTACCCCAACGGTCATCGATTCTCCAACAAATGGGACCCGTACAGAGCCACTTTAGTTTGCTAATAAGATAGGATATAGCGTAATATTATAAAGGTGAAGACTTTGTTTGTTTGAACGCGTTAATCTTCGGAATTACTGGTTCGAGTTGAACGATTATTTTGTGTTTATTAGTCCATTTATCAAGGCTATAGGGTATTAAACATCACGCTAAGTACGGTCTGTAGGAGCAGTGTTTCGGGTGGAACCGCGCGAGAGTAGCTCTTTTCTAGTAGTAGTATTATAGAAAGTAAAATTTGTAAGTTTGTATGTTTGTAAGTTTGTAATCTTTGGAACCGCTGGTCGGATTTCCAAAATACTTTCACTGATAGATAGCTACAATTTCCACGAGTGCTACAGGCTATAAAACATCACGCTACGATTAAATGAAGCCGAGAAGCGGGTGAAACCGCGCGGCAGTAGCTAGTGTATTATACATATAGAAAATGAGTCTTAATTGTTAAGTTGTTCTTGGTCAGTCGTACGAACAATTTTCTACCTTCTAAGTTCATAGGGAAGTATTTATATTTCTAAGTAAGTAACCTAAAGTAGGAACGTAGATATTACCTATTCAATTTCTTCGGGTTTTATTACGTGCTCGGGCGGACAAAATATCTATATTATCTCAGCTGTCACAGAGCTTCTCAGCCTTCCCTTTGCCGATTACTACTGGCGCGATGATCGCTTAATTACTATGCATAGGTACCTATATACTTAGATATAAATAATACATGTATTTATGTTCCTACAATTTTTAAATCTCTGACCAGAAGATCACCCATGAATACATGATAATTTAATTAATATAAATAACTAGCTTCCGCACGCGGCTTTGCCCGCGTGGTACGTTGATAAAAAGCCTCTGTCCTATTCCGGATTGTGTCCTATGCCTGTGCCAAATTTCATGCAGATCTGTCCAGCCGTTTTGGCGTGATTGAGTAACAAACATGCATACATCGTAACTTTCGCATTATAATACTATTAAGATATTGCATGTCGGTGTACCTACCTTATATTTTCTGTAGCTTAAACAGAAAAGGGCTATTTCAAGAAGTAAATACTAAGTTAAAAGTGTAAATAATAAACGACAACACTTGTGCAAATGGTTCTTAGTACCTACAAGCTGACTCAGCCAACAAAACAAAGCGTAGGTACTTATGTAGGTACAATCGACAACGGAAGTGTCATAATATAATTAGTATTTGAAATAAAAGTGCTGACGTAGAGATGTATGTATGTAGTTGCATTTTGCCCCGTAAGTAATTTTATTTGTTAATTAAAATATGCAGTTTTTTAATTTAATTTTGTAATTGTTATGGCTTGAGAATTAAAAGGGCATGGACCTTCAATGATCAGCTTTAGCGTATTATTATGCAGTTTTCATGTTAATTGAACGAGCTGATAGCACCTATTCAGCAGAGTTGTCAGAAGTAAGGTAGTATTATAGTCAAAAGGAAACTCGAATAATTGTCAGGCCAACCGATGCTACGGAGCATGATGAGGCATTACACTAATATAAAATTACATTATATTAATTAAAACTAGGTCATGTGTTCAGTGACGTCAAAGCCTCAAAGAATTCAAATAAAATGTTTTTTTTTTTTCTTTTTGTCAGGGGACAATCATCAAATGACTTCTCCTGCCCAGGGTTAGGCGAGAGATAATGACTAAACCTCTACCCCCGTTCCTTCTCCTGCTCTGGGCCGAGGCCCGGTGACTCATTGCGCTTAAACCGCAACCCCGGCTGAAAATGGAGCCCTCTCACCCGAGGAAGACTGTTACTGACTGGTTGGTTTTACCAACCCCGAGTGCACCCTTTCGCCGGGACACTTACGCTACTGGATTGGTGAAGGAATTGACATTTTCTCATCACAGAATCCCCAATCCTCAAGTCCTTAACAGCAACAGCCGGCAACGCACTCATAACTCCTTTAGTGTTGTGGGTGTCAAATTGCGACACCAATTGTTTATCATCGGACGGATTCCCATCCGTCTATTTGTTTATCATATTTACTTATATATAAAAGAAAGTGTTAACCCAATCGTACACATAAAGTTAGGTACTATTGATATCAAAATCTACAGACACTTTCCCTAATTTACTCTCTAAAGCTATCCACAATTAACACTTCACCGTCAAATTGACATAAAAAAATCAATTAACTTTTGTGTACGATTGTACCTTCCATACAAATACACCAGCAAATAAAGGTAAACTTATCTAAGAAACTACAATAAACTACCAACTGTATTATAAAGGTATTAAAGTTAAGAATTGCGTACGAAAATATCTAAGATTGGTATATGTTATAAGTACAGCTGTGAGAATAAAACGAAACCTGTCATCTCATCGTGGCAAACTCATTGTGAAAACGCAAATAGTTTGTAGAAAGTGACGTTTCGAACCAAGATGGCGGACGCTTGTCAACTTATTTGTCAGGTGACTGTAGATGAAGTACCTACCTAGAAAGTAAAATAAAATAAGAATACGGTAAAAAGGAATACCTAAGTATTTTTAAGGTTTAAAACTTTAGTTTTCAAGTTTGAAAAGAGAGACCCAATCCATTCCCTTCCACAATCCGTCCCCAATTCCTAAGTCTCCGGAACCTAACCCAAAAGGTCGGCAACGTACCGTAAGTAACAAGGCCGATTGCTTACCATCAGGTAATCCGTACGATCACAAAAAATGAGGTTATCAGCGACTTAAACCTCACCCTTCCCTCGCCTCGCCCGCAATTCAAAGGTTTTATTCCCGCCAAAAGTCTATAGTATAGGGTATGTCCAGTACGCCTACCAAGACGTGTTGAAGCGTGAATCTTTCGGGCGCGAGAAAGAGGGACGGAGCTATAAAAGGTGTATAGCTCCATCCCTTTTTGTCGCCCGGACGGCCGGACGTATTCTTAACATCAGCCCATCAGGTGCTCCGTCAGCTCGTTTGCCTTCTAATTACATACATAAAAAATATCTACTCCCCCCCCCCCCTCTTCATCCTTAAATCCCTAATCACACACACTAGAGCCCGGCAACGCACTTGTAGTAGCTCCTTTTGTTTTACGAGTGTCCATGGGCGGCGCTGATTGCTTACCATCAGATAATCCATCAGCTCGTTTGCCGACCTATACCATAAAAACCAGTTAGGAACACTACACAGAAACCTTTTGTCTCCAAACGCAATAGAAAGCACAATTTCTATGCAACTACAGTTACAAATATGACCATTTTACAAAGACACGATGTAACTGCACATTTAATACGAAGTTCTATAGAGGATTGAGATGAGAGGGGTCAAGATATATTGGTTGAGTGTTGCATATAGAAAATGCATGCTCGTTTCTGTGATAGACGGGATCCATTGAAGAAAGCTTTCTAACGGTATAAGAGAAAATGTCAACGATTGATTTAATGGTCCAAGTTAGCATGAAGACTTTCTATATAAATATAAGTTGGCTTGTGCTATAAATACCTACTTAGATACTTATCATTGATAGTGTAATTATAAAGATGGTTATAATAGCGTCGATGATCAACAGATTTCACGCTTGTTGTTTCTCAATTGTAGAGGAGTTTAGTATCTAATATCAGCCTTATTTTGCTATTAATTAACTACCTAATGACATTCTTGTTAAATAGGTTATCACTGCATGGTATAAAAAAGTCGCTTTCTCTGTCCCTATATCCCTATGTATGCTTAAATCTTCAAAACTAGGCAACAGATTTTGATGCGTTTTTTTAACAGATAGAGTGATTGAAGAGGAGGGCTTTTATGTACGTTTTTGTACATTGAAACCATTAAAGTGTGGGAGAGCCAAGCTTCGGCACGAATGGGTCGCCTCGACTCGAGTGATACCACGGCCTTACAGAAAACCGGCGTGAAACAACCACAGCGTAGTGTTTCGATAAGTGAGTGAGGTTATCGGGGTTATTCTTATGAAACAATGAAACAATGAATTTATTTTTGCAAATAGGCCATAAAACGGCACTTTTACACGTCAATTTATATGTGAAAAACTAGATGAAGCCGGCATTTCCTATCTGACTACTCTGAGAAGAAATGCCGAAACAAACTCAGAGGTCAGTCTCTTTTCAAGTCCAGACAATGTAAAAATAACATAATGTGAGAGAATCGTGCAAGTTCATTCTGTAGTGGTCTTTTGAGGAAAGAACCACACCAGTTTAAGTGGACCCGTTCTGAAGACAGGCACGCAAGTGTCAGTTTGCAACCAGTATAGCTAGTGCTGCTGAGTTGTCCGACGAACAATACCGATCTAAAGAACAGTTTGGGTGGGTCGCGCAAGTACTCAAACTGTCAGAACGCAGATAACTGGTAATCAAAAAGCACGGCAAGTCTCACACGGTCCTTACACTAACAATAATATAAAATAATAAAAATGTCAGTAAATAAAAAAAAAAAAATGTCAAATAAAAAATAAAATGTCACAATAGGTGATTATGTTATTGTATAAAAAATAAACGTAATGTCAAATTGTATATAAAATTGTAACTTATGTTACAAACATGTCAACATGACCTGTGCAGACATTACAGCGGCTCATTCCCATGCCTGACTATCCTCTAAGTAGTCTTTTATTTTATAAAATGCTTTACAGCAAAGTTTAGCCTTTATTACACTTTTAAATTTATTGAGGCTCAAATTTTGAATATCGCTAGGAATTTTATTGTAAAAGCGTATACATTGACATCTAAACGAACTAGTTATTTTCTGAAGCCTGGAGGCAGGGACAACATATTTGTTTTTCCCCCTCGTGTTAATATTATGTATATCACTATGCTTCTTAAATAAGCTTTTGTTTTTATGAGCGTGAATTACATTTTCATAAATATATTGTGAGGCAACCGTCATTATCTTAGTTTCCTTAAATAATTCTCTGAGCGAATGCCTCGGACTAAGATTATAGATTGATCGAATAGCCCTTTTCTGCAGAACAAAAATAGACTGAATGTCAGCAGCATTCCCCCACAACAAAATACCGTATGACATGATGCTGTGGAAATAACTAAAATAAACTAACCGCGCTGTATCTACATCTGTTAAATTTCTAATTTTTTTAACGGCATATGCTGCAGAACTGAGCTTCTTCGACAAGCCATCTATATGAGGGCCCCACTGGAGCTTAGCGTCCAGGGTTATACCTAAAAAGACAGTTGTATCTACAGGACTCAACTCCTCGCCCTTGACAAGCACACTGGTTTTTACCTGTTTAACATTTGGTGTTGTGAATTTAATACATTTAGTTTTAGTTTCGTTTAGTAATAAGTTATTAACACCAAACCAGTGAACTATTTCTGAGAGAGCACTGTTTACATTGTCAATAACTAATTGTCGTCGTCTGAGTTTGAATAATAGTGAGGTATCATCAGCAAACAGCACTATCTCGTGTTTATCCCTTACAAGGTAAGGCAAGTCATTAATATAGATAAGAAATAAAAACGGGCCGAGAATAGAACCCTGCGGAACACCCATCTTCACAACAGACCCGGCAGAAACCACTCCGTTTACTTCAACTCTCTGAACCCTATTACTCAGGTATGAGGTAAGAAGGTCCAGAGATGCACCTCTTATTCCGTAATGGGATAGCTTCCTGATCAGTGTATCATGAAGCACACAATCGAACGCCTTGGATAAATCACAAAATATTCCCAAAGCGTCGCTTGAGTCCTCCCACGCGTCGTAAATGTGATTAAGAAGTTCAACACCGGCATCAGTTGTTGAACGACCCCTTGTAAATCCGAACTGTTTCGCATGTAATAATTTATTTCTATTAAAAAATCTTTGCATTTGATCTAAAATAATTTTTTCAAAAATTTTACTGAACGTAGGTAGCACTGAAATAGGTCTAAAGTTAGTGGGGTCAGAAGTACTACCTGATTTAAATAATGGAATTATTTTACTACATTTCATAAGATCAGGAAACACACCACAGTCAATACAGTTATTAAAGATTTGAGCTAATACAGGTGCTACAATAGTTATTACAGAGCTTGTCATATACACAGAATTGCCCCATAGATCTGCAGTCTTTTTGTTATTCAAAGTATTAAAGATTTTAACAATTTCCTTGTTATCTATGTGCTCGAAGGAAAACCCTGAATCGCAAGCTACAACATGTTTTTTGAGTAAAGACTCTGCAACAGTGGGAGATGAATTCAGTGACTTAGTAGTGGATACAGGAATGTCGGAAAAGAAATTTTCAAAAGCAGTTGCAATTTCTACATCCGCTTTTATTAACTTATTATCAATTACAAGACTATGTTGATTTATTCTCTTTTTAGACCTTCCTGCCTCACTGTTGATAATATTCCAAGTGTCTTTGATAACATTGGTACTGTTCTTTATCTTAGAGCTTAAGAATAATGATTTAGCAATAGAGCAAACCTTTTTGAATAATTTAGAATAGTTTTTTACATATTCACTGAATTCAACAGTGTTAATATATGTCCGCTCATTATAAAGCTCATAGAGGCGCTTTCTACTCTTATAGATACCAGTGGTTGCCCAATCACCGAAAGACGCATTGCTATTAGCTGGTATAGTTTTATCTGAAAAAGTAGACTTAAACTCTGTTAGGTACATTTTAAAAAACTTATCATATAAAGTGCTAGAATTCTTATAATTCAACAACAAAGGCAATTTGTTGCTGAGTTTAGCTTTGAAAAATTCAATGCGTCTTTTAGTCTTCGGATTAACTGTGATAAATTGTTTTGATACTATATTTATTTCTTTTGTTAAAGAAATTAACTGACCACAGTGATCGGAATCAAGTACTGAAATTATTTCTTTGTTAACTGGCACAATGTCAGTATAAATATTGTCCAGGCAAGTGGCACTAGTGGGTGTTATCCTAGTTGGCTCCAGAAACAAATTCGCAAGGTTGTATGAAGAAAATAAACTTACAATTTTTGTGCTTAAACTACATTTTTCTAATAAATTTATATTAAAATCACCACATGTAATGATGGATTTCTTTGAATTTGTAAGTTTACTTAGAACTTCATCCATTACTGTTTCAAAACAGTCATACAAACCAGAAGGTGGTCTATACACGCTTAATACAATAAACCGCTCCAATTCCACACAGGCTATTTCAACAGTACGCTCAACAGAGTAACTAACTATATCTTTACGATCTTTGAATTTGAGCTGGTTACTTATCAGTATAAGTGACCCACCATGTATAGCGTTTTCTCTGCTGAACGAGCTACCAATCTGGTGCTTACCAAAATTGAACATGAGCTGATGGGGTTTTAGCCAATGTTCAGTAATACACAAAATATCCACATTATTACAATTTAAAAATAACTCTATTTCCAATTCTTTACTCATAAAGCCTTGAATGTTTTGGTGAACCAGATTAATAACCTTATTACTGTTTAATTTGCAAGAGTTTGTCTCTATTGTCTTATTTAATAATTTAAATTATTATGAATGTCAGTATTAGGTGACTCATTATGAATGTCAATATTTTTTGGTTGCTCAATAGGAGTAACCTGTTTAGCCAAGTTATTGGCTGATATATTAAAAAAATATGATAGCGACATTGCTATTTGTCTTAAATAATATTTTGAAAGATAGTACCTATCTTTTGTCCTATATATATTAAGACCAACATAATTGTTGGTGTCTATGAAGTGAATATTAGTATTAATACTTAAGTTATACAATGTAGTATTAATTTTATATCTACTATTGTTTTCTTCCTGTGGCAATGATTTTATATAAGGCAATGCAAATATAATTATCTGCTTTAAATTCAGTTTGGCAAGTGAATTATGGAAATTGATTAAACTTTTTTTATTAAGACTACCTCTGTTACCACACATTATAATGAGGGTAGAATCTGGATTAAATCTATATTTATTAATTTTATCCAAAATATTACCAAAACTAAAAAGCTCTTTTGCCAACCTATCACATAAAAAAAATTAATAGTGGAGATATTTAGTACGAGTATTGTACCTGTAAAAAAGAAATTCAACACTCTTGGTGAGCAGGAGTCAAACAGAAATCATCAGCAGTGATACAAAGCTCTTACAGATTACCTGATGGTAAGCAATCAGCCCAACAATGGACGCTTACGATAACAGAGAAGTAACAAGTTGTTCATAGGTTGCATTCTTAACACAAAACCTCTTTTCCACCAACGAAAAAACTGGCTATAAACACGATGACAGTAGGTATTATAAAAAAACTTAGAAAATGTCTGACAGCAAACACGAAATTAACATTGTCAAACAATCAACACTGAATAAAATAAAGTATAAATATTAAAAATAACAACTGTTCGTACCTATCTACTATATAAAGTACTTATATAATTAATTAATGTTGCAAAATGGCTAACATCAATTCTCCAATACCTTTATCGGACATTGAGTCAGTTTTGGCTTGGGTCGATACTTTTAAACTATCACGACCCACGAAGAAAATTAACAGGGACTTCTCTGATGCTGGTAACGTTGGACTCAGTTTCCTTTGCAATAAATTAGTAGAAGTAAAAACAAAATTTAAAGAGGCCCTAATGTACAGAACTCATAACAAAAGTGTTGATTATTTGTTAAGTAAGTAGTGACCCACCCCGGCTTCGCAATGATGCAATGCTAGTACTAAACTTCTCCATAATTTAATGCATGTTATATACGTATAATTCTTCCTCTTCAATCACTCCATCTGTTAAAGAAACCGCATCAAAATCCGTTGCGTACTTTTAAAGATTTGAGCACACAGGAATATAAGTACAGAGAAAGCGATTTTGTTTTATATTATTATTTAGTGATATCATAAACCAGTGCCTTCCTTAAATAATAAGGATTCCTCATTCAGTTCTTCTAGCAGAGATCCTCAGTGTTCACTATCCAAAACTGGTGGAGATGCACAACTATCCGCCTCGGAACAGTCACTCTTTGAAGCTCAACAATTGGATGACCCTGAACAGGAAAGTACTGAAGAAGCTGAAATTGAACCTGTGCTGCAATACAATGGAACAACTCGCTAACTGCGCTCCAGGAATCATTGAAAGGGTCCTCGTCATGGGTGAGTTCATTCTTCCATTTCATTCCATATCCAGTCTTCAAAAGACATTCAACATTGGGTTTCCGAAAGGCCGATCAATTTTAAAATCAATTTAATCTATTGTCAAGTCATCTGATTGGTTGACTGAATTATCAACAACCAATCAGATGACTTGACAAGAGATTTAACAGGATATTAGTTAATTTTAGCGTTGACAAGCCTTTCAGAAACCGGGTGTTAGTATGTAAAAGCCATGCTTTGGCTCGACCGGATTGATATCACGGCCTCACAGAAAACCGGCGTGACACAATCACAGCGTTGTGTTTCGCTATGTGAGTGAGGTTACCGGAGGCCCAACCCTTCCCCTTCTCGAAACCCGAAATCACCAAATCCCTAATGCCCAAAAGGTGGGCAACGCACTCGTATCTCCTCCGTTGGTGTGCCCATGTCCATGGGCGACGCTGATTGCTTACCATCAGGTAATCCTCGTTTGCCAACTAGTGACATTAAAAAATAATTGGACCATCAAGAGCTAAACCCAAGGACCATAATGACAACTACTTTGCCGGTCTCTTGAAAATGACCTCGTCCTTTTTTATATCAGAGAAGTCGAGAACTGAATACAAGATCTAGCTAGGTTATGTAAATTAATACGGGTGTTTTTGGTAGTTTCGTTTTCTGAAACAAATGTCGAAAGAACTGGTATCCAGATCAGGTACACATTACAATGATCAAAAAAACGGGTGTAGCCTAAATCTAAGAACCAGACCAAGGAAATGGCGGTGGTATCCTTTAGATTTCAGATGATACCAAGCCTTCTGCAAATGGCATAATAGCAAACGCCCTCTAAGATTAAACGAATTCATATGATGATGGTACCAAAATGTGGTGGTGGCCCGTAGGTTAAGGAGCCCGCTTCTCATGCATGGGTTCAAAACCTGGCAAGTACCAATATAACTTTTTCCGAGTTATACGTACTTTCTATGATTATTTAGACACCACTGACATACGGTGAAGTTAAACATCGTGAGGAAACCTGGACTTATACTTAATTTCTAATTGTAAGTTTGAAATTACCAACTCGCATTGGGCAAGCGTGGTGATTAATGCTCTAACCTTCTCCGTGTGATAAGAGGCCTTAGCTCAGCAGTGGGCTTATCATAGGCTGATGATGATGATCATTGTTTTAGTTCGAGACAAGATTCGTCGAGACGAGGAATTAAACAAGTCTATGAAGGAACAAGAACAGAACTTGTCCAGTGGTGGCAGCTACTACGAGGCTTGTGGAGACGACGGTATCCTTCATCATTACATTCAGAACTGCCTCTGTAGGAATTCGTATCAATTAAGATACGAAAGTTTAAGTTCAAATTCAGTGGCTTATTGGAGATGGCTATGTGTGTTCAAGGCCCGAGCTCGAGGTTGCGAGGTTGTATGGGTAGGCATGCTCCATCGTAGGTCGAGTTATCGTGGCGTGATAGCGGCCAAATATCTGCCCGTTACGAACTTGCAGGATATACATTTTAGTACGAAGGTATCAGGAATTGGGTAGTTTCTTAGGTCCAAAATAAATAATTTTGACGTTTCAATACAATAAGGTATTGAAAAATAACTATACTTTTATTCATCGATCGATCGATGAACAAAATTTTAGATATTTGACGCAAAAATTCTATGACGTCATAACTCAGTATTTCATAGAAAAGTATCGTTTTTGACATTAGGATAAAAGTATTGAATTTGACTAGTTGGAAGTATTGGAACAATGATATCTAACTCTAGTCCTGACGCCAAATGTTATTTTACAGATCACGTACTGGTGGTACCAATTAAAACAAGAGTCAATGGTGTGCTGGAGAGCACGCAGCAAAAAGTGATCAGTTATGAGTCATACTGTGTTCTCAAAGAAGAGCTGAAGGATGCTAAGGAGGCTGCAGAAGTACTGAAACAGAAGGTAAGTTTGATCTGGAAGAAGAAAAGGATAATATTGAGAACTACATGCATAAGAGGCATCTTAATCATGATGATAAACATATGTTTACATTGACCAAAGACTTGCATTGCTTAAATTTATTAGCAATTCTGGAGTAGTTTCACTATTGTGAAATAACTCGTTTACTCCCAATTGTAGTTTTGCATGGAGCAAGCACAAGCAAGAAATGTTATCAGAAAGCAAAGATTCTCAATTACATTGGTTTTTTACTTTTCTTACCAGTTTATCCACTTCTATAATCTAAACTCTGAACTATACCTATCAATTTCTAATTTCTAATTACTAATTCAAATGATCGAATTTGGGTTACTCGGTCGTTTAATTTGCATGTTAATTAAGCGTAACATTTTTAATTTAATTTATACAGGTTGAACACTTGGACAATCTATTGAAAATAAAAGAAGAAAGAATCGATGAATTGCAAAACCAGCTAGAGAGGAAACAAGCTCGGCGGAAGGAGGTGGAAATCGTTACAAACACTCTCTCTGTACCATTCGATAGCGTCCCTCCAACACCAAAAATCATACAGGAACCCAACGTGCTACTAGTCAAAATGAATTCCCTTAAAAGTATAGATTCAAAAAGTAAGTTGGATGACTCCAAAATACCTATCGCCAAAGAATCTCTAAAACCCATTCCTAAACAAAGCTTTACTGAAATCAGTGTCGTCGATAGTGAGAAATTTACTGTTGAGACAATAAAATCCGATGTCTTCATTGAAATGGAAGAGAGAGTTGAAGATTATCCAGAAGTCTTTGAAGAATTTAAAGATAGTGTACAAGAAAACGTCGTCATGACAATCGAAGAAACGATTCAGAAAGAACTAAAGGATATTACTAATAAAATGGAGTTTACGCAAGATTTGAACATGATTCTGAATAAAAATTGAACTTTGGTGCTAATTATTACGACGTGTTTTCGTCTGGCTCAGAAGAATAATGTAAAAAAGATTCCATAACCTGCCTATGAATGCAAAAATCTAAACGGAAGAAAAGTACCTACTGTACAAAGTTTGTGACATTTTTTGAGTTAGAACTGATCGTGTTTGTCTTTTTGATTAAAATCGTAAAAAATAATATATTAATAATGTATTCGTCTTTTAACTAGGATTAAATAAAGTTTCAAAGCGTCAGAGAGGAGAAAATCTTGATAAACAAATGTGGCAGCACCATCGTTTTACGTCTCTTCTCAACAATACTTCGGATTGGGGTTATGTAGGACGCTTTCCAACCATTCTAATCCTAACCTGTCCATTTTATTGGTCTTACGATTAAAATAATATGTTTTGGATACATTAAATTATACTAGTCATTGTTAAACATAGGTTTAAATAAAATACTGTTATATATCAATGTTTTTATTAGGTTTTAATCTGTTTGTTACTGCAGATTTAGAAATAAATCGTTTACATGAGACTTGCATTTCATTACATAGCGTTAGCTTGGAAAATGTCCAAAAGACTTGGATGCTGGTTCAATATTTTCTTGATGTCATTATACCTTGTTTGTTTGAAGTCTTTTGAATTATTCTTCTTTATTTCTTCTTGCCTGAGGATTTTAGTGTTTTTAGCGTTATATGGGGGAAATTATCGTAAGAGTCGCGGAGAGCCAATGGATGCAGATGGCGAGTTGTCGTTTGACATGGAGGACTAAGAGGGATGCCTTTGTTCAGCAGTGGACATCTACCCGATGATGATGATGATATGAAGGACGTAAAAATTTTAAATGTCTTTACCCTGACTTAACTTTTCAATCGTGATCGAGATAATATACCTCATTCACACGACGAAATACAACGCTGTGATTGCTTCACGCCCGATTTTCTTTGAGGTCGTGGTGGATTCGTGCCGAAGCATGTTGACCTGTTGTCCCTATTACTCTAATTTCAAATTGAACTTACAAAAAGGATCTGCTTTCTTGTCCGATCAACTTGAACCTGTCGAAGTTAATTTTCTCTGTATCATAGAGAAATTCTCTGTGAATTGCGTCCATAGCTTGCTTCACCGGAATCAAATCTTGAACTAAATGATAAAGAAATCGTGAATTATAGACTTCAAATAAAACTCGAGAAAGGCTGGACCGACATGGCTTATTGCGGTCTTCAAATATTCCCGTATATACAGGGAAGGTTTAAAAGGTCAGAAATAAGACTAGGTTTATTAAAAAAAAGATTGAGGCAGTCCAATGTCCAAACCGTCGACCGGTCGACGGTTGCCGCCAACGCACGTCGACGGCTGCAGTTGTAGTGTGCCGCGTCCGCCGTTTTGTAAGTCGACTGCAAATAGTTCAAGAGTGTGCACGCGTCCAAATTTGTAAAATGACTTCTTCTGTCGAAATTCTTAGTGAATTGCTAATTACGGCGGTAAAATAAATGCTTGTATTTTAAAATTATAAATTGAAAGATTATAGTAGGTAATAAAACAATAAAACCTAATTGTTGTATTAATTTTCTTGTCCAACTTACTGTGTGTACAAAAATTATTAAATAAAAAACAGAGCATCGATAGCGGTTTGTGAAGAAATTGTAAATTATTCTATTAATAAATTCATAAATACAACTGACTCCTGTACTAGAGAGCAGACGACGGCTATCGTTGATCTTCGAAATTGAAATGTCGACGGCTGCCGTCGACGCGTCAACGGAAGCCGTCGACGGCGCGTCGACTGTTGCAGATACATCTGCCGTTGAGAACATGCCACTCGAGGTGTAAGAGCTCTTACTTAGGTACATAAGGATAAACTATTGTTATATGATCAGGCTCTAAGTGCCCACTGCTGAGCAAAGGCCTCTTTTCACAAAGGAGGTTTGACCATTTATCACCACGCTTGCTCAAGGCGGAATGGCATTGGAAAATTAGACATATTATGTCAAATTTTCTACATTATACAAGTTCTAAATCACCAATCCACCTTGAGCAAGCGTGGTGATAAATGCTTAACCCTTCTCCGTGTGAGAAGAGGCCGTTGCACAGCAGTCGGCACTTATAGGCTGAAGATGCGATTGTCTTTAATCAGACAGAGAAGTATCAAGAAATAAAGATTTAGAGGTATGAGAGAACAGGGTGGAAAGTTCCTCATCCTCCATTGAAAAGAGAGGATCCTGGTGGGCTACTGCCCGACGGTTGTTGTCGGGATTTTTTGTATCGGTTCTAATTGCGATGAAAACTCTTATACCGCGATGTAGAATCTTGCACGTGATTGGTGCTGTTGTTTTTGTTGTGCGATAGATGTCGCTACATAGCCGGTCGGCGTTTGGCCACCAACTTACCTGGGTAAATAATAGAGCCAGTTATCAATTTCTGATGCTATTAAGAGCTGGGGGGTAATCATGACATTCAAAGTAAGACTGTTTCAATCTTACTTCAGTGTGGGTAAGAGACAGAGCTAGACAACTTGTATAGCTCTTTCTCTCTCTTACCCACTTACACACACTGATGATGCGACGTACCATTAAACACAATATCAGTGGAAGCAGGCGAAGGGCTGGGCACGTGACAGTCGCAGGGAGGCAAGTCCATGGCCCCCTCAGAGGTCTGCACAGCAATTCCCTTCCCAACCCACTCCTCCATTGGAGATTCCATTTCTATAGAATTCTCCTTTTCTTTGGTCATCTTATGTTCAATACGTTGTTTTAAAATCGCTAGTTGTTCTGAAATTTAGTAATTTTTATTAATTTTTAAGTTTAGCGTAGTTTCATCATCAAAATAACTATTCTATTCTACATGAAAATAATCATCCAATTTAAACCAGTAGTTTCGGATGTTAGTGCGTTCAAACAAACAAATTTTTCAGTTTAAAATACACATCACTACATAGTATAAAACAAAAGTCGCTTTTATCCGTATGCATGCTTAAATATTTTAAAGTACGCAATGGATTTTAATGCGGTTTTTAAGGTTCCGTAGTTGACTAGGAACCCTTATAGGATAGCCATGTCTGTCTGTCTGTCCGCGGATAAATCTGAAATTTGGCACCAATATGTACATATCAATCACGCCGAAAAAGTGATAAAATAAAAAATGTTTTTTTTTTATTAAGGAACTAGTGGAGTATGTAAATGTTACTAAGTTCATTCCTCGTGTTAAATAGATTTTGATTTCACCTGGTGAACAAGTCTCGTAGTGTTCGAAGTTCTGCTCGAAATGTGTGAAGGGATTAGCCCTCATGTATGGAGGGAGTGACCTCATGAAGGAGTCCACTTGTAACCGCTGACATTTCTCCATGGGGCAGACCTTGGGAAACAGGAGAACATTAAGCATCCGCACCAGTTTTAAATAATCGTTATTTATTACACATAATAATATTATAGAGATTCATTGAAGACTATAAATAATAAAGTCAACAACTATAAATGCTTTGCGCCTACAAAATATTTCATAGCAACACTACTATTGGTTACGCCTGAAAGAAAATTAATAGCAAGTCGCTGATTCCATTGCTCTGTATTTAGTAGCAGGCGCTTATGTAAAATACAGTATAAAAGAAATGATATTAGAGAATCTTACTCTTTCATAGTTTATCTTCCGATCAATATCGGGAACGTGGCTATTGATCACGTGTAAGCTGTCGTTATGAATGCTCCTGTAGAAAGCAAAAACTAAAACTAGTATTTTAACAAACGCCTTAAAACTACCTTAGGTATGTATTTAAATATACGGAATGTAATATCTATATAAAAAAAAAAATTGCTACATGTGTTGTTTAGCACAGTCTACCTAGATATTTTTTGTGTATGTGATTGGATGGCAAGCGAGCAGACGGACACCTTAGGGGCTGATGTTAAGAACCCGTCGTGTCGGACCTGAGCGCATACCATGTCGTGTTAAAACGTCAATCTTCCGGGCGACAAAGAGGGATGGAACTATAAAAGGTGTATAGCTCCATCCCTCTTTCTGAAATGATTCCAATAATTCAGTAGTTTCCAACTAGTCAAATTCAATACTTTTATCCAAATGTCAAAAACGTAACTTTTCTATGAGATTCGCATAAAACTCCAAATTGTGGCGTCATAGTAATTTTGAGTCAAAAAACTTAACTTTTTTAAAAACATCAAAAATTTATTGTATCGACAGACCGATGAATAAAAGTATAGTTATGTATCAATGTTTCAATAAAATACTATAGTATTGAAACGCCGAATTAATTTATTTTTGATCTAGAAAACTACCCAATTCTTTTTTTAAACATTTGCCATTGTCGAAATAAGGAAAAAAGGAGGGGAATAGGAAAATAAACCCTTTCAATGCCTTGGCAGTTCGAATATTATCATCATGGGAAAGTTTTTGAGAAAGATTATTTTTCTTAATAAACTAGTGCGCCTTACCGTCAACGATTGCATCACTGCTTACCATCAGGTAAGATTGCACAAGCACCAGTTTATAGCAAGTAAAAAAAAATTAAAAAAAGTGTGTTTGGTATTCTTTCTACCAAAAACGGCTGGACTGATTTGAATTAAATTATTTTGATGCTATCTTGGTTAATCCAAATAGGCTTTTTATCAACGTACCATGCTTGCGAAGCCGCGGGCGGAAACTATAGTGTACATATAAAGAAACTACATACTTTTATACATGTTGTGTTTCTATTAAATAAACAATTTAAGAATGACATACCCTAGGTTCGATTGGTCTTCAACCTGATCCTTATTATCATGGGAGCCGTCATGTATTGGATTTGGATGTCTGAAATGATAAAAAGTTGCTATATACAATATAACAACAAAAGAAATAAGAACGAGGGAGAAGCTACATAGATTATAAATGGCTTATGTTTAACTTACCACCAGTCATAGCCAAACTATCCAAACTAAATAAATGCGAAAGTAACTCTGTCTGTCTGTATGTCTTTTTTTCATGCCTAAACTACTGAACTTATTTGTGTAAAATTTGGTACAGGCATAGTTTGGAACACGAAAAAGGACATAGGATAGAGTTTTTATACCGAAAATCTGCAGGAAGTCACTATTTCACGCGAACAGAGTCGCGGGCAAAAGCTGGAATATAATACTCATACCATAGTACTTTTGCAAGAGTCATTTTGTTTGGCAACCTATTTATTGTGATAAAACAGATAATACAGTTGTACTTTTTAATAATAAGCTATTGTGAGTAAGTAAAATATAATAATAACATTGTAGTTATTTGTTCCTCCACCAATTCCTCGTATTTCGGCGATTCGAAGACAGAACCCTGGATAGAAAACAAGGTATATTTAGAACGATATGAAAAAACAAAATGGCTTCCAATTCCTTCGGTTTTAATGCAGGAGACAGACTGACTTAAGCCTTTTTTGTAAGGGGAAAATCATCGAATGACTTCTCCCGCCCAGGGTAAAGCGAGAGAGAGTGTCAGTCTCTTTCTGATCAAAATCCCCCTGTTCCTTCTCCTGCTGAACATCAGGGCAGAGGACAGGGCCCCGTCTGTGGTGGTATGGCTTAAGCCCTAAAGACTCAAAATAAAACTGACTAAATGAAATAAAACAACTGTACAAATAGGAGAAGCCCAGTCACCAACACCATGGAAAAAATCAATAAGTATGAAGTCTGACAATCCGTCTCGCTTCACCATAGCTGGCTGAGGGAGGACATAGGATGATTGAAAAAAAAGGCTACTTCTGGCATCCCAAACAGCATTTTTCTGAGCTCCTGTACTTCAATCTTTTGCTATCTAGTTAACTTTTACCCTAGTACTATGAGCCTAAAAAATTAGGTGTACTCTATTAACTAAAATTCGCGGGTTACCCACGTGTACATGTTGAGAAAAGCTCTACTAGTTTCGAACCACAGAGGGGTTCTTCCTCATGAGCAGCGTGCGCGGACGCGGCGACGTCGCGCAGCCTACTGACCTGAACCTACGGTAGGCTGCGCCAAGAACCCCTCTGTGGTTCGAAACTAGTAGAGCTTTTCTCAACATGTACACGTGAGTAACCCGCGAATTTTAGTTAATTTAGGTGTACTCTGTAATTAAATTACTTTACAATTATAAGCTACTTACTCTTTTTTTCCCTATGTTAAGAGTTTGAGTCTTTGGTTGGCTGTTATCCGTTGGCCTTAGGGAAAGGCGCTCGCGCTGGGAAAAAGTAATGTAAAATTATAAGAAGAGCATATTTAAATTAGCTAATTCTGCTACTGAAACAAAAATCAGCTTGCATGGCGGGCTACAAACATTGCTAGACACCCCTTAGTCCATGTCTACGTGGAACCAGAAGTTGTCACCTGCACCCATTGGCTCCCCGCGACTCTGACAATGTCGTCGGTCCACCTATCGGAAGGCCTGGCCACGTTACGTTTTCCAGTCCTTGGTAGCTATTCGAGTACCTACTTCGAGCGACGTGGCCTGCCCATTACCACTTCAAGTGTGGGAGAGCCATGCTTCGGCTTCGACCGGAGTGATACCACGGTCTCATAGAAAACCGGCGTGAAATAACCAAAGAGTTGTGTTTCGCCGTGTGAGGTTACCGGAGGCCCAATCCTTCCCCTATCCTAATCCGTTCCCTTTCCTAAAATCTCTGTATCCCTAATCCTCAACAGGTCGACAACGCACTCGTAACTCCTCCGTCGTTGCGGGTGTCCATGGGCGACGATGGTTGCTTACCATCAGGTAACCCGCTTGCTCGTTTGCCGACCTATCACATAAAAAACAACTTCAGCCTGCAGATTTTACGAGCTATGTCTGTAACTTTGGTTCTTTGGTGAATTTAGACATTCCGGATTTTGTCGTGCAAAGAAACCCTGAGCATAGCCCGTTCCATCCTATGTGCATTACCACAGAAATGGACCCCTCAAAAAACCAAATGTTATTATAATTCAAAAGTTAGTCTACCAGCTTGGTGGTGGGTGTGATCTCCATGGAGTCTCTAGCGCCAAGTAATTCTGTCTTAGCACTAACTGGTGCAGCATTTGGTACTGATGTACTGAAAAACAAAACATAAACGGACTTAGCGGATAGACTTAGCGCGATTTCATCCGCTGCTAAATGGACTAAGGAGAACAAAAAGAATACGGTAGTTTCCAACTAGTCAAATTCAATACTTTTATCCAAACGTCAAAAACGATAATTTTCTATGAAATTTGTATGAAAAACTGAGCTATGACGTCATAACTTTTTTGCGTCAACTAGCTTACTTATTTCTTAATAATTAGCTAAAAAAAATCTAAAAATTAGTTTGTCGATCGATCGATGAATAAAAGTATAGTTATTTTTCAATATTTTATTGTATTGAAACGTTGAAATAATTTATTTTTGACCTAGGAAACTACCCAATTGTTCAATTCAAACCAGTAGTTTAGAAGATCAGCGCGTTCGTGTCTCTATGTATCGGTTAAAGGTCGGTATATGTATGTATCGGTTAAAGGTCGGTATATGTATGTATCGGTTCTATTATTGTTTTAAACTTTATCCGGCTAAAGAAACTGATTAGAGTCTCTAATGAAGTTACGATTGTGTTACGTAAACAGTTTTTTATTTGGTACTTACTTATCTCGGTGGCGGGTAATTTGATAATTAAACTAAATGTTAATTTTGTGTACTCATGTGGGTTTATTGTCTTTTTGGGAATAAATGATTTAAACTCAAAAACTATTAAACATCACTCTACTACCGAGAAGCGGGTGAAAAAATTTTTTTTTTTTTGATGTAATCTTTTTTATCTCACTGGCACGTAATAAAGTCTTAAGCCCCGAAGGAGTTTTCTGAGGTGCACATGATTCTTGAGCGTACCAAAGAATCATCAGATTAGACTAGCACAGATGAGGCCCCACTAGAGCTGATGTCCAGCTGAAGTGGCGAGGCCAAGGCCTAGGAAGTAATAAACCACGACCCCGGCCTTGGCCAGTTGAACGAACGGGGAGGTTTTTGGTCAGTAAGAGTCTGCCACTAACCTTCGCCAAACACAGGACCTCTCAAAAAAAAGTTACACATGTTTTAAATATAATGTCTCTCTTTAATTATATTGTCCAAGAGACCCGCGAACCGCGAAGGTGTATTCAGAGGTACACATATCATAAACATAACACCACCCTATGTGAACGCACAAAAATCGTGCAAACTTACTTACATGATCTTTAGAATAGATCCCATATTCCCTCGTATATCTATACTTCCTCCACGACCTGGTAATGACTAAACAGAAAATATACATTAAATCAGTCTTCTATGTTCTTTCTTCGTACCTATGTTATAAAATCACTGTCTTTCTCAAATGGGTATGGGCGTGTGTGTGTGTGTGTGTGTGTTTGTGTGTTTGTGTGTGTGTGTGTGTGTGTTTTAGTGTGTGTGTGTGTGTGTGTGTGTGTTTTAGTGTGTGTGTGTGTGTGTGTGTGTGTGTGTTTTAGTGTGTGCGTGCGTTCGTGTGTGCGCGCGTGTGTGTGTGTGTGTGTGTGTGTGTGTGTGTGTGTGTGTGTGTGTGATTGTGCGCGCGTGTGTGTGTGCGCGTGTGCGTGTTTGTATGTATATATAGGAAACCTTCATGCTGCTGGAAAAGGTTAGGGATTCTTACTAAACCTCAAGTAATATTACAGCCCAAGGTATGCAAAAGTGAAAACCCTTCAACGTCTTTGGTTGATGTTTAAAAATACCTATTTTCTACATTATACAAAAACATACCACTATATATTTGTGTTCGATAAGGGACAAGTAACACAATAACTTACTCTTACAAAAACTTACAGATTTAGATCCCCTTATCCCTTCCTTATCATTCCCGTTGCCGTTCAGATAATTCATACATTCGAATTTAGTGGGAAGCGGCAGCTTGTTCACGTACAGATCTTTTATTTGATTCAAATTGCAACATCTCGATTTAAGGAACATCGATCTGAAAGCTGAATGGAATGAAACATAGAATTAGATTTACATATACTGTTTTTGGTCACCGGAAAATTAATCAAAAAACATTTCATCGAATTACAAATCATCGAACACATTTTATCGAAAAAATTTTTCGCCGGACGACAATTTTTCGAACGGCAATTTCGTCGAATGACAATTGATCGAATACAATTCGTCGAATGACATTTGGTCGAATGACATTTGATCGAATACAATTCGTCAATTCGTCGATGAAATATTTTCGATGAAATTTCCGCAAATCACTGTTTTTATGTGATGAGACGGAAACGAGCAGACAGATTACCTGATGGTAATCAATCAGCACCGCCCATGGACACCAACACGACACTGTAATCCGTCTGCTCGTTCGCCGACTTATTAAATAAAAAAAAAACTCTTTCTTTTTTGAGATATAAAAAAAAATCTTGAACCATTGAGACATTTTATGATATTTTTACGACCATGACCACATTTTTTTTTACATATTTTTGTTTGTTTTTTATTACAGGCAACCTGAATGGCACTGCTATCTACCACAATCCTTAAAAAAAAAACTTACCATAGTCCTTCCACTTTCTGGGCGCAGTTTTCTTCTGCTTCATAGTCTTGAGAGCCTGTCGTCTCTGATCAGGACTGAAGTCTGCCATGTCACCGTACAGCAGAAACGGACGATCGACCGCGTCTGACTCTTCCCACCAATTCGGTTTTGGAGCCGTGGACGCTGTGGAGTTTTTCATTGTTTTACTATTAAATGATATTTCGTGAATACCTCAAATCTCCAAGAAGGCTGGCTACAAAGTGTGGGAGAGCCATGCTTCGGCACAAATGGGTCGGCTCGACCGGTGTGATACGTCCACACAGAAAACCGGCGTGAAACAATCACAGCGTTATGTTTCGCCGTGTGAGTAAGGTAACCGGAGGCCCAATTCTTGCCCCCTCTTCTCATTCTCAATCCTTAATCTCATTCACAAGCCGAATCACAACGAAGTGTTGCTTCACGTCAGTTTTCTGTGTGGTATCACTCTCATTCGTGCCGAAGCTTAGCTCTCTCACACTTAGAATCGACTAGTAAGGATGGTGATCCTTGTCTTACAATCTGTCGTCTCTTAACAGCTTAAGGAGGTAAATATTACGTATTTCATCAGCAGGCTGCTCCGGTTTCTCCTCAGCTTCACAGGGATCTTCCTCAGGATCGTCCTCTGTCGGAGCGTCGATCTTCAGCAATTTTGGCAGGTCTATCAGGTACTGGTTCGACTCCGGACTGCCTCCCGCAAAGTTATAAATAAATGCCATGAACTGTAAGATAGTAGAAAGGTACCTAATTGTTTAGAATATGTCTGTTATTTTGTTACTGGTTCACGAAAAAAAGTATTTCAGGTTACTTTGCATCTACTATCACAGGCGGGCCTTCTGACAAAAGTTCGTTGTTTTTTCAGGAATTTGTTTTTTTTCTAATAGTGAAAGCGCTTCTGTAAGTACTTAGTCCGATCCAAATCTGATTCGAATACGTGAAAATATAGGTCTAGAAAACAAGGTAAGAATTCGGGTATTCCTTAAAATACGTATTACGGATAGGTACCTATAGTGCAAAAACTACCATAGTTATAGTTCTGAGACTACGATGGAACATAATAGTATTTTTAGGGTTTCGGATCGGATTCGGAAATAAAAACGGCAACGCTTAGGTTGAATTATGTAATTATCTTTACGCACGTGTAGAAAAAGTATCTTTTTATTTAAGTGTGCGTTTCGGTTTGACCACGCTCTAAGAAACTTGGAAGGGAAATGTAGGTATGCTATTTAATTTAAACTTCTTAAATCTAAGATATTGGATCCGAGGCGGATTTAAAACTGTCAAGCCCAAGCCAAAAACCTCATTGAGACCCCTAATTTGGTTTCTGAAAAGCGCCTCTTTAGAGCCGCGGCGCCCTTTCGCGATCTAACACCCTAGCGGCTGAAGACACTTGCCTAGTATGCCTTATATCAGACAGATTCCTAGCAAACATAAATCTATCATCATCATCATCATCATAAGCCTATAAGTGCCCACTGCTGAGCAAAGGCCTCTTCTCATACGGAGAAGGTTAGAGCATTGATCACCACGCTTGCTCAATGTCGGTTGGCGGTTTCAAACTTATAATTAGAAATTAAAGTCCAGGTTTCCTCACGATGTTTACCTTCACCGTATGTCAGTGGTGTCTAAATAATCATAGAAAGTACATATAACTCGGAAAAAGTCACATTGGCACTTGCTGCTCTCCGGGCCACCACGACATTTAACATAAATCTACTACGTTAGAAATACCAACACAATTATCCGCCTGATATAAAGATGTCTGTCAATTTGACCGACCTTGAATTCCAATGATAAAACTCTTTGATAAACGAATATGCAACGCTTATCTCTAGCATAGCCTTATAGCCTATAGCCTTATCTCGATCCGAGATTGTGTCTGTTACCTAATAGTACCTACCTATCACACTTTCTTAACTAACTATGTAGAGTATGTTACTAAAAAATAAGATTTGCTTTCTTTTTTTTTACTGGCAATTCTACCCGTGTTAGCTTTATAATTCAGGTTATAAGAACCTAGGTTCTCGCATCCTATTTGCAATTCCATATTATAATCTATCTCTTTGCCACATTATACCTATTCATTAGTTTTTACGTGAAAGAGTAAAAAACATTCATACTTAAATAAAAACTTTTCGTTATCATGCCCACTGCAAAATTTGATTGAAATTTGAAAAAATTGATTGCATTATAGGCATAGGTATTATAAATATTAAATAATCATCAACAGCCTCTAAGTACCCACGGCTGAACTGAATTCTCGAACGGAGAGGGTTTTCCGAGCATGAATCACTACGCTTGCTCAAGGCAGATTGGCGATTTCAAACTTTAAATTAGCTTAATTATAAGTCCAGGTTTCCTCACAATGTTTTTTTCACTGTATGTCAGTGGCTCTTTAGTACATATAGATATCTTGGAAAAGTCACATTGATACTTGCCAGGTTTCGAACTCTACATAAAAAGAGAAGTAGGCGTGTAAACTTCCAGGTCACCACTATTAAACGACTAAAACTTTTCCGATATCATTAGTAAGGTAAAGTATTTCTATGTGACATTGGCTTTTTCAACCTCACTGCTCGACACTAGGATTTCCTCCTGTGTCGTGGAAGCACTTTTTGTATATTCCACAAATTGTTATTCCGTGTCTAGGCATAATAATTATGCACGGCACCAACATTAAAAAAAAATCCCAGCGTGGAGAAATGATAAATACCTACTTTTTAATTAACGCACCTGTTTTACAACCTTTTTCATTTTTTCCCGCCATTCTTGATCTACTCTTGCGGCAGTTTTGTATCCTTTGGATAGATGGAGAATGACTTCCTGTCCTTCCATCAATATGTCATGTAGCTCTTCAATATAAGTTGTATAATCTGTGGAAATTATAATTTATAACTATTATTCTATCCAGGCCATATACTCCAATAAAAAAAATAACTATTATTCTTTGACTGTCCACAGATAAAAACAACTGCGCGATAATGTACCGTGGTGTCGGCTAAAGCAGGATGAGGAACGGGGTCGTTTTTGTTCAGTAAGAGTCTGACACTCCCTCTTGCCCCGCCCTGGGAGACAGACGGATTTTATTGATTTGCCCATTTAAAAAAGCATAGGTATGTAAATCAAAAATCCTTTGCTAAGGCCGATGGTCACTGATATTGGTCGGCAGCAAACTTGTCAGCAATTAAAGGATATAGATACCGATTCTACTTACCCACTACCTCCATTCTTATAAATAAGTTGTCATTTTTTCCCGATTGTTTTTAATTCCTAAAGCGAAAACTTCTCTATTTCTCGCAAAGTAAGTTACACATTTCGTAACTTTGCAAGATTTAGTGGTTTAACTCAAGATATCATTACCACTTTGAATGCCAAGTCACTACCAACTGAGTAGATATAACTTTGGTGTCTACAAGGCCTGAGTTAATTGCTTGCTTGCTTGCTAAGATATCGGTAGACGTGCTCTACTCACTATACTAGATATGGCTTAAGTCCCACCAAGTGGGTTAAAGGGAATCACCAGACATTTACTTTAAAAAAAAATCGACGCGGCCCATCTCACACTAAGTAAGTCTTTGAGGAATAAATATTTTAGCTGTACCTAATGATAATTAAATGACACATACATGTAAATAAATAGTTACTCACGTTTTACGTAGGTAAGTGCTTAGGTATTTGTGTTAGCTAAGTGACCTAATAACGACTTATAAAGATAACCTAACTGTTTATTTTCATTAAATCTGATAAATTGTAAGTTATTTGGCAAAGTGATTGGAATATTTCTATCATTTTTTTTGTAAGCTATATGACACGTGTTAACATGTGTTTATAGGAGAATAAGTAAGTATTACCTATTAAGTAAGTCATTCAACCGGTACCTTAACGTAATAAGGTTATTTGGTTCTAAAAACAAAGAAATTAAGAAATACTTAGGTAATATTATCGGCAAAACTACATAAACGCCTGTGTAAAAATTAATAAAGTTGTAAATTAATAGCTATCGCGTGTAGTTATTCACATTTCTCATTCCAATGTGATACATTTTAATGTAATTTCGTTGCCACAAGATCTAGCGCGTGGTGAAAATAGTGCGCGAGATTTTTGTTTCGTTTCACGCACAAAATAAACCAGCGTGGTATGTGTGCTTCGTAGGCAGGGTTGCCATATAAATATTTTTGACTTTCAATAGAGATGTAATGAAACAATTTGCAGGGAACGTAAATTCGAATTTAGTATCGATTTTGAATTATTTTGTACTTAGGTTACCTTTTCAAATTTCTTTACTCGTTATTTTTGATATTTTTACTGTGTGTTTGAAACAGGTACAATTAAAGTTACCTACCTCTCATAATTCTTAACTTTTCTAGTCTACTTCTCCGCCTTTCAGTACACATGACATACATCAAAGCTGCCAAGTTTTTACACTGTAGCTGAGTTTGTAAGGCTCTTATTTTTTCTTGTCTCTCTCTATGTGCTTCACGAAGCATATAAGACGCCCGTGTTTGTTCATTTCTGTTAAAAAAATATATATTAAAAATATATTGTGTAAAAAAAATATATCTAATTAACGATAACTAGTTTAATAACAACTATTTTGGCTTGAAAATATTGTACTGATTTTGTTCGTAATCAATATTAAAATTACTAGCCCAGCTTCCTCGTCTACGATATTCAATTCAAAATGTTCCATTTTTGTAATACAATCAAAGGACACCATAATATTTTAACTCACAACAAAATGTAGTCAAATCGTTCCTTGATTGCTGCCTTTTCTCGTTCCAATATTTTATCGTAACTTGAACGCAGTTCTTCTTCTTTCTCTTTTAAAATCTCTTGAAGTCTTTCAGCGGTTACAGAATCTTTCACCATCTATTTGAATGTAAGACTTTACCTAATTAATTATAGAACTTATAAACCTTATCATTACTATATGTTGTCATGTACGGGTAATATTATTGTTTTTTTTTTTATTAATTCTACCAAGTTTGAGCTTATAAGTGTTTACCACGAACTATGTTTAGTGAAGTTTCAAGAGTTCAAATTACCACTATTCTGTTTTTAATATTAAAATAAAGTGTGCTTACTCTTCTTTTAAAAACTTTACCTACTTCATTGTGTCTTTTGCAAATACATTTCGATATATCTCTTTTTAAGTCTTCTTCGGTCGGTTTGATGATAATTGAGGTGCTTGAAGAAATTTGTTCTTCTTTTATACTCTCCAAGTTATCTTCTGTGGGTTGATTTACTGTAACGTGACCTGTGTGAGACATCTGAAACAAATAGAGATATGGTAAAGAGAACTTTAGGTTTTTGTAGCAAAATAATATTAGCTTATAACCAAAACGTTATAACGAAAACTTGCATGAATTCGATTTTTCATTCGAATAAAAAATGGTTTCTATAATCGAGATTCATTTACTTGTGAATGGCACAGAACTATTTAAATCTTGACAAGCAAAATAAAATTGTGATTGTGGCAACACATAGTTCTGCTGTCGTGAAGTTCGTAACATGTGATGTTTCGTGAAAAGTGTTAATTTTTTTAAGAAAAACCTTTTTTAAATATCCGTGGTGCATCTTAAAAGTGTTATAACGATACATTTGTGATTTGTGTGTAGTGTTTGTTGTGCTAAAGGTGTTAGAATATCCCAACAAAAATTACATGGATAAAGCCGTCACCTGAGGTTGTAAAGGTTAGTGCTTTTTTCATCTGTTGTTTGTCTTAAAATAGATTTCTGTGCGGGTCGCAATGATATTTCAGTTTTGTTTGTGTAACGCCTTCATGTGACTTTTCAGTTCTTTCTTAGGACCTTGAACTAGAAATCTATCAAAGTGCCGTGAGCAAGGTTAGGTTCGCGCGGGCGATTCATCTCGCACAATCATTGTTTATTTCTATCATAATCATTAGAAACATAGTCGATATTGTTGAAATATCAATAAAATCGTTTAATTATGATATTTTAAATGTTGAAAAGTGTGTATGAACGTAAAAATCTGGTTCCGTAAACCTAACCTAAAAACTCGATTGTATTTAGTGCAGATTTTTTGCAAGTACAGCGATACGAGAGATTAACCGTTATCCGGTCGATGTGCGCGTGTTATTGCGGTTATTAAAGTAAGTGAAGATGTTGGCTACATTTGGAGCAGAAATTGATGCGGTCACGTGAAATTATTTCGGTTTTACACATGTTCTGACAGTTAGCCGAGATTATTTTGGTCCTTATCGATGACGGCTGATGGTTAGTTTCGGCGTTAAAGATCAAGATAAACCACATTGAACTGTTCTAACATTCCAGATGATTATAATTCACTGAAAAATGTTCAGTTTCATGTGAAATGCGACATGTAAACATTAATTTGTTTGTAAAGTTCCTTGTGATAAGTGTGTAGCAGAGTTTAAGGTAAATGTTTTAGTTTCGAAATAGATAACATTGAAATGTCACATGGCTATTTAAAATAGTCACATGTGACCTTAAGATCTAAATTCAATTGGTATTTCCTATAAAATTGTAGTAAAGGTATTGAGGTAGGTATTACATTTTAATTTATTTGTTTACCCAAATAGGTAAATGCACAGATAATATAAAAAAGGAGACCAACATGCATGCAACCTATTTTGTCTGTTGTGTTTAAAAATACATATTTAAATCTTATAAAATGTTTCTATCTCATTTAAAACCAAATATTATTATCAAATTTAGGTAAGTAAATTCACACGCTGAACTCACACATCAATTTTACTTAAAAAAAGGTCTTACCCAAAATGGCTTCCTTAGTTTATGTAAACATTATCAATATTGAATATTCTCTGTTTCTTTTTAAAAGATCAATGAGAGTTAATACTTTAACATTACTATAAGTTTAATGTTTAGAAGAGAAACATATCTATGATTTTGTTTTTGTAAACTAACATACATTCCAATTCGTTTTGATTTTCAACCATTTTATTTTTATGAATTTGTTCAAATTGATCATATATTTTTAACAGTAAGTAAACCTGTTCCAATTTCTTACTTTCTCATTGGATTTTCTAATTTATTTAAAAAGCGTAGAGCTGAAAAACAAATTCCAAGTTTTTGAGCGAAAGGGCTAGATTTACCTGCTGGTGACGGAACACTATATTCTGAGCTTTTGAGTCTTGATGACAAATATAAATATATATTTTTTTGTTTATTTATGTCCTGTTATTTATTGAGAACTGTATTTTAACTAAGCTCTTGTTGAGTTTTTTTAGCAATTCAATAAATCAAAATAAAAGTCTGTTGAAGAGTCCTATAAATAATAATAACAAGTAGTTTGGAGAGTGATTGTCTATCAAATAATATAAATATAAACAAATAAAAAAGTAACAACCATATAAACAACAATTGAATGCTTGATCTTTATAAGTTCATCGACCGTTAATGCTTGAGAAAAGCTTCATCAAAACATATCTAGCTGTTTTGGATATGATCTAACCGTAACACGAAAACAAAGAAACATTAAAATGGTTAATTTATTCTTATGAGTCATCTGTAGGACACAAACTTGAAACTTGAGAGGTTTGTTGAATGCAAATAAAGCACATTTTCGCATATCATTTGCATTCACCTTTAGTTAGTGCTTACCTTAGCACTTCCTATATTGGATTTAGTTAATTTGGCATTTATTTACTTTGAATTATTTATTAAATTAATACAAAGCGAAAGTATAACAGTTCAGTATTAAGTGTTGACTTTGTTTTCTAATTTTGATGTCATAAGCAAGGTTTTATTTAAAAACTTTTTGTCTGTGGTGGCAATAACTTGAAGAAACATGCTCTAAATAAATTAGTAAAGTATAATTATGTATGATTTTTTGTCTACAACTAACTGAAAATCTACATTTATGTGATGTTCAAAGGCTCAACATTAAAAATCTAAAGTTATTTAAGCAATTGACAGATTTATTTTATATATTGGAAATATTATCCTTTAACTTTTCCAACCCTGTCAGAGAGAGCAACAAACTTTCAATAGCACTCAAACTACCGTTCCTTCTTGTGCTCTCAGAGGCCAGCCCTGCAGTTAGAGCTACAAAACAATATTGCAATTACACCTGCAACAGCTGCATTTGAAGCTTAGTAAATATGTAATAAAGTAGTATGTTTTAATTAAACACATCTGATAATGAGTTTTAAATTTTCTGCTGAGCATTTTAAATACGTTTTAATAATTTACGTGAATTTGAACTTGAAAGTTTCTATGAAAACTTGTTCTGTATAAACACTGTATGGGGTGTATGGTGAATTTGAATTGATTACACAATATAGGTAGTTAAGGCTTATAGCAAAATTGAAATAATGTGTGTAACATAGTCAATGAAATATGCTATAATGATCAATATTGCAAAATGTGTGTATTATGCTCTAATAAATAAAGTTGCATAATTACAAATTAGTAGGTAGTTTTATTACATCACTACCACTACAAAGCAAAGTATAAATCTAGTGACTTTCCGCTGTCTGTCGCTATTTATGCTTAGATCTTAAAACTGCAATAAATTTTGATATTGCTTTTTTGATACAATAATTTTAGACATATTTAAAATATTTAAAGACTTGACTTTATGTAATTTCTTACCGACTTGTTTTTTTTTTGTTATACTGTTAGTTTGTCCTTTGACCATAAGATTTTGAGTTTTGGATTTTTGTGCATGATGCATATAAATAGCTCTGAGAACCAGATTTTTACTAGCAGAACACAATGCAAGGATTAGGAAGTTTGTTATTAGGAAATTTTTGAAATGTGTTGTTTGTGTTCCAAAAAACCATAAACAACACATTTTTTTAAGTGTTTCAATAAAAAGAAATGCAGTTGCTTGTTGTCTAACAGGACAACAACAAGCAACTCTCATCACATGTGTAGTATCTATACTAATATTATAAAGAGGTAAAAGTTAAAGTTTGTATGTAGGGGGTAATGTTTGGAACAGCTGGTCAGATTGCCAAAATTCTTTCACTGGTATCCAGAGCTACAATGTTCCTAACTACTATAGGCTATAAAACATCACGCTAAGATCAAACAGAGCTGAGCAGCGGCTAAAAACCGCGCGAAAGTAGCTAGTATTTAATATTTTTGTTAAGCAACTATCATGAGACATTGACACAACATTTGTTGAAAATAAATTCTGTATATATATGTATTATTTCATTTGCAATTTCTTGTCACTAAATCATTGATATATTTTTTGTGAAAGATAAGATAATACAGACACATCTAAGTACAATGAAGGCTTATCACAATCACAATAAGAGTGTGAATGAAAGTATTGGAGTATCTGAATCAGAAAGATGTATGTATTTGAGTTTGCATTCAAAAACAGACTGAAGTATCATTGGGATTAAAACAAAGATAGATTGTGTCTGCATGCCTTGTTTGTTCATGTTTAGCAAATATATGAAAACTGATATCTGGTCATGTAATAGTTTATTTTTTTTTTTATTTATAAGTAGTGGCAAGTTCCGCCTCTGACCAGTTACAATATGCCATTGCTTTACCAGTGCTAATTATATTTTTTTGGGATTTTATACACAAAAAACCTCAACAGAAACCCTGTTATTAAGAGTTTGTTTGTCTATTACCAGGTTTTATCTCCAGAAATATGAAATAGAAAGGAATATGGCAGTTGATGTATAATAATGTAAATAATTTGTCATTATGATTAATTAAGTAAAGCCTGGTAAATTGAATTATCTTGGCATGTGTAAGAAACACATGGGCCGAATGTTAGCAGAGTGTTAATGAAGTTATTGGGGGCCAAAACCTTACTCTTCATCCCCAAACCTGCCAATCCTTAAATCTGTAACCATCATAAGGCGAAAATGCACTCGCAACTAATCTGTAATTGCCGCCCAATTCGCCCATTGGTTTAAAAAAGCTAGCTGCTCTCGCGCGGTTACACGCTGCTCGGCTCCATTTGATCGTAGCTATCAATCAGTGAAAAAATTTTGGCAATCCAACCAGCGGTTCCAAAGATTACCCCCCTACATACAAACTTAAAAACATTCAAAATTACAAGTTTTACCTCTTTATAATATAAGTATAGAAAACACTCTAAAAGACAGAATAATAATGATGTTTTGTTATAATACAAAAAAAAAACCTGTTTAATTTGTCAAAAAATTTCCAGGCGGCTTGATAATGTGGCCTTCAATAGGTCATACGCAAAATATTATATTGTTTTGGTGTCATATTATTATTATGTTACCTATATACATATGTAACTAAATAAGATGACAAATAAACGTTAAACATTACTTTAATTATTGATAAGAATCGTCATAATTAACGTCACACCAAGCGAAAAACAACTCAAGTATAGTTTTCCCGCCGGGTTTCTGTGAGGCCGTGATATAATTATGGTCGAGCCGAACCATTCGTGCCGAAATATGGTGCCTCACCTTCCGCCTAACGCAGGTGCTTGTCGAACACGGAAGCTTTGGTGCGTACCTTTCGAACCCGGGAGGAAACGCCCGGGTGTCATCATTGTGAGGACCACCCGGAGGACAGGGTAGAGCCTATGGTGGCAGTGTGCCCTTCCTAAGCTGAGCACCGCCATGTCCTTAGGGAAGTGACCGGTGGCACCGACCTCTCAGTCCAGACTTAGTCAAGGCCATGGTGCGGAACGAAAGGAACTGGGTATCTCCTCTTTCTGCGAAGCTGTTATGCTCGCA